CCAACCCCAACCCCAACCCCAACCCCAAGTAAAATAAATTCAATAAAATTTTTAATTAAATATTTATGAGATTAGTAAATAATGAATTAATTATTAGTTAGAGTTTTAGTATATATTTTTATTATTGGTTGTATTATTCATTCATTTATTTATTTATTCAAATAATTTTTTTAATATTATTAAATATTTGTTTATTATTTTATGGTGTAAAATTTATTTTTATGAAAATAAAATTCTTAAACAAAATTAAATTTTTAATAATGTAAGCAAGTTAATGTTAATTATTTGTATCAATTACTGGATTGCATCAATAGAGGAAAAAACAAATAAGCACATTAATTGATAACATAAAATATTTATTATTAATCTTAGATCAATTCTAATGTAAATTCAATTTAATTTTAAGCCTTCACTTTAAAATAAGTAAGAAAAAAATAAATGTGATAAAATAATTCAAAAAGATTAATAATATAAAAAGAAATAATAACAAATTATACATACGAGCTCCAATCAATATAAAAGATAAAGATATATTAATTTTAATAATTAATTAATTTTAAAAGTAGAATAAAATTAGTTCATGTCTTGCTCTCAGTAAACTAAATTAGTGAAGAAGGAGCAAGATTTTTTGAAATAAATTGATAAAGCTAAAGTAATTTATTCATTTTATGTTAAGTCTGAGAGATAATATAAAATATTAGAGGAGCATGCAAAATTTCCTCAATAATTTATCTCTTGGCTCAATTATCATCTACCTTAATTTAAGTTTAAGTAGGACTAATATTAAATCATAGAAAAAGTATTGGATAATTAATTTAAAAGTTTAAAAATCTAAGAAGTCTGCATTTGAGTGGAAATAATATAGGGAGATGTGTAGTATAATTTTTAAGCAATTAGTACAATGATTATAAATTTTAGTGTTAAAACTCTGTTTGAATAAAATTTAATTAATCTTACAATTTTTAATTACTGATAATAGAATTACCAAAATTAAATCACTAAATTAAAAACAGATCTCAATTAAAAATGAATACAATCTTTATTCAGCATATTTATACCACACACTAAATTAAAAGATGAATGAAAAGACCTATTCTTATAACTCGATATAAATAAGATGGATGCCTATTAAATTATTCAATCATTTTTTGTTAATATTTTTATTAGGATTACAAATTTTATTTTTAACTATGAATTAAAAATTAGGATTTTGAATATCGTTGCATAAAAACAACATACATACATACATAATTATTTTTTCAACAGAATTAAACATTCAGAATTTTGTATTAAACAATTTTCTCAATTCATAATAATTATAACTATTTTAAAATTAACAAGTAATATATTAAAATATTTAGACCACTGTTATTGATACATTTATTTGATAGACTACAATTATTTAAGTTTTCTAATTTAGTTTTTATATAATTTAAAGAAAACATATAGACAGCCATGTAATATCAAAAAGATTTTAGTTGTTGATGTGAATATGTTTATATGTATCAATATTTTTTAAAATTCAATTTTTTGAGCATACTCTATAATTAGTTGGTTGTTTATATTGTAATAAAATTGTTTTAAAATAAAAATTAGTATAAATTGAAATAAAATAGCTTAAACAAATAGAATAAATATACAGTTAAAATTATATTTTTTGTATACTTTTCTTTTTATCTATATTTTTTCAAATAGACTTAATGTCTAGTCTGAATAGACTGCTAATTTTTAAACAATTATATTCAAAACCTAGTTTTTACCCTTTCTTAAAAGGTATGTTATTTCCTCTATTAAATAAATTAATTAATATGAAAATCATTCTCAAAAAATTGTAAATAAATATAAATAAAAATATTAATTTACCCTAATTATAGATATAAAGCTGAAAGTTATTTACAATTTCTTAGCTATTTAACTAATCTTTAGCATCCCTTTTCTCCTATAAGAGTTTACCTAATTAATCATTTTGTAAGTATCAAATTTACTACAATTCAAAATTAATTACTTTAAATCTAAATGAAGTGAGCAAAGATTTTAAATTTAGCTGGCTGCTTCTCCAATTTTTTCTAACAAATCATTTCCAATATCATTTTACCTAAAAAAATTTATTTTTATTATTTTTATATTTTAGATTTTGCTTTAAAATATACCAGAATCTTAGTTTTAAAAAGCTCAGCTTCGGAGTTTATGTAATTGCATTAACTAAGTTTAGTGTACCATCTTTTCCAATTGGGTTTTCACTTTTTTATTGAGTATTTAAAAATTATTTATAATCTAATTTATTTTATTTAAATTATACCTAAAATCGAGAAACAAATTTTTAAGGTTTTAGCTTTTAGATATTTATTCACCAAATGCCTTTGCTCCTTCTGGGTGAATACCATTTCTCCTAATAAATGTATTTATTATTAATAGACAAAAATAAATAAATAAAAATTTTTTACCAAACTTCTAAGTCTAAACTTTGTAGATTATCACAATTGGATAGCACAACACCTAATCCAATGATACCTTTATTTCCAATTTTGTTGACACTTTTTTATTATTTATCCTCTAAATAATAGATTAAATTTATAATTATTATACTCAAAGCTAAGCTTTAAAGAATTCAAATTGGAGCACTAGCCTAGCGACTTTCCTAAATTAAAAGCTCCTTAAGGTCCGATGTTATTGATGCTATTATGATTTAATACAAGAATAATAGTAATTTTATAAAGTAGAAATCAAATACGATAAATCGAGAGAAAGGCTGCTAAGTCTTTTGCACTCAATAAGAGATAAACCAATTTTTTCCATGCAATTATCATCTAATTCATTGTTCCTTTAATAAAAATATTAAGAAATTCAAATATAATTCATATTATTTACTTTAATCTTAATGTCAAATTTGAAATGGTTTAGCTTTTAGAAATTTCATGCAAAAACTTCGATGGTCCTTCTTATCCAATTGCTGTAGAGCTATGATAAAAAATAAGTTTATTTAAAATATTTATCATAAATATTATATATTATTTGTATATCACCTTAAGTCAAATATCAAAGTATTCAAATTTTTGCATTTAGCAATACCTTGAGCTATTTTTGTAGATCCCTCTTCCTTGAAATTTTAACATCTCCTGAATTTATTTTTTAATTTGTTTGAATAAAAATTATTATTTAAAAAATCTAAAACAATTAAATAAGAAAGTTTAGAAATGTTTTTTAGATAAAATTATTTTCTTTATTTAATTTATTTATAAAATATGTTTGCAATTTTATGCTGAATAATTAAATTTATTGTTTTTTAAATAAATAAACGATTTCTATTTTCTTTCTGTGAAAATGCTTAATTAATTTTAATAAAATTTAATTATCTGTTAAAAATAATGTTTTCTAATCAGATTTATAAACTAAATAATGTTTAATTTTTAAGGAATTTATTGTAATTAAAAGGATAACAATTTAAAAAATTACCAAAAACTGAGATTTAAGTATGTTAAATTATCTAATTTTGCAATTTGCTATCCAAAGCCTACTGAGTCGTCAACTACAATATTCTTACTAATAAAAATTATTAAATAAAAATGTTTTTCTTTATTGAAAATACGTTAAATCTATGGTTAAATGAGTAAGTTTTTTGCAATTTGCCAATCCCTAGCCAATACATGCAGAATGGTTATCTCCAATAAGATTATACCTTTTTTATGTTTTATGTGAAGCTAAATTAAAAAATATCTTTTTAAAAAAACTCTTTTTCAAATAATTTAATTTTTTCTTGTTGAATTTTTCTCTAAAGAGTTTTTTGTTAATGCTACCCTAAATAGAGGTTTACTTCAGTAAGATTTTTACATTCAGAGATACCCCTACTAATGTGTAATGAACCTTCATTGCTTATATTGTCATTTCTAATTTGTTAATTATTTAATTTTAAAAATAAATATTTATTTTTAGATTTAATATTTGCTTACATTAAGATGAGATTTAAGTTTTACAAATTCTTGCAATTTGAAAGATTTTGTCCTAGCATTTTTGCAATGATATCCCCAAATTAAATTTATTTTCTATTTCAAAGATAAAAATAATTAAAAAGTCTTAATGAATGGTTTTTAAAAAATGAATTACTTAATGTCTATCTTTAAGTAATTAAGATTTACACCCTCTTTTAAGAGCTAACACATTTTATTAGTATGATCCTCTCCTACTGGCTACTCACTTTTAATTTTGGATAATGTTTAGTTTCATCTTATATAATATTTATTCATTTATTTTAACATACTTGAATAACATTTTCAAAGAGTTAACTCCTGCAGTTGTCTAAATGCTATTTAACTTTTCATATAAAATAATTTTATTTTAACTATTTATTTTAAGCTTTTAATATATTTCCTACTTGTTCTAACCTAGCAATTATCATTTTTTTTGTTTCAACTTTTTCTTTTTTAAAAAATAAATTTCAATTTTTTTCTAATTTAATTAATTATGAAAAATAAATCTTTTTTCTGTATTTAAAATAACAATTGATCCTTTTTTTTGTTTGTTAATTGATAAGTAAGTATCTTTAAATAAAAAAGTTAAAAACTGAAATAAATTTTATTAATCTATTTATTAAATTATTTGTAACCTGTTTTTATTAATTTAGCTCAAATTCCCCAAATCCATCAATAAAAATATCGTTTCTGCAAAAGAATAAAAAGTTTTGAAACCTAAACATTTAATAGCCATATAATTTTCATCAAAATATTAAAAAATACCTAAAAGATAGATAATACGCTTAGATTTTTTCTACTAAAACTTAATCTAAATGAAAAAATAACAAAAAAGTTTTTCAAAAAATGAGCTCTTTGAACTAACTGAATAATAAATAAGTCTCGCAATATTGAAAATTTAATTTAAAAAATATTTTGTTAAATAATAAAAACTTTGCTCAAAAAGATAATCTTTTAAGTTTTAATTTTTTAAAAGAAGAATTTTATCTAAAATAGATAATTTAGTTAGTCTTTCTGGTTAATAAGTATTTTTTTAAATTGTGTGATGAATAGCTTAAATATTGCATCAATTAATCATTTATTTATTTATTCGTTAGAAAAAAAATAAGCTAACTAAATTAATTAAAAAATTTATTTGTTATAACTTTTATTTCTTCATAATTTACCTAACAAATTTATAATAATTGATTGTCACAGAAAAAAAAATATTAAATTTAAAAAAAATAAACGAACAAACCAGCAAACAAAATAAACAAAGTTTTTGATTAATTATTTCTAAAAAAAATTTATAAATAAATAAATATTTACTAATCAAAAATTAAAAAGAAAAAAAGTAATTAATTAAAAATAAATTTTGCTGGGGTGAAAAAATTATACCCCTATTCTAATTAAGAAATATCTTTCTCAAATTAAGTAATAAATATTTATAACTCATACAATAATATAGAGAAATGGATGATTATACCCTTGAATTTGATTAAGGTAGACATTTATTTTTTTAAAAATGTTAAATTTATTAATTTAATAGTAAGCATTAGCAGTAAGACGACATATAAAGCTAATTAAAGTGATTATGGGACAGCCACAAATATTACAATTACTCCAAGGACGAGGACTGTTTCACAGAAGAAGAGTGCACGCTCACTAAGCAAAAGAGTTTATTAGCCTGTGCCTTACATTCCTTATGGTAATTTATTTAAATAATATTAAGATTAAATGTTAAAAATTGCTTGCATTTATTGATATGAAAATATTTCTAAAAATAGTACAAAAGCTATAAGCTTTGATTTTAGATTCTAATTACTAGAAGTTGACAATAAAGTAGATACAGGATGAAAATAGCCAACTCAATGATAAAATCAAAGCACTCAACAAAGAATTAAGCAAATACAGCGAAAAGAAGCAAGATCATTTGGTTAAAAACATAAATTCTAACAAACTTGAATAACAATCAGTTATGTCAAGTGCATCTAGATAAAGCTCTAGATCTTTAAATCCCAAATACTACAACTTAGACACTGAGATTATTAACACTGACAAAATTATTCAGAAGCTTAGAGCTGAAAATAATAGAGTAAATTATTAATTGGTTATGTTTCTTTTTTTTTAAGAGTTTCATTTTTTATATTTTCATAGCTTTAATAAAGGGAACAGTTGATCATGGAGCCAAAATATATGAATGATATTAAAAGTTAGATTTAGGCTGCACAAAAAGTTATTTAAACATACAAATAAAACATAAACAAATTGCAATAGCAGAAAAAAGAAATCGAAAATCAATTACAAGATATAAATAGAAGGAATGGAATTCCTGCTGAAGTTAAGAAAACTCATGGAATAAAAATGGAAATTAGCATCTTCGACACGAAAATAGTGGAAGCAAATAATAGATTACAAAAAATTCAAGAAGACATGGCTCACAATAATGTAAATAGTATTAAATTTTATAGATTTAAATGAGATTTAAAAAATAAAAAATAGAATGTAATGAAAGAAAAAAATAAAATATTTGATGAGTTATGCTAGAAGGCTAAATAGTTAAATGTTCCAATTTATCAGTAGAAATAGAAAGAAATGTAGGAATAGGATAAAAGAATGCATTTGAAAAAGCTCAGAGAAAAGATATAAATCAATGAAAAGAATATGGAGACTATGGAAAAACAGCTCAGAGTAAGAGAAGATGAGATGAAAAAAGACGTCATATAGCTAAAGTAAAATTGCATTAATCAAAATAAAATTAGATATATTCTATTCTTTAATATGATTTTAGGAGAAAATCTAAAGATATTGATGACGATATCTGGCTCAAGGATAGAGATATTGCTATACAAGTTAAGGAATTAAATTAACTGATGGAAGAGGCAGGGATAGAAAAACTGTAATAAGTCAATAACCTTGTCGAACAGGAGAAGGACAGCTCTTAGATATTAAATACTTAGAGCAAAGAGCTGGATGAAGACATAAAATTAGAAGATAACTTGGATATTAAAAACACCACTTTTACAATTATTAGAAAGCAACCCTCGTCTTCATAGCAATCAAAAAGAAGTGGCCTACATTCACCTAAGAGTAGAAGCATACAAAGAGATAGAGAAGAAAAAGATGTGAAACCTAAATTCTCACACTTGATGGAATATAAAAGGAAGGACAGTTCTAATACTGCTGATCAATAGCATGATGTATCTGTGAGTAATCAATCTAAGCATATAGAAAGCTAAGAAATGAATGAAAATGACATATCTTTGATTTCAAAACCAAAATTCATTATCAAAAAAATGAAAAAATCAGAAGATGACTAAAACAAAGAAAATATTGGTTATCTTAAAATACATGAACAAAGCTATGTCCCTAAAGGTGGCTAAGATCATACTTAATAAGCTAATAATACTAACCAAAAAAGCGATGCAAACATATCAAAGATAGTAAATGGTATAGCATTGAAGAAAGATGGAGATGATAACTCTGACTTGTCTGATACTCCTATCAAAAAAAATATATAAGCAAAATAAGACTAGAAAAAAGAAGTAATTGGTGATGATGAAGTTAACTAGAGTTAGAAACCTACATTTAACTTCAGAAGCAGAAGCAGCAATTAAAGGAAATCTATCAACGAACAAAAATAAGACTAAGACAGCTTATTTAAAGAAGTCAATACTTCCAAGAATGTTAATTAGCAGCAAAATATATCATAAAACAATTTAAATAATCATAACCAAATACATGAGAATGAGTAATAGTAAATTAATGTGAGAGTTTCAGCAAATAAATAAGATTCGTTTCCTAAAATTGACCAGAAAGTAGATAGCAAAATACCTAACAGTTAAGTAGAAGATAAGACATCAAAGCAAGAAGATGAAGGCTACAGCTTTGTGCCTAGAAGAGTTCAAAGAAATAGAGGTGTAGCAAGCTATACAAACGATACTTACATGCCTTCTATTTTGTAGAATGATTAGACTTAAAATACTCCAAATACTATAGCGAAGTCTAATAGATCTAACTTAGATAACCTCTTTGATGATAAAGCATAGAGCAAGTAGGAAAACAAATAATTATCTAACTAACAAAATAATATTTCTGATTAAAATAACAATTACTAGGCATAGCCTATTCTTTCTCGGAATAGAGGAGGAGGAGCTGGAGGTGCTCCATATCTCATGAGCTAAGAAAATAACTCATTTAACATTTAAAAACCATAGGAACCATCCAATTTTTATAACCCTACATTTGGAGGTTAATAAAGTAATAATATAGAAAAGAGAGATGGAGGAGTAGTAACTGCCAATCAGTAAAGACTTAATACTAATTAGAGTAGCGATTCAAGAGATGCAAATTAGCAACCAAAGACTTTCAACTTTGCAGCGAAGAAATTACTCTAGTCACCAGAAAGCGATTAAAATAAAAATTAGAATGATATGATCCCATAATAAAAGCCTACTGAGCAAAATGTAAATCAAAAATCTTAAACAAATAATAAAGTTGAAGATAAAGAAATGAAAAAACCAAAAGTTTAAGAAGAAGTTGTGTTTTTAGGACCAAACGATAGACTAAGAAGACCTTAAAATAAGCCAAGAGAAAATACAACTTAAAAAAGAAACATTTTTGATGAAAATAGCAGTTCTAACAATCAAATTACATTTTAAGTAAAAGACCTCACAGAAGCTCCAAAAAAAGATCTTTAAGAATCTGTCCGCCTAAACCCTATCCATAAATAAGAAAATATAAATTTTTTCGATGAAAATAAACAGGATGGCCACGAATCAGATGGTTTAGATTTTTTAAAACAAGAGAATAAGCCAAAAGTGAATTATGATGACGATGACGATTATACATTTTCTAAAAATAAAAAAGATGATTCAAAGAGTAAAAAACTTTAAATAGGATAAAAGCCAGCTCAAAATAATGACTAGAAAGTAATTTTTAAAAATTTAAAAAGCTAAATTTTTTGAAATATATTAATAAAGTGTTCGAATGACCATTTTAAAATATATTAATTTTTTATAATTTTTTCAAATAGATTAAAGAATTGGCATAAAAAGCTTAGAATGCAGATTTATTTGGCGAATTGGGTATTTGATAAATATCTTCATAAATTTAATAACAAATCAATTAGTAAGAAAATAAATAAATAAATATTTTTATGAAAAGGTTCTAATAATTTATTATTTCACTGCTTCCAAATTAATTATCAATAATCTTAAAATATTAATCACCATCCATTAATAACTAACTAACTAACTCACTACAAAATTAACAAACTAACAAATTATTTTTTGAAAATCAAATAAAATAAATATCTTTTCAATGAAATTCCAAAATCTAATTTAGAAAAATCAAAATAAACTGAAGCATCTTTGATACTATTGAGAATAACTTGTTAAGATATATTAAGTATTTAAACTCAATAAAAAAATCATTCAATATAGCTAGTTTGTTTTTTTAAGGAAAGAATTCTAAAAATATTGAAACCATTTATTTATTCTAATTACAAATGCATACAAAAATAAAAAAATAATTTATTGCTGGAAATATAAGAGTAAGCAAAAGAACATACTTATTATTAATATAAAATTGTTATTTGAGATAGATTAAGAATTAATAAAATATAAATAAATTCTTTCATTCTTATTGATTGGCTGACTGACTGATTGACTGATAAAGAAAATAAAATATGTATAAAGTTAAGAATATTTTTTGATTAATTTAAATTCCTATAAAAAGGGATTAATTGATATATAAATAAATATATAATATATATATATATAATTTTGTGATACTATTAAGCAAATTTAAAACTAATTTATTTATTTCTAAATTAAAAGATAGATCTATTTAACATTCCTTAATTACTTTAAAATACATTTTTTTAATTTTGTTTATATGCTATGAATTCAAGCCACTGTTAAATCATCATTGAAATATAAATGAATTGCTGGAATATACCACTCTGTTTCAGGAATGTCAAGTCTTTTATTAATTAAATGAATATAAAATGTTTTTTTCATTTGAAATAAAAATTATTTTTACTCTTCAAATTCTACAGTTTCATCAGGAATTCCATTTTCTTCTAGATTTTTATCCATATCAAGAGGAATACTCATTCTTTTCCAGGTATAGCTTGCTGCATGGTAATTGATTGTTTTATATCTTTCTAAAATTTCGTTTATGGTTTCTTCGCTTGGAACCTGTTTAATAGTGCATAAAATTTATATAAATTTTAATATTTCTACTCATTGATAAATAATCTGTTTCATTACTACTAATACGTCTTCATGATCTGAGAGCATATTTACAATTTTTATTTTTCTCACTTTGTATGATAATAATCCTATTTAGTATTCTGGGTTTCTCCACCAACTAAAAATAGACAAACGATAATAAAATAAAATCTCATTTTACTCAATAAAATAATATACGGAACAAGAGTAGCAGAAGCATCTATTGTACTGTTTGGTCCCTGTGGTGGAATGTGCAAAAACTACCCTAAAGGACAATAATATACTTCTTATCCTGTTTGCAAGTCAATTTTTTTTCTAGGCTCTCTAGTTTGGCTATCGAACCAATAAGTAATATCAGTACCAGCGGCATCGATAAGGGGTTTACATAATGGAGCTAAATTTGTTAAAATACAAAAAATGAATGAATACCCTTTCTATATAAAAATCCTAATTGTATTCTTTGAAGCAGTAAAATTTGATACATGAAATTGATGCTTAAATTAATGGAGTGAGATCAATCACTTTATTAAAAAACGAAAGCCAACAATCATTAGCAGTATTATGAACTTTAATATCTTATGGAGTGTAATATCTTTTTTTCTTATATGGCGCTGGCAAGAACTGCTTATTATTGCCTTATATTTTAGGGTTTTCTTTAACAATCATTTAATTCCTACTACTTAGTTACTTACAAATCTTATAATTAAATATTATGAATTTTATAATTATTTGCAAATTAAAATATAATTAAGCGTTTTCTTTTTTAATCAACTGATAAATAATAAATTAATAAATAAACATTGTTTGTTTGATATTTTTTAGTTCAATTTTTATTAATACATTTTATTTCTCGTAAAATTTGTATTAATTTAAGTATCAGTAAAACTCTATTTAACTTAAATACCTTACAAAAAAATAAAATGATTAATCTAAGTATTACTTTTTTTAGATTAAATCTATCTTAAAGTAAGCGATTACTTAAAACAAACAAAAAATATTTATCTTAATAAAAATACTTGCTTAAAATAAAAATATCTTTACCATTTAATTTCATTTAGTTTAATTTTAAAATCAGATAAAGTGTTTGTTTGGACTATATTAATAATACATTTTTAAACAATCAGATAAACTTTTGGTTAATATTTAAGCATTATTTGTTTGAAGTCTTAAATTAAAAATTTACGAAAGAAAGATAGGCTAGTTGATTTAAATAAAATTTTAAAGAAGGCGGAGGGAGAGTGAATCTTTTTTAAGATTATTTAATAAAATAAACATGAGAATAAAATTATGAAGAGAAAAATAAAATTTGAAGCTATAAAATACATATTTGGATATATATATAAATGTAATTAAAATGATAATTGAATTAATGAGAGAATAAAAATTAAATTAGTGATTGCTATTAAGTGTATTAATTAGTTATTATAAATATAAAGTATTCAATTTTTAGAAACTCCAAAGAATGATAGGAACTTAGTCCAGCATCCACAAGATGGAGCCATCCTTATTTACCCATGACTTTTAAATTTGGGACTTTCTGAAAGTTCTAGTGCTCTATTGTTCTTGTTAGAAATAGGAAAATCTAACTATGTATTTTACTTCACTAAACTTATTCTATTTTTTGATTCTCTATTTTGAGTACTTAAAGTTCTTGATAATTCTTCTTTACGTAATCTTTCCTTTTCTTCTTGTTTTTTCTTTTTCTCTTCCAATTTTTATTTAACTCTTTGAGCTCTTCTGATAGCATCGTAGTCTTTGAATAGTAGTGCCTTACCTTAACCAGTTTTCTAATTTAAAAAATTTTTAATTTAAAATAAAAATTAAGTCTCATCAATTAAGTAGTCATAAAAACAAACATATTTTTTTAAATTAAAAATCTAAAAAATTAAAATTAATTTTAAATAAACATTCAAAGAACACCGTAATTCATCAATTAATATAAAATTGAATACTCTAGTGAGGAATTCATTTTTTTAAAAATTTATCTTAAAATTATGGTATTATTTGTACACAATTCGTACAATCATATTGAGGAATTAAGGTACCTTTAAATCTAAATCAAAGATTCAAACTTTAATTTAAATTAAATTTTAATTTATTTTTGTAAATAAATTAAATTTGTAAAATTAATTTGAATGAATTACTTAAGCTTCAAATTTTAGCTCTTCTTCTATGTTGTAGTTATGAATTTTATTCAATTCTCTACGCAGAGTTTTAACCCACAATGTCATTTCTTCCAGATTTTCAGCTTTCAATTTATATGATTTACCCTTTTTTCCAGATTTTTTATCTTCAAGATTCTAATTTAAATTAAGATCAATTTTAATTACAATATTTGGAATAATTTTGTTTTACGAGTTAAAATGAACAGCTTTCTTCTTTTTCTTTGATATCTTCTACTCCTGAAAGTTCAATTTTATTTTAGACTTCTTGTGCTCTTTCAGATAAGTACCAAAAGAGAACTCCATTTCTTATTCTAAAATATCTCTTTTCATAGAAGCTAAAAATATTTTGAAAAAATTAAATTAATTAAAAATAATAAATTGAAATTACTTGCTATTCAAGCTCTTCTTTAATAGATATCCTTCTTCTATGAATTCCCTAGGTTTTTGATCATCTAGAGTGCTTCTTCTACTCATGTAGCTCTTTAAATTATAAAAAATTTTTAATAATATGTAAATTCAAATCATTTATATTATACATCTTTTCTTGGAATAACATCTTAATGCAACTGTTCTTGAGTGGCATCTCCCTTTTAATTTGTAAATTTATTTAATTTAGCTCATTTTAAAATTTATTTATTCTTTACATCGTTCATAGTTAAACTTAGGGATATTGTTTTACGTTTTTTTAACTCACCATCTATTGAGTCTGCTGTTTCTATCTCCATCGAGTCTCTTTACATCTGTTACTCCACTCCCAAAACATTTATACGCATGTCAATTTCTTACTCTTCTACTTCTTAAGCATGCTCTTTATTGTAGAGTTGGAGTGTCTAGTTTTATATGTAATTTATGATTAATTCTTATTAATTTAATTTAAATTTAATACATCTTGACAAAACTGAATCATATCGTTTCTTGTTTCTTTGTCCAAGTCTTTTCTAAGTTCCAAAATGGTTTTCTAATTTTAATTTATTGTTAATAAAAGATAAAACCACAAAATGAATATTTTTTACGACAGTTTTAAAGGTGAATGCAGGCCCAAAGCAAACTCTCAAATTTCTACAGTTTTTCTAAATTTTAATTTCAGAATCTTCTGTGATAAAATCAATCATTTCTTAAAATGGTTTTAAGCTAGTCTTTAAGCTAGAATCAGTTAAAAAGGTACTAAATTCTTCTTCAAGTAATTTTTGATCATCTTCCAACTTCTCGACAAAGTCATCAATCTATTAAAAAAAAAAAAAAATTAAAAAATTGAATATAAAATAAGGAGTGATGTGATTGATTACTTGCTCTTTTTTAGCTTTTGGGCAACTCAAAATCATGCATTAGAAATAATAGAGGATAAGCTAGTCTAGAATTTATTTCCAAGCTTTACGTTAAAAGCGATCATGGAAAATTTTGATTGATTTAATTCTGCTTTCAACAAATTATTAAAGAGTGTCGCCGAGCTTGATTTCAAGAAATGCCTTTTTGCTAAAGTAGGTTGGTAATTCATCAAGAATGTAATTTTCTACTTTGTTGTAAGCGTTATTTGATAAATTAATAAACGATTTAGCAATTAAACTTTTATTGTAAGCTTTCTCAATATCTTCTTCTTTGATTCCTTTGATTGAAATAAGTCTAATTAATTATAAAAAATAAATTTAGTTTCTTCAAGCAAATAAATTTTAATTTTGAATAGAATTTTTAATTACCTATTGTAATATTTATTGCTACTGTCATTAAAATTGAGTGTGTTATTGCAGATACAAATCAATTAGTTGATGGAAAAATCCATTTCATCAATCATGTTTTAAACTCCTTGTAAGTAATATTGTATTAATTGTGATCCGTAGAATCCGAATTATTTTACTAATTCTTAGCAAGAGCAAATAGCATAACTAAAATCTAGTCCTTCATTTATTATTTTAAACAAATCAACATAAGTTGTGCTTGTAAGAATTTCTTTTTCTTTAATAGCTCTATCTAACTCTTCCTAAAGACTATTTTTCCTTTCATATTCTAGTATTCCATCTATGATTCCTTCTGCAGCTTCTATACTTCTATTAGTATGAATTCTAATTAAAGTGTTAAGACCATGTTCAATTCTATCATCGTTGATAAATTTTTTTAGATCTTCCTGGTATTTGCTAATCCAAGTTGACAATTTTAGAAGTGAAACACCCTATTTAAATAAATTATAAAAAGCCCTTTAAATAAAAACTCCATTAAATTAAAATATTACATCAAATGTGGAAAACCTTTCTTCCCAGAACTCTTTCAGAAGGTTGCAAATATGTTCATGCAAGTAATCAGTATATTCTTTAATTAAATCTTCTCTTTTAGGTTGCTTGGCCAAGCATGCATTCATTACCTATTGAATAAAATAATAAATTAAATTTCTTTAAAGAAACTTAATTAATTTACTTACATCTAACATCTCTGTGGCTAACAATTAAAGAAAATTTAGAAATATATCTAAATCTTATATTCTATTTTATTTATTTTAATAATTTTTAACACACTTAAATATATTAACATTTATTCAATTAAATCATTTAACTGTTAGGAAAACAAACATTCTAACAAATAAAATTTTATCTATCAAACTGGTTTAATTAATTAATTAATTATTTTCAAAAATGATTTCAAATAAATAATTAAAAACAAAATTATTAAAATTTTATAATATTTACTTTTCATCTTCAGTTAACTCTTTTCCAAGAGCTGTTGATTTAAATTTTAAAATATCGGCATCTATTTTTTCTCTCAAACCCTTTCTTCTCTCTATAAAACTTGTATGATTGTCATATTCTTTTAAAATTCCATCTATATTCTTCTTGATTTTAAGCTATTTTTATATTTATTTAATTATTTTTAATAAAACATTGTAAGAAAAATTAAATGAATGATCAAAAAATTCATACATTTTTTTTTTAATTTGTTTTTTTATTTTATGAAAAAATATTGAATTAAATTGTTAAATTTTAAAAATTTTTTGTAAACAAACCTAAGAATTTCTTTCATTTTTAATAAATTTCTAATTAATTTTTTAGCTTACTGCTTTTATAAATTCAAATTTTTAATTTATATCCGAAATCCCAAAAACAAAATAAATTTTTAATCTTAAAATTAAATTATTTCTAATAAAGCTAAATTTGAATTACATTTCCTTTATTGAGTTCTTTGATAGTTTTTATTGAAGTTTTTAATTTAGAGACCCATGTTATTCTTTCAACTGCTGTTTCAGCCATTAAATGATATAATCTATCGCCCATATTAATTGAGAAAGTAAAACCTTTCTCCTTTGATTTGCTCATATCTTTATCAAAGACTTCAATACACTAATTCATTTTTAAACCTTTTTTTGGTTTTCCTATATTTTCCTTGCTTTCAATCTTAAATTAGTATAAAGTATCTAATTCCATCCATGGAGGCCTATCATAAGTTAAATAAATAAATAAATAATTTTTTTTTATATTCTCAAAATAGATTAAATAGATTCATTTTAAAATAAATGTGCCAAAATTTAATATTAAACATTTATTGGTTGATTAGTTGAGAAGCTATTTGTTTTATTTGTTAAAAGAAAGCTTTATGATAAATCTAATTTTTTCCCTAAAAAATCAATTTATTTTTATAGTTTTTGTTATTTTAAAATATATTAAAATAAATTATCTTTTTAATTAAATCTATAAAAAGATTCATTATTTATTACAAGTCAGTTTCTTATAGAATCTCTTCATCAAAATATTCAGAGCTAAGAGGCTTAGCAGAAATCAAGATAAACCATCTCTTCATGAAATATTTTACTTTTCCTTTAGAACGCTTGTGTAAAAAGCCACAAAGTATTCTATTTTGATATTTAGGGCTTTCTGGATTAATGTGGTCTATTAGACCGCACTTTTGAATTAAGTAATTGTTATCTATTTCTAAATCCAAGTTAGATTTGCTGCCCATTCTTGCTGAGTCAGGACTCTTAGATTCCGATCCAGAGTTATTTGAATCTAGATTTGATACTCCTATTTATTAATTAAAAATAATTTATCAATTAAACTTGATTTTTTTGTCTAAAATATAAATTTAGTATTATGATTAAAATAAATTAAGTTTAATTGTTGAACGTAAATTAGAAACCAAAATTAGATTCTAAACGTTTTTTTCGATAATAATTTGTTTTTATAAATGTTTAGTTTAATCTAATGAAATGTTTATTCTATTTCATATTTTATCAATTTGCCTTAAAAGTTTGTGCACTATTACTAACTCCTGCATTCTTATTAGATTTAATTACCATAAATCTAAAAATATCTTTAAAAATTGTAGATTTATTTAGTGCTTAAAACTTGCTGGATAATATGAATATTCAATATTTAATTGCTATAATAATAATTTTCTATCTATTACTGTCTTTTTATACGCAAATAGAAGATAATGATCTCTCTGAAAAGGTCTTCCAACTTTTTCTTGGAGAGACAATACTGCTTCTTTAACTATTTGTAAGAGGTTCAAGAGGTTTTTGCATGTTTGGATACTTTTTCTAAAGCCACTTCTTTATAATCATTAAATTTCTGGACCACTATGCTCTCAATTAGCTTGTCTTTGGCTTTAAATCAAAATTTCTCTCTGGATAAATAATGCTAAAAATGCGATCACCATCATAATGAATATCCTATATCTTTGCTATATCAATATGTCCTTTTGGCTTTGGATCTTTCTATAAATATAATAAATATTAATTAGTACTAAATTCTTCATTATAGTTTGCTTTAAAATTTTATTTAGAACTTTATCTTTATCAAAATTCGCTTAAATGGTGATAAAACCTAATCCATTATGATAGTCACCAACTATCTCTAAAATATATTTCATATAATTAACTTAATAACTCCTTTTACCTCATTTTCAAAATACGCTAGGGAATAGCTCTTTTCTCCATTTGCTGCTATAACAAAGTACCTATTTTATAAAATGTATCTTCAATTTCAACAAAGATCAACTCTATTAGCCTAAACAATTTATTAATTTGCTTAATAACATGCTTGATTTATTACCTTTTTTACCATCCACCTAGAAAGTTTGGAGATTTCTTCTTAAGCCAACCCTTAAAATTTTTAGCCTTTTTATGATAATTATAGGAGAAAGGGTTTTAATAAATGCTTTTATAAGATAATTAAGTTACATCTTCTATCTCTTATGGTAATATATCTTCAATCCTAAAAAACAAAGCCATTTATAATAAATATGAATGATTTGCGCAATTTAGCTATTTTTTTTAATGTGCTTATTTTAATTGTTTCTGATTATATTGAATTAATTAATTATTTAACTATTTAGTTTGCTTGTTTGTTTGATTGCTCTAGTCAACTGTAAAATTAATTAAGTGATTGATTACTTTTTACCCTATTATTAATATTTATAATGATATCAAAAGATAAGTAGTGAGTGATCAAAAATACTCCTTAAAGTTTTCACTTAAACATAAAAATTGTTCTTCATAGCACTTAATTAAATATGCATAAAATTAGAATAGTGTTTTGCATGCAGATAACATACTATTTGATTTACACTTATTGATCGATTCTTGCTATCCCTAAATTAAGTAAGTAAAGGAAACTAGTAAACAAATTAATCACCAAAATCACTCGTAAAAGATTTGTTACTCTTAACATTTATAAAAGTATACTAAGTACATTCATATGTCTTCAATCTTAATTCTTTTTGTATCTTACTAAGATATTCCCCTAAAAAACTAACTGGTACCATTTTTATAGAATTATTTTTTAAACAATATATTATAGTTAAATTTTTAATATAAATAAATAATCATTTTATATGTTAAATAAAATTAAAAATATTTTTGTTTAAAATATTTATTAAAAATTAATTTTTTATTCAAACTAAATAATTATTTTACAAAAAATTTGTCAATTTCAAATTAAAATGTGCAAGTTCAGCTTATTTTGAGCATTTTATCCAATTAATTATTCTTTGCCAACGATAAATTTACTTGAAAATTAATAAAGATTAAGGAAAAATTCATTTTAAGATTTTATCCTACTAAAAATTAAATAAAAGAAATAATATTTATTGAAAATTAATGATTTTCAAAATTATTATAGAAAAAAATCAATTTATTTTTTTTGAAATTAAATTATTAAAAAAATAACAAAATTGATAAAATGTTAATGAAATCAAGATAAGCAAATTAAAATAGATAGAAATATTTTAATATTTACAAAAATTAATTTTTATTTTTATTAAATTTGTTAAATTAAAAATTTTTTTATTAAATTTATTGCTATCATATAAATAGTAACAAAATATGTATGTTAAGTTTATGAAGGTTAGAACTTTACAAATATTCTTTTCCAACTGATTAAAGCTTAAATAAATAAACTATTTTATCCTTAACAATTAATGATTTTACTTAAGTATATAATCTGATTTTAAATTTATTTTTATATAAATATACATATACAATAATCAACTAACTAATTATTTTATTTAAAATTGATACCAATCTAAATTTTGTTACTTTAATCATGTCATGACCAAATGACCAATATCTATAATTTAATGTATGTATTATATATAAATTATCTTCTATAATAAATATAATGGCTGGTTTGTTGGTCATTCTTTCCTTCATTTTGTATCTAAGACTGATCCTAAATAACTCAATGTTTTTTGTGTGGTTTATACTTATTGAGTTTATTCTGCAGTTCCAGCAGAAAGGTTTGAATTTTTTGTCTTTTCAGTTAAATCTAAATTGTACTATTATATCAATTAGCTTGATGTTGTACATTTTTTCTAATTTTCATTTTAATCGTTATTTATATTGTTTTATGGATCGTTCACAATACTTGGAATAAATACACTTAATACTCTTTCTCCAAAGTATTGACTATTTGTTGGTTAATTATTTTATTATTCATCTGTGTCTTCATTATCTACTTATTCATTCATTCTAGTAAGGTTGTTTTAGTTAGTATTTTAATTTTCCACTTAAACTTGATTTTGTGCCTATAAGTAATATTAAACAGCTTTGTTAATATCTGAAAAGATCTAGCTGGTTATAGGAATTGCTTATTAAACTTTATTATCCTAATTATTCGGTTCATTTGGAAAACCATATGCAGAGCCAAATCCATTTATAAGTACACTTGTAGAAGGATTTTATTAATTAAGATTAACTTTACTTTGTTATAAATAAGTATAATTTCCAAAATTATAATCATCTTAAACTTTACTTTATACTTAACTTTCATACTACTTTGCATTGTTATCTTATCTTACCTAGCTGCTAGTAGGAAATTGTTGCTAAATTTAACTTTTCGTTAGGGAAATTTATACTTAATCTTGCTTGCTTAGCTAAGCGGGTAAATTAAATGCTGGACTAAAACCATTAATCAAGACACTGGTAGAGGGATATTATGAATTTAAATTAGTTTAAATTTATTGTGAAGTGATTTGGTTTGTTTAATTGTTTTCTTAATTTTAGTTCTACGTTTAAATTTGATATTAAGGATTATTAAAATTTTAAATTACTTAGCTACTAGAAGGAACTTATTTTTAAATTTAACTTTTCACTTCTGATTTAATTTAATCAGGTTCGTTTTATTGATTAGTTAAATTATATGTTGGGCTGATCAAAGCATTTGTAGAAGTATTTTATTAACTTTGATTAACATTTTTTAATTATGAAAAGTTTTGATTTTCTGAATCATTTCCTTTATTTTCTTAATTTTATAGCTAAAGATGATATTAATGAGTGTTCAAATCTTACATAACCTGGCTGCTAGAAGGTAATTACTATTAAATTTAACTTTTCACTTAAGATTAACTTATTTAATCAGGCTTGATTAACTGATTGGTTAAATTATATGCTTATCCGAAACCATTAATCAATACACTGGTAGAAGCATTTTATTAGTTTAGATTAGCATTATTTTTTTATGAAATAGTTAGATTTTCTTAATTATTGTTGCCTTTTTCTTGATCTTAAAGCTAAAGATTATATTAATTAGTGTTAAAATTTTACATAACCTGGCTGCTAGAAGGTAATTACTATTAAATTTAACTTTTCACTTAAGATTAACTTATTTAATCAGGCTTGCTTAACTGATTGTTTAAATTATATGCTTGTCCGAAACCATTAATCAATACACTGGTTGAAGTAATTTATTAGTTTATATTAACATTATTTTTTTATTAAATAGTTAGATTTTCTTAATTATTGTTGCCTTTTTCTTGATCTTAAAGCTAAAGATTATATTTATGAGTGTCAAAATTTTACATAACCTGGCTACTAGAAGGCAATTACTACTAAGTGTTTAAATTATATGCTTGTCCGAAACCATTAATCAATACACTGGTTGAATTAATTTATTAGTTTATATTAGGATTATTTTTTTATTAAATAGTTAGATTTTCTTAATTATTGTTGCCTTTTTCTTGATCTTAAAGTTAAAGATTATATTTATGAGTGTCAAAATTTTACATAACCTGGCTACTAGAAGGCAATTACTACTATGTTTAACTTATTTAATCAGGTTTGCTTAACTGATTTGTAAAATTATATGCTTATCCGAAACCATTAATCAATACACTGGTAGAATTATTTTATTAGTTTAGATTCGCATTATTTTTTTATGAAATAGTTAGATTTTCTTAATTATTGTTGCCTTTTTCTTGATCTTAAAGCTAAAGATGATATTAATGAGTATTAAAATTTTACATAACCTAGCTACTAGAAGGTAATTACTACTAAGTTTAACTTTTCACTTAAGCTTAAATTTAATCAGGCTTGCTTACCTGATTGGTTAAATTAAATGCTTGTCCGAAACCATTAATCAATACACTGGTAGAAGTAATTTATTAGTTTTGATTAGCATTATTTTATTATGATACGATTTGATTTTCTTAATTGTCATTATTACCTTTTTCTTAATTTTCAATTTAAAAGTTATATTAATTAGCATTAATATCTTATGCTACCAAACTGCTTGAAGGTATTTGTTGCTAAATTTAATTTTTTATCAATGAACCTTATATTTAATCATTTTTATTTAGCTCATTGATTATATAATCAGGTTTGCCTTAGTTTTTAGCTAAAGCACTATTAATAGCTATTTATTAATTCTGGTTAACTTAATTTTATTATGAAATGAATTGATTTACTTAATTATTGTTTTGTTGCTCTTGATTTTCAGGCTAATGATTTTAAATAGTATTATTACCTAACATTAACTCATTGTTAGAAGTAAATGGTAGCTAAATTAAATTTTTTACTACATCGCTTTTATTTTAATTATCAGTATTTTACTTTTTAGTTACATTAACATTTGGACTAAGATCTATAGCTAAAGTTTATTAATAGTTTTATGAATTATCATTATCATAAATTATTTGGTTGTAAGGTTATTAATTTATTTAACCTTCTAGCATTTATATGTTTATATCAGTGGGTTGAACATCATTTTAGATATTTGTTTCATTTTCTCTTTATAAGAAGTTATAATCCATTTAGTTAATAAGTTAGCTCATGGATTAATCTCTTAATTGTAACTTTTTTATTTCTGATATACTTTCTAAAAATTATTTTTAGCTCTTACTATTAACTATTTAAATTAAATGCCTTAAATCTATATCATCTGAGTCAGAAAGTCTAGCTATCAGTATTTATCTAATCAAAACATTGTCAGAAATCATTTTTTGTTATTAATTTGAGAATTATTAAATTATATCAAATAATCTTTTCTCGAATTCCTTTTTATTTAATTAATGAAAATAATTTAAAACAGATTTTATAAATAAATTAGTGAATTAATGAATAAGTAAAAAATTGAGTGAGTAGATAGATAGGTAAAATTAATTTTTGGTTTGGTTATATTAAATTAAATTCTCTATATTAGTAAAAATAATAACATACCTTAAAAAGTTTTTCTCTAAATTCTTCACTTTAGTCTTAAACACTTTTTGATTAAGTTTCTTATTAAATGTATTCTAAAACATTTTCTTGAAATCTGTTATCTTTTAAGTGTTTCAGAAAATCTTTATAAAATTTATCCATCGACTAAACTAACTTTCTTAAATATTCTACATCTAAAGCAATTAAAATAACTTTGAATTAAAGTTATGTTTGAAGTTTATCATAATCTTTGCATAACTTCTCTACTTCTTTTATATTCACACCATTATCAATCTTATCTCTATGCTTTATTTAGAGATTGGAATACCCTATATAAGCTTCCTTTTATTTTATAAAAAAAACTTAAAATGGCAATATGAAATTTAATAAATACACGCTTAGCCCTCTCTATATCTTCTTCTTTACATTTATTTTTTTTCAACAAATTTTCGATTTGATCTTTTATGTTCAATTCTAAATCTTTTTGGACACATTAATAGTAGTTCTTAAAATTTATTTCAGGTTATTTATCTTTTATTTCTTAGTCTTTTTTTTTTTTAGACGACCCAGCGCAACCCATTTAGCTAAATTTATTTAATAAAGTAGATATCTATCTATTATCTTTTGAATTAGATCTTATTCAGTATTATTATTTTTGTAATTTTTTTGATTGATTTATTAATTTAGATTTAACGAAACACAATCAAAAAAACAAGCAAATAAGCCAAAAAGCAAAATAATTAATTCTTTTAATTGATGTAACAAAAAAAGATCTAAAAGGGATATAGATCAATATAAATTGATAAAGATATTTTCATATATTTAAAAAAAGTCTCCAAATTCAAATTTATAAATTTATTTTTATGTCCTTAAGATTTATTTAATTTTTTCATTAAAATCTTTATACTAGTTATAACAGACAATTAATTAACTCTTTGATTTTCAATCCACTAATTATTAAAAATAATACAATAATTTTAACTATGCTATTTAAAGTTATTTCTAAGTTAAAAATTAAAAAATTCTTATTTACATAATTAATTTCAACTACTGTCTTATATTCTCCAAATAAAATAATGAGGGGAGAAAGCATTTAATTTTTTATTTTTTACCTTATTCAAATATCACTCATTTATGTAAAATAACTAAAACTTTTTAATTTATTTATGCAATTTTTTATTCCTGGGTGAAGTAAAAATATTTGATTTTGAATAATTTTTTAGGTCTGGAATTAATTTACATTTATTTTTTAATATTAATACTTCAGATGAGGAATTTTGAATATAAGATATTCTTCCATTCCATCCATATATTTAAGGATACTAAATAAATATTTCCATTTTTAAGTCATTTACAAATTAATATTCAAACAAACTGTTTGCTTATCTATTTATTTTTGAAAAAATTTATTCTTGAAAATTAAGAAAAAATAAGATATTGCAACATAGAAAAACAAACATTGTTTTATAATAAAAATGATTATTTTATTTAAAGAATCAAAAACTTTATTTCTCTTTTTAAAATTTTTCTCATATATTAAATTTTAATCTCTATTTTTGTCACTTTCATAATTTTTAGTAAGGAAAGTTAGTTAGTTTGTTAGTTAGTTAGTAATAAATCAAATTAAATTAAATTAATTTCTTATTATTTAATTAAAAGAGTAACTCAATTAATTAGTTAGTATTTTACCATAGTTTAAATTAAAATACGATATTTAGCAATGAATTAATCAATTTTATTCTAATGCATTTCCTAAATAATTTAAAATATCTTAACGACTTTATAATTAATGAGTGGAGTTTTTAGGTTTATTTTAAAAGGTTTAAACTTTTTACTGGATATCTACATCTAAGTTGTATTATAAAATCAACTAGCAAGCTGTTAAGTTTTAATTTGAATCTTTTTGATCACTTTGATTATTATTTTATTAAATTTAATTCCTAATTATATTATTTTATGTGAAGAGCTAGGTGTTTGGCACCATTTTGCTAACTATTTTTTCTCCAAAGTATGTATTATCAATTGACTAATTAATATCTTATTCATTTGTATCTTCATTATCTTCTTAGTTAGGAAGTTTATTTTAACTTGAATTGTATTTTGTATTTAACATTGATCCTATCTTGTAATTTCCTTATTATTAAAATCCTATTTAACTACTTGAAAACTATTATTTATCCTAAAATTTGCTTGATGATTAAAATTCATAGTTCATATTTCTCATAGTTTGAGCTACATGACTGCTAGAAGGATAGGCTTTTTAATCTTAAGTGTCTTGGTATGTATATGTTAAGCCAAATTAATTAATGAGAGTACTACTTGAAGGTAAAATATTGCTTTATTGCTATTTTTGATTCTAAAATTAGGATTTGGAACTATATTATTAGTATGATACAACATCTGCCTTTTAATTTCTTTCAAAATTGTAATAATTTTCTTTTTATAAAATTATCTAGCTTTCAGAAAAAGATTATTCTTTTAATAGTTATGAAATATAAGTGATAGTTTCTTACTATCCTTAAGCCTCTTTATTAATCATTTAAACTAACTATCTTAAATCAATATCGTCAGAATCTTAAAGTCTAGCTTTTAGAATTTGATGAATCAAAGCCTTATCTGATATCATTTTTTTCCCTGTTTTATCTGAGAATTTTTAAATCTCCCCAGCTAGCTTTTTCTTAAATTCCTTTTCGTTTAATAAATAAATTATGATAAACTTTAAATTGCTTTGAAAAATAAATGAAAATAAAATAAATATGTAAAATCTAATTAAATTTTGTAAGATGAAAATTTAATTAAATTAATTTTGTTTTTTTGTTTGCTTGTTAATAACCAAATTATAAATTTACATCAAATAGTTTTTCTTTTTCTTTACTATCGCATTGACTCAAATCTTTAACACCAAGCTATTTAGTTTGATTTTCAATATGTTCCAAAATATTTTTGTAGACATTATTAACCTTGAAGAATTATATATATTCTTTATACAAATTCTCAATGTACTAAACTAACTTTTACAAATATTCAATATCAAAGAGAATCATAAAAACTTTAATATCGAAAAATGTCTGCTAATTGTCATAATTCTTGCATTTTTCTTCTAATTTTTACATATCTACTTCTTCTTCCTTTATTTTATCTTGATAAGTATCCATTTCTTTATATAAAACAAGTGATTCCTTTTATTATTTATAAACAATCTTAAGAATACAAATTAAAATAAATTAATAGATTAATAAATTAATAAATACCTTTTAAGCTTTCTTTATATCATTCTCCTTAATGTTATTTTACTTTAAAAGGCTAATAATTTTTTAATTTATGGAGTATTATGATTATTTTTGAATGTCTTAATAGTAATTCTTTTCAGATTCATCAAGTTCTAGATTAGCATTGTTTTATGTAGCATTTTAATTCGTTTATGTTTTGTTTTTCAAATTTTATTTATTTTGTGTTGCGTCTTTGTCCTTATTGTTAGCTTCATGTGTATTTTAAAGATTAACTTTTTATTGCACGTCATCCTAATTGTTTCCAGGTGTACTTTTCTAAGTTTTCTCGTTTTCGTTGCTACTCTGCGCATAAAGCTATTATTTGTTTTCTTGCAATTTATGATCTTTTGATATTTTTTTGCTACTACCACATCCCATTTTAGTAAAAAGTGGTTTGAATTTGATAGATATTTCTCTTTTTATTAATTTTTTTTTTGAGGATTTTTTATATTTATAATATTTGTGGAATCTATCTATCAATCAATAACAAATTTCAATTAATAAAAAATAAATTTTTTTCTTTAGAATCTTTGATTAGAACTTAATAAGGAGGTATGAATATGAATTAATTATACGATGATTAATTGCTAATATAAATTTCATTTTTAAAAATTTACATCCTTCTTTAAAATATTTTTAATAAAATTTTTAAAAATTAAAAAAAATAATAATTTCCTTTTATTGATATTCATTCATTCATTCATTCATTCATTCATAATACTCATGATTAACTAAATAATATAAAAATAAAATAAATTTGAAGTAATTAATTACAAAAAGGATAAAAAAATCAAATTATTTAAATCAAATAAAATCACTTAAATATTTCAATAAAAATATTTTAGTGAATTTCTTAAATAAAATCAATTAAATTTATTAGCATAATTCATATTTTATTAAATAAAACTAAATTATTTTATTAAATTATTCAAATGTTAATATTTTTTCCACTTTTTATTTTTTAATTTCTTAAAAATACCTACAAAATTTTTGGTTCAGTAATAATATCTCTTAATTTAAATAGTAAAAATATTATCTCTTCTTTTAAGGAGCTGATATTTTAAAAGAAATTACCATAAAAAAAATACTCGATATAATTAACAGAAATTACTCTTAATTAAATATCTCAAGAGATGTACTTATGAGAAAGTTTTAAATATTTTGTATCAAAAATCGAATTTTAATTAGATCTAATTCATTATTTTTGTTTTAAATTAATCAAATTTTTATTAAAAAATAAATAAAAAGTTTTAAAACATTTATTTAATATTTTTTTTGATAATTAGTTACTATAATTAACAATTATTTAAATGATGAGTTTTATTCAAGTTTAATTAATTATAAAGGAATAAGGCTAGCATTAGATAAATGAGATTTAAAATTATTGCTTGAAAAATACATGATTTAAATCAAATTATTAAAAGAGGACTCCAGAATATGGTTATAAATACTAATTAATAGATTAATTTTCCATATATTTTCAAATATTTTATGAACGAGATATATCTTCATCTTATAATTTAAAATCTGTATTTATAGTTAGTGTTTCAATTTTGAAACAAATTTTAATTAATAAAATTAACGAAGACTTTTATCAAAAATAACGAAAAATAAAGATATTATTTGCTATCCGTTAGATTTTATCGTTATTATAACATTTCAAATAATAATATCATCACAAAATTTTGAAATAGTTTTTAAGAATTAATATTAAATTATTAAATGCTCAAATTAAAATTACCATTGCTGATATTTACTGAAAACTCAAGTAGTAAATAAGTTAAATAAAAATTTATTCATATTTATATTTTATTTTTAAGTCTTTGGTTATAATATACATAACATCTAACAAGGAAATTTTTAATTTCTGCATTATATATACATTAATTAATTAATAAATTTATTTTTTATGGAAAATTTAAAGGCTTTTTTTGGTAAAAAAATATTTAAAGTAAGAACTTGCTGCATCAATTTAAAATAGCTTCCATTTTATTTTCTTTTCAAACTTTTATTAAGTTTTATTCATTTTAAATATAAAAAGTTAGAAATACTTGTGTTGTCTATATTATTAATTAGTTGATCCTCTTGATCTTTCATTTGGTACTATATATTTTAGAACATCATCGCTTTCTTTACTGTCTACCTAAAGAGATTCAAATTATCCCTTAGTTATTTAGAATAAATTTTAGAAAATAAATTAGGAAATTTTTAGTTTAGGCTAACAAATATTCTAAATTTCTACAACTTCAGGATTGACAAGTAAAAGTATGACTAAAGAATTAGGAAAATCATATAAAAGTAAAATATTATGGTGATGGCTAGTGTAGAGTAATAGAAAGCATTTGATATATTTTACGAAGTTGTCTAATTTCCATAATTTACTAAGTAAGTATGAGATTATTGCATTGAAATAGAAGAAAGGAGATATAATATTGAAAGAGTTACTGAAGTTAATTCGATTTTATTCAAGTGTATCGATTAAAACGGCATCAATACTATAATTAAAACTGCATAAACTGATAAAAACCCTAGATAAAGAATAATAGCTAAAATTGACTGATTGAATAGGATTTAAAGGAGAATAATCAATACATTAGATAGTAAAACTTTTACAAATTACCAGTAGAAGAACTTTCTTTTATATTCATCAAAAAGAAATCCGAGCATTCTTATCACTCTCAGATTTTCTAGCTTTTATCTTTGAAAATACATTAATAGAAATATCGCTATTGGATTAATAATAATATAGAATAGAATTGAAATTAATCCTAACAATTTTATGCGATCAGTCATTTGGCTATGACATTCATATGAGAGATCAAGATAAACATAGCTAGTTTGTTTTGTTAATTGAATACATTTAAGCGATTAGAGCGAATATAAAAGAATCGAAGGTTAGAATACAAACAAAACTAGATAACAATAACAATGAATTGTTAGGTATATTAGATTAAATATTTTTTATGTTTGTCTTAGCATTAGTAAAGCAAATATCAAAAACATGCAAACACTTATAATCAATGGAGAATAGCTTGAGAATTATAATTTTAGTAGACCTATGCTATCTGTTTCTGGAAAAATGTTTTTTAAAAAGCAATCATAAGATGTATTGCCTTATCCTTGAAATGGGTTTAAGAAGGAAAAAATTTAGCTATCAAAAGATTCATTTTGCTTGTTAAAATCGATAAAATAATACGCGGAGAGATAAATCTAAAAGTTGAATAAAAGGATTTTTATGTAGACTGTAGCTTAGGATTATCTGAGGAAGCTTGTTCCTATGTAAACAATTTAAAGTTTTTAAAGGTATTTTCTTAGAATTTAGCTTTTCATTCGTTTAAAGTTGCTCACCAAAGCAAAAATAAAAACAATAAGTTAAAAGCACAAAGAAAATGTAAAATAAATGGTATTTCTAGGAATAGAATTACATTTAATACATTGAAATTACCCTGTTCCTCCATACGATTCACCCCAAACTGAACCATCTAAATCACAAGCTAAACATTAATCTCCCTTATATCCTTCCTTGCATAAGGAATTACCAATACCTATTCTATTTTCACTTTCACAGTTAGAAGGATTTAAGTTACATTGGTAAATTGAACTTTCATCTTCTACTAATTCGTTTCTCCAATACCCATTCACTAGAAACGTTAAATTAGAGTAGCAGCTTGAGTAATAATTTGGGTTGCAAGTCAAGCATGAGTAATTAGTTTTGTATAAAAATTGACCTAAATTGCAGTACTGACATTGCTAGAATATTTATTCCTAGCTTATTGAAGTTAGCTGCTGCATGCCTGCTTTGCATTAAGATGAAACCTCAAAACAACCTGGAGTATAAAAAGAGCTTTAAAAAAAATCAAACCTTATTAATTGGTTTGAGCTTTAGCAATCTAAATTAGGCACATAAGTAACAACTAAATAAGGATAATTGACTTCAGGTACTGAGAATGGAGAAAAGTACTATTGGTAATTTTGTGTAAGGTAACTATAGACATTTCCGAAAGACAGCTAAGGCGAATACTAAGTAAAATTTATGCTGTTTAATCTCAATTTTATAATATAAACAATTCCATACATCAACTTAGCTTATAAGCTGAGAGTATTTTTAGAATTAAAATCAGTCTAAAGAGTATAATTGATTTCTTTTATATAGAGAGGTGTGTTTTGTAATTGTTAATTATATTCAAAAATATTTTCTATTTAAAAAATTTCACAAGAAATTTGATCTCTGTCTTGAGCATATGGAGGACAAAAATAAGCATTTGGCGAAGTTATGCTTGCAGTGTTGTTAATATATTAAGAATTTAATATGTTAGATTCTCGTAAAACTGTAAATAAAACACCTCCAACTTTGCTTTTATTATTGATAAAAGTGCAATTAGTAGCATTTACTTAATACATATATAAGGCACCTCCGAAATTTCCACTAGAACATGAATCAAAAGTAGTGTTATATAATGTCACAAGTGGAGCTACTTGCTTCAGATAAATGCTTCCTCCATCTTATATAGCTTTGTTTCTATAGAAGTAACTATTCCTAATATATATCTTTGAATTTTACCAGTCGAAAGATGTAAGAAATCTAATATTCTTATTTTCTAAATCGATATTCATTTAGGTAATCAAAATATATCCTTTACTGGATTTTGAAATTAATATTAAAGTTCTTTATTCTTTTTCAAGCTAAATTTGAGACTAATCATCTTCAATCGTTTTATTAACTTCGCTGTAGTTATTATTACCCTTAGGTAACATTTTATATCCATTTATAATATTGCGAGTAGGTATTTCAAATTAAGAAAAGGTTAAATAGCCTTCATTAGCTTGTATGTCTACTTGAAATAATGGCAATTTAGACTGAAATATACTTAATGAATCTGATTCTAAATTGGATATGCCGAAGGAATTAATACTGCCAAGAATAAAAATTGGCTTTAAGCATGCTAAATTTTGGAGTTAAATTGATTATATTTTACATTCTTAGCACTTATTTAGAGTTGAATTCAAAATACCAATATTCGAATTCACATTTATTAGGCTAATTTTACTTATCTCTAATTTAGTAGCATTACCACAAATGCTAATAAAAGTCTAGTTTTAATTCTATTCAAAAAGTATGTCTACATTTTCAGCAGTAAAATTTAATTATATGCTTGAAGCTTCACATATTTACAAAGCTTAAGTGATAGTTGTGTTATTTAGATTGATATTTAAAACAAGTTTGTTTATTTAGTCCAAGTTTAAGACATTTTATCTGGAGATATATTTTATACCTTAACTAATTAATAGCTACTCAAGCTAGCTAACTTGGCAAAAACATATTTTGAATTCAAGCATAATTTATATAAATAAAAATCCGTATAAAATTAAACAACAAAGAGAATTATGAACTTTAGAAGCAATCTACATTTTTGAGGTAGAATAAAATAAAATTAGAATCTTTGTAACTTTGATATTTCTTTGAATTATTGATTAATTTATTAGCCAAATAATTTGCAAAATAATCTAAATTCAGAAAACTAAACAGCAAAAATTAATTAAATTTAATCACAAATGATTAATAATATAAAAAGTTAATAGATAATATTTTTTAGAACTTAACTTGCAAAAAGAATTTTTGTATTTAATAAAATAAACAATTTTCTTTTTTTGTGAAAGATAAATTATAATAATCTAATTCGATACCGAATTACTTAATAAAAAAAATATAATTTAATTTAAGTAAAGCCAGCTTAATTTCTTATTCAATATTACAAAGTATACAAATCATACTAAATTATACAATATATATACTTTAGATTCTTATAAATTAAGAATTTTGGTTATCATCTTTTTTTTATGGCAAACCTGAATACATGCTCTTTTTGGTGATATATGACCTTTAGTGTATATATATATATAATATTATTCGCCGTAAATAATAATTTTATGAATAATTTCTTTTAAATTTTATAAAACTAATTAATCAAATTAATATTTAAAAAAATAATTTAATCTGATAAATTTAATTTCTTACTTTAATTGAATTTAATTCATTCTTATCATATAAATAAAATAAAATAATTAAAAAATTTACTTTGCTTATAATACAGAAATGCGTTTTTAATGCAATTAAAAATAAATTTATTACTTAAAATCATCAGGCAGGCAGTCAAGGCAACGAACAATTTTTTAATTTTTTTAGCTTTAAAATTGAAGTAATTCTAAAATGGAAAATAATTTTTAAAAAATTAATTTATAAATTTAGATGCTTTTTAATCTAAAATAAAATTATTTTTCGAATTTTTTATTCCTCATTTAAATAGGTTTATTGATTTAATGTTTGGTTATGAGTTAAATACATAAAGATTAATTGATTAATTCATTCAATTATTATATATCAATAGAGTTCTGATATTTATTATAAATTTATCAAGTACTAATAAGGATATAGTGGAATATAACAAAATTATTTGTACACAATATTTATTAAAATCGACAATAAGTTAGCATAATAAATTAGATGAGTTTTTGGAGTAAATTAGATAAGATTTTAACTAGAGTTGAAGAAAAGGGTTTCAGAGCAGCAAATAAAATGCATTAATATGCCGTCAATGGACTTATTTTGGGATTCTTATATGGAACATATACATTATTTAGAGATTACAACGATTTCTTCATAGATGCAAGAGTAATTGATTTGTTTATTAAAAAACAATTAAAACATATAACTAAAATGATTCTTAAATTATGGATATTTATTTGTTATTTAATGTTGAAATATTTTTAACCCCTTTCTATTAAAATATATAATCAGGAAATTACCCCAGAATCATTAGGTCCCCTCCCTGAACCAGTAAGTGATGAATAAATAAATGCTACTTCTTCAACTAAGCTAAACAATAATTTAGGCGGATCTAGAAAATTCTGATTTATAGATAAAAATTAGTTTAAGTAATAAAAACAAATAAAATAATAAAATAAACTTAAATAAAATTAATATTATTTTGCATTCTAATTTATATAATTAATATTTTGCTTTAAAATCTTTCAACTTCCTTTATATTTTAAGATGCTAAAATATATTTATTTCCTTGATCTTTTTAATTAGTGTTTTGATAAATATTGATATTTGTTTTATTTTAAATAAATTTAAATTGTAATATTATATTTAATTGATTGATTGATTTCTTTCTTCACATAAAAGCTAATTTGAAAATTAAAAAAATAAAATAAAATTATTGCTTTGATCAAAATATTTCAAGATTTTCTTTCTAGATTTTTAATTGTTATTTATTTATTTTAAATATTATTTTCTTTCAAAAGTTTATTTAATTTGTATTTACTTTTATTCAAGTTATGAATCATTTTTAGTATTTTGTTTTATTTTCTGTTGCTTTTGTTTGTTTTTTTGTGTGGTTTAGTTAGCTTCTATTTTATGTATTTAATTTCTAATATTTCTTCATATTTTGTTTTTATATTTTTTCTTTTTGTATTTATATTTATTTAATTTGTTAGTTTGTTTCTTTTTTTTAGATGAGTCTTCAAGTTCTGATCTATATTTTAAAAAATACTTTTTATATATGTGGAAGAAGGTATGAATGAATTTATTCATCGCGATAAGGGTTTTAAGCTGAATTATTAGGTTAAAGACGGGCATGAGGCTACTTAGGGATATGGATATTAGAACGAATTTTTTTTTTTAACGGGATTAAAAGATTCCTTAAAAACTATAGCCCCACTTTCTTATGTATTTCCTTTAAAACAATTCAGCCTTTAGTAATGATTTCAAGTTGCTTTCTTTCAATAAATGAGATTGATTCATATGTAAATTCGGTATTTTTAAAAAACTTATGGGCATTACAAGTTTACCAGTTTATCCAATAAAAATTTTATATGGATCAATATCATTTATTGCTTTACAGAAAGATTTGCACTTTACTCTCTTGTTTTTTTTCTTTTGTTAATTTTTTGCTTTATTAAATGATTATAATTATCTGAGATGATTTTTGAGTTTGTATTTTCCCTCTTATTTCAAATTTTGAATTATCTAAATCAAATATGAAGATTAATTTAATTTTGTAAGAACAGAGAATTGAATTTTATAGATATTATTTTTCACATTTAATTAATTAAATTCTTAATAAACAATATTTTTTTTATAAATTAAAAAAGAAAAAAGAGGAAAAAAAAAAGCCTTTTTATCGGTAAAATATGTAATGAGTGTACAGAAAGTTTTTAAACAAGGTTTCATCAAAAAAAGTTGAAAAACCAGAATTCCCCTCGATAAAATAATTCTTTTCGCATTGATAAAGCTCCACTTATCAAACTGCGCTCTACAAATAAAGTTATTATTTTAAACTGTACGCTAATATTAAAACATTACAAAACTGATAAAATTGCTCAAAAATCTATTGAAAGAGATAGTAGGTTTAATCAAAATCATTTACCACCTTTACACCTTTATAAAATATAATAGATATATATTACTTTTTTAATATATTTTTAAATCAAGCCTGCCAACCAAAGTTCAATCTCGAGCACCTATAAAATTGATGATAGCTTAAAACAAATATTCAAATTTAAAAATACAAATAAAATTTAAATAAAAAAATTAAATCAAATAAATAATATAAAAATAAATAAATAAAAACAAATAATAAATAAACAACAAAAAATAATAAATGAATAAAAATAAATAAAATAAATAAATAAATAACTAAAAATATTAAAAATAACCAATTTAATACTTTTTTTAATGAAAATAATATGCATTTATTTTTGCTTATATTTTTCATAAATTTATTATTTTAAACAATTATTTTCATCAATATGATTAATTTTTAAGGTTTTTATTATTAATATTTTGATAACATACTTACTTACTTCATTTTTTCTATTAAAAATATTTTCATTTTTTTAAAATAAATAAAGTAAGATAGATAGATAGATTGAAAGGGCAATAAATTATAACCTAAAAATAAAAATAAATTGAGTATTTATATAATTTTAAATTAATTAAATTTATGTTAATATATGAAAATATATAATTAATTTAAATTATTTTATATTTAATAAAAATTTTTATTTTTTATTAATAAATTATTTTAATTGTTTTAGAAAATATAAATTTAAATAATATTTAAAAAGTAGTAAAAAATATTTTTTATTATAGAAAGAACTTATAAATTTTTATAATTTTTATTGATTTAAAATATAATTTATAACATTAAAGATACATGAAAATTAAAAATCTATTTTAATCATTTATTTTTATTTTGTTTATATCACACAATAATAAGATTGGGTGGGTACTGTTAATATTTAGAGAAAAATTTATTTCTGTTAAGAATTATTATGAACGAAAAAATTTCTTTGATTTACTTCACTTTAAAATTCAAATTATGTTTCTTAAGGATATGAATAATATTTATTAATAAGTTAAAATTCTTTTGGTATTATGAAACAATTAATTTTAATTAAAAAAAATTAAGAAAAATATTAAAAAAAACAATTAAAAATGAATAAAAAATAAGCTAAATAAAATTAAACCTTAATAGGAGCAGATGAAATACCGAAAAGATGTAGCAGCGCCAATCGCTGGAGTATTAGATGGTTTGAATGAAAGTTAGAAATGATTAAGTAAAAATTTTTGACACTTTGGATTCACAGGAAAAGTTTTTAATTGAGCGTTTATATCATTGCCGTCTGATATTTCGCTTCGAATCATTAAGTTTACTTCCCGAATCATTAAACTAACATTTTGCTTAAACCTAAAAATCTCCAAAAGATAGCAACTCTCCTGATTTTTGATATCTCTCTAATCCAATTCTCTCTCCACTCTTTTTATATAAAACAAAGGAACAATAGATATATTTAAAAAATACTAACATAGAATTGATCTCAGCTCTCTTTTTGAAAAAAAAATTGAAATCTAAACATTAAAAAATAAATAAATAAATACATAAATAAATAAATAAAACAAATAAAATAAAAAATATAATAAATCATATTAAAAATTAACTCATTAAAAATATCCTAAATAAAATAAATAAATGACAATTAAAACATCTTTAAACAAAAAACATGAAAATATAATTAAACTAAAAGTAATACTTAAATAACATTGATAAATAAATAAACAAATAAATTAAACAATTAATATTTAAATATAAAAACTATTTTTTGAATTCTTTCACTACTGTTAATACTCAATATTTCTTTCACTACCATACATTCTCAATAATTAAGACCATAGATAAAAAAGATTTTTTCTAAAAATTTGACCAAACTATCAAAAATTATGTAAAAATGGGCTTAATAAAAGTTGGACTTAATTTATGAGACTACTAATATATTTAAAATCAAATAAAACTAAATTATCTTTAGTTATTTAAAACAAAATATTTTTTTATATTTTATTTAAAAATAAACTATCATATAAATTTCCGCTTTTTAACTAATAATTTTGCATTATATAAATAGACAGATATTTATTTAGATAGATCCTCATCTAATCCAATAATACTTGTTTTTGTATTAAATTATATTTTGAGTTGAGGTACTTACTTTTTTAATATATTTATCTTTGCTAATAATTCATAATAAAAATTAAATTTAGTTGTATTGGATAAAATACAAATAAGTTAAAATTAATATTATTTTTTTATATAAAATGAAATTATTAAATTTAATCACTATATTTAATAAAATAATGATTTGGTTTAATCAATTTAACTTTGAAATTTATTAAAGTATTTCAAATAAATTTATTAGAAAATCTTTGAACGAATAATTTACCCACTCAAAATAGAAAGTATATAAGGTTAAAATCATTAAAAATTAATAAAACATCAATCAAATAATATTTAGATTTAAAAAAAATACATTTGAATATTAAACAAATAAATAAATATTTGAATAAAACTAAATGTGTTAGTTAAACTCATACAGAGAGAGAGATAGATAAATTATTTGTTTGTTAGATTTCTTATTGCTCATTCGTTGATTTCTTCGTCAAGAGGAATGTGCTTCATTTTAGGATCATTGTAAGTGTCTTGAGATTAACTAATGCCAGCTACGTTACGGACATCAGTTAATTCGAAATTGAGTCTCTTTGCAGTTTATTTATACTTTTTAAAGTAGAAGATTAACAAAGTAATAAGCACAAGAGCTCCAATTATAATAAGTGCTATAACAAATACTGGAATTCCTTCATGAGTAGATTAATCTTAAATTTCCTTAATAGGAACCAATATTTATGATTGGTCGAGGATTGCTTCACTGTAGTAAATGTTTTAGCTGTAATATTAACCATTAACTTTGTTTTTCCAATCTATACTTGCACGTACTATTACAAATGGAGTGCCATCGTTGAGGTGTTTTTAGAAAGTTTGGTTATCCAAAGGAACAGATATTTCTTTTTTCTAACATTTTTGGCAAGAATTAATACATTCTTTGGATTCATTAAAGCTAAAGAAGAGGACAGGAACCTTGACATTTGTTTCAAGATAAAGATTTAAGTTTTATTCTATTGAATTAAAATCGCCTGCAATCTAGCTAAATTTCATGTTGGTACCCTTGATTATTTGTTTATCCTTAGATATCAACAATGAATACATAATATCTTCAATAAAAAAGTCTTCTAAGTCTTATTTGTAGCCAGAACAGTCAAGGGGCTCAAACGAGAAATTAACATGAGTATATTCATCCCATTTCTCTAAGCTTTTTAAACCTGTAATTGTAGGCAAATCTAAAGTAGGCTTATGGAAAGCAAGAGTTGGCAGTTAAGTTTTGGATGGGAAGGAGACGAATTTAATAAAACCTTAGCTGTGCTTAGCTAATCCCCTTATTTTAATGTAGAAATTACCAGTGCTTACATCAACATCTAAAATTTAACGAGTTCCAGGAGTGAATGTAAATTAGAATTTATCATTTATTGCGCTATCTCTTTAATAGGTTCCAACAGTGTGCAAGTCACCCTTCAAACAGTTTATTTCGATATAGACCTTTCTTTCTTTTTCAGGTAATATGATGCCATATAAGAAAGTGGATTAAACATCGCCATCAAAGTAAAAGAATGTAGAGACGCCTTCATCCAAAAGAGTGAAGCTTTAACTTAAATATATTGACAATTTCTTTACATCATTCTTCTATGTATTTTTGAGTTTCATCAAAACTTTTTTCATTCCCTAGGAAGTTGTTAATTACAAATGACGAATATACAAGTTAGTAACTGGGTCATAAATATCACTCAAAACATTCTACAAAATTGGAATTTTATCATCCGTCTCATAAATATCTTCTATAACTTTAACTCCTTCTTCGTATTTTCCATCATAGGCGTAGGAAATCATAATATTTACTAGCTTATCTCCTTACATTTACTTTTTTTAAATAAATAAATAAATTAATTGCTTAATAATTTCTTTGATATTTATAAAAAAATCATAAAAGTCCAATAAATATTTTATTTAGAGAAAATTTATTTCTTTTTAAAAATAAAAAATATTTTTTTGCTTTATTAAATTTATTAGATGATTTATTTTAATTAATTCATTCTTTTCAACATATTATTTTTTTATTTAACAATTTAATAAAACTGAATAATATTTTTTGTTTTCAATAAATTATTTGCTTTTTAAATTTTAATTTTAGAAACTTTACAAGATAATAGTTTGAAAATTTTTAATTTACTTTGGATAAAATTAAAAGCTTCTTAATTACTTAAGAAATTTTTTTTAAAATAAGAGCTTTTATTATGAATTTTTATTTTAATTGAATAAATTAATCGATAATAATTTACGATTGTATATATCTTTGACTATTGTGAACTTAATTTCGATTCTTTCAAAGGAACGTCAAAACTGATCATCGGGTAAGTGTTTTCATTAACGAATTTGATATTGAATTTAGAGTAGGCCTTTATTTTAAAAATTATTTATTAAAATATTTAATAATAATTTGTTTTAATGTGAGTTTAATCAAATTTAAAGAAAGGTAAAAGTTTACTAAAGCTGTAATTGTAACGGAATATTATTGATTAGTGTTTTAAAGTTCAGGTAGATCGAATGTGTGTAAGATATTCTTGTTTATTGTGTCTTTTATTATTTCTCTTCCATTTGAATTGGTAATGTTAACATAAACAGAACCTGTTTAAAGATCTATGGATAAAGTAGATTTATTCAAAGTGTTAAAGTTGTAAACAAATGTTTCTGAGGTGTTTAATTCATTTGATTACAATATATTTTCGAGAAGCGAGATTATCTATCTTTAAACAGCTAGAGTTAAAGAGGCTCCATTCCTCTCTGTTGTACGCAACTAAATGATGTAGGTACATTACTTTTCACATTAATCTTGCTTCTCTCTAATCTCAACAACATTTTCATAAGTCTATGAAATGTAGCTTTATAGTGGGAGTTTGTCTTTGGTTTCTTTGTTTAATAAAGCAACTGTGATTTAGGTGTGACCTTAAGTTTGTTAAGACTAAATAATTTTAAATGGTTGTCCCTTAACTTTATTCTTAAAAACAAAGTATTGATAATCTTAGTTATCTTTTAAATTAATCTATTATGACTATCCTAAGCTAATATTTGTAAATGATTTTTCATTTTCTTGATTCACAGAGAGCAGCAAAGAGTATTTGATATTCTTGTCTTTGATTCTTGATTTAACTTCTAATCCAAATTAGCTATTGTTGTCAAATTTGTATGTCTTTTTTAAGGTATCTCTGAACTCCTTGTCAAATAAAATGTAAGGAAGGTTCTTATTTGTTGAAAAAACTTTTTCCCTATCAATATAAAGAATCAATTCTAGAGATTCATCAATGTACTCAGTAGCAGCAATGATAAACTTTTGATCCTTAACTTCACTTAATTCAATATAATAGAATCTAGCACCATTAGGAGGTAAAGTATCAATAATACTCTAACTAGGATGTAAGGTAGTGTGAGATTATTACAATGTCAAAGTGATTAAATCTGTTGTTTCCCAAAAACTAAAAGATGTATCTTTTAAGAAAATTAAGATACCACATTCTTTCTTATCAAAATCACAAACTCCATTATTATCTTATATTTCATAGCTATTTTTTATTACAAAATTAATACAAATTACATTAAAAATTAATAGAAAATCAATCTTGAAATGGATCAAAAAAATAAAATCTTTAAAAAATTCTCAAAGAATAAAAAGTGCTAAATTTTAATTAAAGAGAGATATGATTGATTCAACAAATTTTAAATAGAAAAGAATTTTTTACAAGAAATTTTCATCATCTTAAGTCCTGAATTTGAAATCATAATCACCAGCCTAGCAATTAACGGGATATTTCCAATCTTATCTGCTTAGAGTGTTGTTAAATATTTTAGCACAAATCATTAATTCATCTCCGTTGAAGGATGAGCTCTTGAAGAGATTGAATCTCTTATTGAAAAGTTCAGGATAATAGAGCTTCTTTTCAGATTTAGGTTTGAATGCAACTGTATTAGGGAAGTCAGAAAAGATGTATTAAGCATTAGAGTTAATTTCTGCATATAAAAGGAGAGTAGCCTCTTTTTTAGCTGAAACAGAAACAAAAAGGAAGCAATTATTTTGATCTACAGAAAATTCTTTAATTCTCTTACAGCTTAATTCGAAATCTTCTTTAGGGATTATTTAAGGAATGAAGTTAGGAACTATCATTGAAGTAGCTTCTCCTTTTTAAGGCTAGACGTTTGCTTGGTCATATGAAACGATAACTGTTACTTCATCTTGGTCTCCGAATTGATTCAAAACATTTTTGTAAATAAATACAGATTCATTTGATTAGATGGGAATTTTGTAGTATTGCTCTTCTTAAGTAACTTTGATTTAATTTATCATTCCCAAATTCAAAGTTTGGTGACTAACAGCACTGGTCACATAAGATAATTTGAATTATATTTTATTATTTAAAAATGTCATTCTAGGAGTAATAATACCATAAATTGGTTATTCGTATCTTTCGAATTAAATTAATTTCGAAGAAAATTCTAAAACATTATTAGAAGATTCTACTAAGTCTATCTATTGAGGGGTTTTACCAATCTTCATATCGTAGTAACCACTTAAAGGTTCAAGCATAACTTTTACTTCTAATTCCTTGTTGAATGGTCTTCTAAGCAACAACTTAAAATGAATCTTTTTTACCTTACTTGCATCTTCTGTTACAACGACTGGTTGATTTTCCTAATTAAATAAATAAAAAATAACTAAATAAATAAATAAATACTTAAATAGATTATTAAATAAATAATAAATTAAAAATAATTAATTAAATAAATAAATAAACTGTTTTTATATCAATAATATTTTTGTATTTTATTTAAAGAATGAATAGTTTACTTCTAGAAGATAGAATGAAAAGTTAGATTCTTAGGTAATTTTAGCCTAGATATCATATGAAGCGAAAGCAGAGTCACTTTGAATACCAAGATATATAACTTTATTAAGATCTCCTAATTCTTCTGTGTAGAGATGAAGAGAGTGATCGAAAGATTGCTTGATTTTATTATTGACAGTTGGACGGATGTTATCGAAAGATGCAAACATAGATACCTAACCCTTAACACTTGATAACTAGAACGAAACCTAAGTAACTTGTGTATATTTCTCAAGATCCAACTTGAAGTAGTTAATCTTTCCAAACTCTGCTCCTTAATGATAAATCTCGTTTTCTTGAAGGATTGTGTGAGTCAAACCATTGTTAGCAAGTAAAGTGAATTTGGCTTCTTTATCATTGTCAGTGTTCAAAACACCTATTAGGTAATAGCAAACTTAGAGACCTTCAATTTTGTATTAAGAGCATTAATCTGGGTCAGAATAGAAAGTCTAAATAACTTGCTCCTAATTGAATTTTGATTTTATAGCAGACTTTTTATCTTCTTTAGTAAAAACGCACTTTTCCTTTTCATCTAAATTGCATCTCTTCATTAACAATCCAGGTGAGCCCTCTCTAGGCTTAAGAACCAAAGTAACATTTGCTTTTTGGTTACCATAAAGAGACAAAGAATAAGTAATTAGTTCTCCTGCAATTAAACTACCAGATTCAGGATAATCAAAACCTATAATATAATATTTATTTAAATAAAACAATTTATAAATCATTGAAAATAAAATCATTTTTCTGGAAATAAATATTTAAAAATAAATTCATATTTTTCTATTTTATTAAATATCCAAAAACTATTTTGATTAAAAGAAATAAATGAAATTGATTCATCTTCATTGCTACTCGATATGGGGATGATAACATATCATTAGTTACTTATTTAAGAAAAAGTAAACACTTTTTAGAATATTGAACAAACAAACAAACAAACAAACAAAAAAACATATTAAAAAAGATAATTTTTTTTTTGTTTAGTAATTTTAAATAAAAAACTGAATATATTACTTAAAGGTGTTTTTCCAAGGTGATAGTATGCCCTCATAGTATAGAGAGAGAAGTTATCTTTAGAGTTAACAGCTATGTTAATTGTGCTATTTTTTTATAGCTCCTTAGCAGTAATTGTAATTCTATCATCATATAATTCATCAGAAACCCATTAATAATTTTCTAACTACACATTTTAAAGGTCACTTATAGATCTATAGTCAGCATAGAGATTAGGATCACCTTAAAATGGAACTAAACCAATAATAAGATCCTTGCCTTTGAAGTCACCATATACTTGCTCGTCTATATTGAGCTAATATTTCATAGTTCTAGCATTAGATAATGTAAAGCCTCCAACCAGTTAGAATGGCTTGATGTACCTAATTTCACCCCAACCAATAGCTCTAATTGCTATGATTGCTCCTTCATGTGCTTCTATTGTCATGGTATATACTCCTTCAGATTATAAGCCACTCTATTTGTTCTTTAACAAAACACCCATACCAGCTCCAGAACCCCAATTTAATCCCCAACTTTCACTATAGGTTTTAGTTGGAATTCTTTCATTGAAGTTAAAGTAAACATTGAAAGTTGTGTATGATTATATTGGGTTCATCAACTCAAATTCTATAATCATATTTTCCAAACTTTCTTGTGGAGGCAAATCTTATGAGCTGAATTTCATCTAAACTACTCTATTTAATATGAGTTTTTCATCTTTTAAATTACCCTTAGAATCCTCAAAAATAGCATATGTGATATCATCTATATTTTAATAATTTTTAAAAAAATATTTATCAAAAAAAAAAATTAGCAAAGATAAGAAAGATATAAAATATTTTGATATTTATCAGGAAATATTTTGAGTAATAATTATTTTATTTCATAAATTATAAAAAATAATTTACAACTTTAAAAAAAAAATTTATTTGAATTTATTTTTTTATTGTTTTACTTTAGAAATTTATAAAAGTAAAATTATTTATTTGCATTTTAACAAAATAAATTCCAAAATATTAATTTCATTAGTTTCTTTGATAGCAAAAAGTTGGATTAATTATTTTTGAAAGGAAATGTACCAAATAAAATATCATTTTGTCAAACTTTCCTAACAAAAAGATTTTTTATTTGCTTAAAGAAAAAAATAATTTATATCAGAATCATTTGATTGATTTTATTTAGTAAATATCTTTGTGAAATAAATTTTGATTTATTAAAACCCATCTAATTAATAAATAAAATCGCATTTAATTTTATTTTAATTTCTAAAATATATTAATTAATTAATGCTCATATCATATTTTATTCTTATCTTGCATTTTGTAACAAGATTGTTAAATAATATTACTTAATCTCATATTTATTTATTCGGTAGATTCTTCAAGGAAAGTTACTAGCTCATACCCACACTTTGTTTGGCATTTAACTGTTACATACAATTCTTGAGCAAAATCTATTTGATTGCCCTTGACATGACAGAGAGCGAATCCGTATGATTTGCAGATTACTTTAGACTTTTAGAGGTTCTTTTACTCCTTAATATTGACATAGATATCAGGTTCACTTCCTTCAAAAGTACCCTCTGCAGTAATGATCAGATACTGATCTTCTCTTTGTCTCTCCTCTAATTTAAGGATATAAGTCTATGTTTCTCCTTGCTTTAAAGTTCCGTATGCGTCTTGTTCAAGCTTTAATTAAATGGTATCTTGAGCTGCAACAGTCTAAAACAAGCAGCTAAATATTAAAGCTAAAACAACAACTGATCCAATCAAGTTTTGTTGTTTTTTCCTCATAAATTGTTTCTCTATTGAATTATATTAATTCTTTATTTTAAGTCTATCTATTTACACTATTCCTATATATTTTACTTTTATAAAATAGTTGCTTTCACTTTTTAATTTTCTTTATAAATTAAATAAGATTCTAATTATTTTTTATATCTATTTATACAAACAACACTTTCACTCACTCACTCTCACACACGCAAAAACTAACTATTACCTAAAATCATCAAAAAGGTTTTGTTTTGGTTGATCGGTCGGTCTCTTCGGGATTTTTTACATAAAACAAAAAGATATTGAATCCTTTTTTCCTTCTTTTCAAAATCAATTAGGAATTTTTGCAGAAAAGTAAATATCAGATTTTTTTTTATATTACGCTCAACTATTTAAAAATTATCTTTATCAGTTTGGAGCAATCTTTTATATAAATCCTGATCAAATTAACTTAATAATTTAATATATTTCTGTAATTATTTGAGTTTGATCAAATATACTGACAATCAGATAAAAAACGTTAAAATTTTGAAAAAAGTTTAATCTTCTAAAAACATGTCTATTAATAATATTCTCAAAAGAATACAAAAATCTTAAGGAAAATATAAATCAAAAAAAGGTTCATTTAAAATCATAAAAGAAATTTATTTATTTCATCAAATCAAAGTAATTAATTAATTAATTACTATTTTTAAAAACAAAATATCTTTCAATTCTTAATATTCTTCTTAATAATTTTAGTTAATATTTAAGTAATATCTTTAAAAATAAATAAATGCTTCAATAGCAAATTTAATTAGTATCTAGCTATTAATTAATGCAGAGTCTCTTATTTAATTGATGTTATTAAAAATATTTTTTTCTACAATTTTAAACTGAAACCTATTTATAGTTGCTTAAAAAATGGAATTAATATAGATTTTGGCTAGAGAAATTACAGTATCAATAAATTTATCAAGCAAATAATAGAAGGTTAAGAAATTCCTTTGACAAAAAAAAAATATTAAGAAAAAATTAGATTTGATAATATAAAAATACTAGTTTTAATACTAAAAATTATAAAAAAATCAAAATGTTTAAATTTTATCAAAATAGAAATTATTAGGATTTGATATAAAATTTAAAGAAGAAAATCTAATAAAATCTAATTATAAGAAAGTACTACTTAAAACATAATTTGATTATTACATAATTTCTTAAACAAAAACAAACATTCATTCAATCATTATTAATCTAAAAATAAATATATAAATGCTGATGAAAATCTCAAGAAAACAAACAGCAAAAATCTTTAAATTTCAATTAAACAAAGCTTTTAAACATTTTTCTAATACATATGTTAAATTGCTGAAATATTTTGTGGATATATTTCAAGCTTAATTTTATATCAACCAGATTATTAAATATTACCTTCATTCCTTCTTAATATTTTATTGTAAGTAGACTTTTAATATCTTTTTAATTAACACACGATTAATTTTTGAAAAAGACATATCATGAGTAAATCATATATACATCGATTGACATTTTTTAAAAATCCATAGTATGTTTAAGCAATATTAATAGTTTACTCAACTACTTTTTAGAATATTTTACATATTAAACTTGATTATTTACTTTCATAGAATCGAGTGAGATCAATTAATTTGCTTGATTATATATGGTTCAATAATTTTTGTAAGAAAGTAATTTTCAATATTAATTATATATATTAGCTTGCTGCTATTGTTTTCATTTGATAGAATATCCCCATTGTGTTTGTTATGCAACTACAGTAAGTAGAGACATTTTTTAAAAGCTTAAAACTATCTAAAATTATGAGTTTTGATATGTAATGTTGTGGTTTTGTTTTTAGCTGAAAAGTACTATTAAAAGAATGAAAACTTACAAAATAAAAGATCAATTAAAAGTTTATTGATCAAAATTGAATTTTGTGTATTATACTGGTTGGTAGATATTATTAAGATTTATCAAATAAAATGTGGAATTTAGATCAAATAAATTAATTTTTTTTTATTTTTAAGCTGAACTTGTAGTTTTAGTGTAAGTAAATTAGTAAGTAAATAAGTATTTATGTATGTATATGTTGAAGTTTGAGAACTGCAGACACTTAATTACTTGTTGAGTACATATTTTTGATATAATTGCTTGTAAAACATTTTTTATAAGAGGGACTTTTGCATGAAGAGAAATAATAATAACAAGATAGGAATATTTTAAATCTTAATTCTAGTTTTATACACATTCATTACAGTTATTAATATTTGAGAAATTTAAGCATTAATCAATTAATTAACTCCTTTTGGTATAACAGTATATGATGTCTGTAAAATTAGATTTTTAATATTCAGAAATAATATTTTAGATTTAGCAAATACTCCTAGAGTTTAATTTTTTTTGGAGGTTAAGGTAATGTTTACTGTTTAGGTATTTTGCTTAGCACTACTTTAAATATAAAAGTGAATACTAAGGTGCTATAAAATCAAAAATTTAATATGATTATCAATGCATTATTCACTACTATCAGCATAAAAATATAGGTGTTTTTAAACTATAGATTATCTTAAAAAAACAGCAAAATGTGTTAAGTAAAGAAAGAAAATTGCTTTTTTCTTTTTCAAGTTATTTTAAATAGTCAATTAACGATGCTTAATCAATTTACAATAATTTTTAGACTCTCTTTAACAAGTATTAGATGATACAAAATAAAAAATCAAAAGGTGTATTTATTTAAAAAAATGTTTTCTAAAAATTATAAACTACCCTTAAGATGAATTAATTGGTATATGGTTCAATATCTTCTTATGAAAGAAAAGCTTATTAATTTTTTTTGAGGTAATTAATTGCTCAGAATTGTATTATTGATCATATTTAAATTCTTTATTAGATTTTTTTTTAAATAACTCTTTTTAAGAATTTTTTAATTTATACAAATTTATTTGTCAAAAAATATTTTTATAGATTTAATTTCTCAAAATAAAAAAATAAATTTTTTATATTTAATCATTTTTAATTATTTCATGTTTATATATTTTTTAATTTTATTACTAAATTTATTTAATAGAAGTTTAATTCCATTTTTAATTTCAATAAATTTTGTTAGAAATATTGTTTACTAAAAAATAATATAAAAATGTAACCGAGCAGATAAATATATATTTTTATAGAAGTTTCATACAATTTTTTGCAATTTACTTTTATAGTAACAAATAGTTTACTAAAATTTTATATAAAAATGTAACCCAACAGATAAATAGATAGATAAATAAATAAATAGATAGATAGATATATTCTAATATTAATGAATATTTATTTTTGAAATAAAACTTTTCTTAGAATGTTAAAAATAATGAGTTAATTTTAATAATTAAATTTATTTTTTATTGACAGTATTGTAATTAATTTATAATTTATTAGCTAATGCATTATAGGCTATTACAAATTTAATTGAATAAAATATCATTATATTTGATTAGTTATTTATTTGTGAAAAAAGTCTAAATTTTTATGAAGTTAATTAATTGTTTTATTAATATGAACTTATAAAAAGAATATAAAATGAAATAGTGAATGAATGAATAAATGAAATATTTAACAAATAAGTGATTATTAGATTTATAACGATCTTTCTATCGTTGTTAATTAATTTTTACTAAGTTATTTACTTTTAATTAAATATTTATTATTTTTCTATTTTTGTTAGCAATTTATTTGGTATCATTTTTATTAATTTATTTATTTATTTTATTTTAATTAATCTCATTTATCTATTGGCATTACAAAAGTTTTTGCTACTCTTAGCAAATCGCACTCTTTTCTTGTAGTTTCTTAAATGACATTGAAGAAAGTATTTTCCATTATAAGATCTACTAGATCCACAAATTCATCTTATAAAAATAAGAATCTGTAGTCATTAGCTGCAGAGGGCTCTTCTTCCTCATCCACGAAACCATCATAAACTACTTACTCTGACTCCTCTGAATTTAATGCATTTCTGCCCTTACTTTCGTTATCTAAGCCTTTTTATATTTTTTAAATATCTGCAGGATCTTCACCGTTGAAACTAGCATATAAAGCAACAGGTTAATTGTCAATTCTTCTGATTATATTTTCAGTATAGGTTTCATTTAATATTTCATTAATAGCCTTTTCAATAATTAATTCAAAAGCATGCTTGTATGCTATGTTTTTTCCTTAGAAAAGGTCCTTAGCTTATAACTGCTTATTAGTATCCTTTGAAGATTTGTGCTTGAAGCTGTTAATTAGTTCAACCTGAATAATTTTTAAAATAAATCAATCAATTTTATTCAACTTATTTTTTGTTTTGACATTATCAAAAATGAAAATTTAGTTATATTTAATTTAATTACATCTAAAACAGAGGTCTTCTTCACTCTTAAAAATAATGTCTCCTTTTCAACTCCTGAATTGCTATTTTGAGATTACTAAGATACTGTTTTATTTTTTTGATCTCCTTTTTATTTATAAAAATAATAATTAATTAATTAGGATTTTATTTACAAATGAATGAATGAATACCTGCATCCCATTATATTGTGCACTCTAATTCCCCTTCATAGACTGAAGGCTCATATGAGCTGACTAAAGTTACTTTAAGTTCAATAAAGGAATTAGGTTCTAATGTCCCATTCATAGGCTCAATAGTGCATTCATCTCCGCTTTTTATTTTATATGAAGTAAAAATATTTAAAATGATGAAAAATCAATCACTTCTTAAGATTAATTAGATTTTTAATTTTCGAATATTGATTAATTACCACATTAGTCCTGGTTTATTTGATGATAAAGCAAAACTTGATGTTCCGAAATCATAACTAAGTTTTTGAGTTTCGCTTAGGTTGTAGAGGATAATGCAACGATGAGCAGCTTTACCTGGTTTCATCTCACCAAAATCTATTTCTTCTATGGAAAAGAACACCTTGGAACCTATTGTGGACACAAATGACCTTTAGCGAGGAATCTCTTCTTTTTTGAGGTTTGATTTAGAATTAGATTTTTTGGAATATCCAGTTCCTTCAATAAAGAGTGATATCTCTTAATTGACTTTGACGAAGTCATAAACTATGATCTTTAACTCATGATAATAGGTTTTAGACTCTAAGGGCTTGAATAAGCAGTATAAATATGACTTTTCGTTTGGAAGTAAATTGTCTTGATTTTTTTCAATGTCAAATATATTAAACTTAGAGTCAATAGGATTGTTGTATTCGTCTTTTTCAACAATTTCAACTTTATATGAAATTTTGCTAGAGCCAACATTTAAGACTTCAATAGGAAACTTGACTGGAATTAGCAATCCTATAGGTGTATCTGGTAACTTATAGTTTTTCTTTTTTACTGCAAGCAGACCTTCTAATGGAGCAAGTGCCATACCTTACAGATTAATTTGGAGAGGTTTTCCATTTAAAATTTACAGCACTACTCTTAACTAATGTTTTTCTCCACTTACTTTTTTATTCTTTTTGCTCTTGAAAGGTAAATCATTTTCATCAATATTGCTTGGATTGTAGACCAACTCAACATCTTTAAGCTCTCCCTTCTTCAAAGTTCCGCTCCTACAAATTTTATAAATTAAAATTTTCATTAAAAAAAATAGATTAATAAATAAATAAATACCTTGGTTAAATCTAAAAAATATTCCTTTCCAAAATAGCCTTTTCAAAAGCTTCTTCTTCATCTGGCTCACCGGGATCTGCCCAAGGCTCTACTTCAATCTATTTGTTGAGTTTGTTGGTTTGTTTATTTATTTAGTTTTATGGATATGAAATAATTTATTTACTTAGTTGTCAGATGGTAATTTGAAGTTCCAATCTAGGTCTGTTCCTCCAGCATTCTGGATAGTGATAACTATTTTACGGGGTTTGTTGGCATTTTTAGCTGGTAGATATCCGAAATTCCATTCAAATTATTTAATTCTTTTTTAGAGTTGTTAAGCTTCACTAAAGTTTAATTATTCGATGTTAAGATATTATTTTTCGTCTTCATTTAACTCGCTTTGTAGTTCAGAGTTAATTTTATTGATTTAAAAGTTTTCCCATAAAGTTGCAACTGAAATAGAATCGTTTCTAACATCTACAATTTTTAAAAGAGGGTAGCTTCCTTTTGCTTAAATTTTTAATGAGCATTTTTATGTTATGAATTTTCTGTTTGCACTAGTTGATCTTCCCTTAGCTTCTGCCTTAGGATTCTTCTCTGATGCTATAACATCCATTATCAAGTCATAATCTGCTACAATTGTAGGATTGAAAATAATACCTATATCTACCTTAGAATTAGCAGCAATAATTCCTGACTTAAAATCTAAACTAAAATTTTTTTCTAAATTTTCTTGTTACTCCACGTCATCAACATCTTAACTTTCGTCTGCGTTCCTTGCAGGGCGGAGTTTCAACTCAATGTAGAATGTCACATTTGAGTAGTTGTGCAAAGTAGCGTATTTCTTGTCTCTAAAATTAACTTTTACTACATCAAACTAGAGCTATTCAGGAGTAATGCTCAAAGAACCATCTCCACCTGCTCCAAATATTTCAAAATTATATGCAACTTCCATAGGATCTCTCATTTTCATTGGTTTATCAGGATCTCCACTTCCTGGTAAGTGATATCCTATCAAATTCTGACTATAGTCCATGATCTCTTTAACAAATAATGGAACCTTGATTTTATAGCTTTTCTTTTTATAAGGAATGAAAGAGCAGTCAAGGAAAATGTGTTCATTTGGTTGAATTTTTCCATTGACAGGCTCCAAATAAAGCTCTTCACTATATTTTTCAGGTACTTTAATTTCATATTCCAAAGTAACTCTTGAAAGATTCTCAACTTTTACTTTTTATCTTGAATAGACACCTGTGAATGATGGAGGGAAATAGACCTTGCCCTTATTATTAAATTAAAATTAAATTAAGAGAAAAACAAAATTGAGTTAAAATAAATTTATTACTTCATTTTGGAGGTGTAATTTAGGCTTCGAGCAGTAACCATGAGTGTAGAGATTAAGTGTAGTAGAAGAATTATTATTCAAGCTGCAAGTCAATACGTTATTGTAGGCCTTATATTCAGTAGGTCTGAACTCAACAGTAATTATAAAGAAGGACTTTCCTTCTACCATTCCAGCGTTAGGAAATACTCTGTAAGTTTTGGAAGGGTCAGGTAAAAATTTAAAATATGTTGGTGTATCAGACTGTTTTTAAATAAAATTTACTTTAAATTTATTTATATTTTTAATTTTAATTTTTTACATTATTTTTTATTTCAACAGTTTAGTAAAGCGAGTCTTCTAAAGAGCAAGCTGCAAAGTAAATTTTGTTTGAGGGTGAAAATTCAAGGATAGGGATGAAGGGCTATGAGTTGATCCCGAATGAGTGGCCAACACAACGTAGAGACCCTGAATAAGGAGGAACCGTTTCATCTCCAATTAAGTCCATTGTACTAGCTATTATAGAAAAAATAAATAAATAAATAAATTTAAATTGATAAATTTTAAAATTTATTTAAAATAATAAAATTAAATTTAAAATTTTTTATGATATCAAAACTATAAAATAATTTAAATTCTTTTTATTGTTTGTTTCATTTTTTATTACGGTTTTTTTAAAAATGATATTTTTGAAATTTTAGTTCAAATAATTTGAAAAATTTGATGTAAATTTTATTACTTTTCTTAGTTACAAGAGTGTTGCTCAATTTAAGGTTATCTCTGAATGAGCCAGTAAATGTTTTAGATTAATTTTTTTGAATATCTTCAATCATTTTTTATGTTATTTTACTGCTGTATTTGAATACAAAGAATTGCAAATATTAGAAATAATACTAAGAATTCTTGACTGGCCTAAAGGTAACTTCAAAAATTTTTGTTGTGTTAGGTTTCATTGAAGCAGTCTCAGGTCTAACCATAAATACAGGATATAAATCACCATTTACATTTTCTTTTTATTGGATTGTCCAAAAAACAGTAATCTTACATTACAATTTATTAGTTAGCTCAATTTATTTGGCACCACTTTCCATCATGCCCTCCTAGAACCCAAAATCAATAATATCTTCCTGGATTATGATAATTTAAATAGAAATAAAATTAATTATTAATTTTTTCCTAAAAATATTACGTTTAATTAAATTAATTTGCAATCTGAATTAGCAGGCAAAAACATTTCTTTATGTAAAACAACTTAATTTGGATTCAAGATTGGGTTAGTTGCATTATTGGGATCATCTATAACATAGGAAGCAGCCATCATTCCATCTTAGATTAAATTTGGATCTTGTTGTATGGAATTCTGTTATCTGTTTGAAAATCCTATGGCGGTTTAAGATGCTTTTTAAATAATAGAATTATCTTTTTTCATATTTGATTAAAGAGACTGCAGTTGAGAGGCCTTTTAGCTTCCTAACAAAGCTATTCCATTTTTATTCAAAGAACTTAATTAAGTATTTTTCTCTAAATTATTCTAGTTTTAAGAATATTTGAGCAAAAAAGCATTCTCCATGTATTTGAAATCAATTTCAGATAATTTACCCCAAATAACTCTTCTTCTAAACGATTCAATATGTTTTTATACAATAGGCAATGGCTTAATCAAGAGATCATAGCAAGTACCTAACAAATCAACTGGAAATACTTAGTGATTTCTAACTACACAAAAAATCTAAAATATTTTAAATATGAAATTAATTTATTAAAAAATATTAATTTATTTATTTGATTTGATTTACTCTTTCATAGTAGCATATAGTATGTCTTGGTTTAAAATAAATAATTATTCTAGCATTTGATTTAGGTTTTACAACGCCTCTCACTTAACTCATAGCAAAAATATTATTCGAATCGTTAGTAAATTAAAATGAAGTAGGTAAATCGCTCATATTTTGTATAGTTAGCAATCTGCTTGTTTCATTACCAATTTTCACTTCCCCAAAATTTATACTTTAAGTGCTTAAGCGAACATCAAACCCCACTGCATTACCACTGCAAGCAAATACTAAATCATTACCACCTGGACATATAACTTTATAGTGAACAACAGATATGAGACCTACTACCAAAGGAGTGTAAGTAACTTTAACTAAAAAGCTGCTCTTTGGAGGTATTTCTCCTTGATTTCTATTTAAAATATTAAAAATCATAAAAAAATTGAAAAAAAATATCATTTTAATTTATTCATTAAAAATAATTTAAATATAATTGATAAACTTCATGAAATGCAATAAAATTTGATAAGGCAAATAATTATCTAAATATTCTATTCACCAATTTCACTTTATGTAAAATCTTTTATTTTAAATATTTATGTTCCTATTAGTACTTATAAATAACTTGAAGTATTATATTTGTAAAAGTTTCTTTAAAAATAAATGTCTTTTTAATCAAATTTTTAATTAAAAATCATTTTAATATTGCTAAAAAAAATGAGTTTTCATCTAAATATTTAAAGCTAAAAGTTATAATTTTTTTAATTTTTAAGAAGAGATTGAATAAATACAATCTTAGCTGTTTTAATTTGAATTTGTTTGTTTGTTTTTTTGTTTGCTTATCTGTATCTTTTGTTAAGTTACAATTTATTGCATTTAAAAGTTTTATATTAGAAATTTCAATTTTAGCTATTGAGAAACAAAATCGAGTAGCATTTGAGATAAATTATGAAATTTTACACATCAAGAGAGAATGCATTATCTTTGTACTCATCATCAACAATTTTTACAATACTAAAAGTAGCAGTTACTTAAGATTGATTTTTGATAGTTATCTCTTTCACTAATTATTTGCCAATGAGCAGCTGCTCAAAATTAAGTTTTTAAGTGCTAAGAGATATGTAAGGATACTTGCCAATAGCTGAAACTTTTGTAATTATTGGCTATTAATAGGGTAAATTTAAAATAATGTTTCCAATAATTGCTGTTGCTTCTTTTGGAGTATAGCTCACATTAAATGATATTCTTCCTTTACTAGGAATATGGCCTGAAAGAGGAGTAATCTCGAATGCTTATGATTCAAAGTTGAATTCACAAGGCTAATTATTAGGATTTTCTAAATAGAACAATCTTGAAGTTGTTTAGTTAACCGTACAAAATCCTAAATCAATTGCAGTAGTTAGATTTGTTTTAATTGGCTTAAATTCAATTGCTTTATTTAATTCTGCTGCTTTTTCAGAATTATAATCTTCGTAATCAGACATCTTTTAGGACAAACTTATTTTTTACTTTAAAATACTATTTCCTTATTATTCTTTCTTTTTATTTGATAATGCAACCTAATTATTATAAGGTCTTGTTTAGTTGAGAGTTCTATTTACAAACTAACTTTTTTATCTATTTAGTGAGTTGTTTCTCTCTTTACTTGCTTGCTTGCTTGCTTAATTATTTGTTTGTTTGTTTTCTCTACTTAAAGAAGACTTTATATGTATGATAAGATATATATAATATTTACTGCTTAATCTTATAAAATTTATTAACAAAGGACTTTAATTGATTAATTTTATGAAGTAAAAAACTAACACAGATTTATTTAGGTTTCGAAACTGTCCTAAATATGAATATAAATAAATTATTACTAATTAAATTAGAAATTAGATGGTGGGGAAGTTTTGAAATTCTTTATAAAGATTTTCAAATTTGTAATTATCAATAAATAAATTAATTAATTATTTAAATTAAAAAATATATTAAAAGCCAGTGGTCTATGAGTTATTTTTAATTTTAAAATATTTCACTAAACTTTTCATTAATAATGATTAACTAAAATGAATTTAAATTATTTGAAAATCGTGTACATTATAGAAAGTAGTTTCATATAAAATTAAATATTTTTATTTTTACAATTAATATTTTTATATAATTTTCACAATATATTTATTTATTTATTTATTTTCATACTTTGCTTCAATTTAAGTTGAATTCAAATTAAAAATATAAATTAATATCTTAATTTTAAAATAATGTTTGGCTGAGCATTTTTTTGGTTTTCACATTTATGATTTAAGAATTAATTCATAATATTCATAAAATATGATAGGAAAATATTAAACTTTGAGTGAATCTCTTTCTTCTTCGTCTTTAACTTTAATAAACTCTTAGAATATCTTGTTTGTGTTTTTTCCAAATTTTTCTTCATAAAGACTTTACTGTTTTTATTAAATTACTTCAGATAAATCGTTTTTCATGTCTAAGAAATCATCGGCAGAAGGTATAAATTGGAGAGAGAAGTTAGGGCATTTGTTTGTTTAATAAAGCTTAAGGGATTTTAAATTTTAAAATAATGCGTCTTGGATGAATTAATTGTAATTTTAATCTATTTTTTAAGCTAATTAAGAATACAAGTTAACTTGACTAATGTTATGAATTTTTGGAATGCATTCGAAATTAACTATGGAGAATTTTTCATCATAAAGTTTTTTAATTTAAGCAATTTTTTCTGTCCAAGTTGATTTTTAGCCTTATTTTTAAGTTGAATTCTCTATAAATTACTCAACATCAAGAATACTTTGACTGTTTGATATTACTTGCACTGTAAGCATGTTTAATGCCAGTTCATTATTCTCACTGTACAATATTAACTTGAAATAGTCATCACAAAGCTTTTTTTAGAATTCATTTTATTCATTTGGTAATTTAATATTCAACAAAAAATCCAACTCGCTTTTTATATCTAATTAAATGTTATAAATTGACTTCATGTAAATGTTCATAAATCTCACCACGAATTTATTTCTGTGAATTAAAAGATCATAAAGATACTGAGGATTATCAAAAAGCAGCAGCATCTAGAAAACTAAAAATTATTCCTAGTCTCGAGGGGCCATCTTGCTATAGTTAAATTCATAAGCTTAATCTACCACAAGGCTTTTCATTTTACTTAAAATATTCCCTATAAAAATCTTATAGAAAGTCTCGTTGCTGAAGAAATAAAGAAGCAAAATAGCAACATAGACCATAATTTGGCAATTTTAAGATAATTAATATTCTTGGTCTAATCTTACATTAAAGTAATTCTTTAAAATATAATATTCGCAAAAAGATTTCAGCTCTTCTGTTGATTATGAATTAATCAATTTAGTAAAGTAAATTGCTTTAAAGCAAACATCATAAATGGTATCCCACTGTTTTTTTAAAATCTTCTTGAGCTCATTCGTATTAATTTTCAATTAACTTTCCAATTATCTTTCTTACTCTTCATATTTCTAATAATAAGACAAACAGTCAATCAAGTCAAGAGGTTTCCATAATTTTTTGGGCATATTTTCATCTATTTTTAAAATATTCAAATTTTATTTGCTAAATAAATCTTTAAAAATGTTTACTTTGCTTAATTTAATTTTCATCTATATTCGATTTTTGTTTTCTTTCATATTTATTCAGTATTTATTATAAAATTACTTCTGAAGATGCTGATTGAGGTTATAATTGTTTTTCTTATTTCTTTTATGAAGCTGATTTTAACTTTAGTTATGGTTCAACAAGCAATCTCGAGGAAGATTCTTGATTGATCAATTTTATCTCTTGTTGTTGCTCTTCTTTTGTTTGCTCTTAAAATATATTACTTTCTTTTTATGCCAAAGAATTTTAGAGGTTCTCCTTTTTTTCTTCCTCTTCGTCGTCCACATCTCTTTAAACTCTAATTTATCTTTAAGAATTATCTAATTGAGATTTTTATCTTATGAACTCTTAACTCAATTAATTTGATATGTTTTAAATGTCTTCAATGTTCTATACAGATTAATCATCAGATTGGTTTCTTTCTTCATCTTACTTGTTTTCTTCTTAATTTGCATTGTTTTGTTCTCCTATTCTTATGTCTTTAATCTAATTTTACGGCTGCTTATATAACTAAAAAAAATATATTTACTGCCACTATTCATGTATTACTGAAAAGCTCTAGGAAGTTAGATTCTTCTTTGATTTGGCTGTTAGCCAGCTTCTCCAATTTTATTAGGAAATTTAATCAAGCTTTTTTCCTCGTCAGGGAAGAGCTGCAAAACAACTTTCCTTTCAAATATCCCATCTAAAATGGGAGGGAATAACCCTTAAGATTCTTAAGATTGACTGTCTGAAATCATTTTCTTTTGGTATATCTTAAAATTAAAAGATAAAAAGTTTTTTTATTTTTTTTAGATCTTGCTTGAAGAGACACTAGAGCCATTTTACATACCAGGCTAAGCATTACTTTCAAATTCTTAAATTTAGTTATATCCTTTATTTTTTATATTTATTAAAAGTTTAAAGGTAAGTTGACTTATTTTATCAAATATCAAATATTGATTGATTGATTATATATAAAATATCTTATAAATAGACAAATGTAGAAGCAAATTTTAAAAAGATTTTATTAATATTTTATCCATTTATTTATCTAATTATCTTAAAAATAAAATATTTTTTAATAAAATAAATAAATAAATTACTCTCTAAGTGAGCGTGCATCTTATTAATTAAATCTAGTGCTTTTATCTTTGCCTTCTTAAAAGTAATAAGAGGTAATCTCAAACTAGAGTAGTAAAGTTGATCATTTTTTTTGTTAAAGAGCATTTATATAACTAATTCAACCTAAAGCTGGTCATCATCATTGAGAGAAAACTCTCCTACTTATCTAATTATCTTTATTAACTCCATTATATCAGCTTTATCGAGTACAAAATTTTTTTAAATAATTTCATACATCAAATCAACTACTATATTTGCTGGTAGATAATTGCAAGATGTCAGTAAAGCTAAAGATAAGTATAGATTAAGCTGTTCTTCGTTACCTTTTTAGAAGATGAAATCATCTTCAGATATTATATTCTAATTAATAAGCTATTGTCTGTCCAATTTTAGTAAGTTGACAAATAGCTTCTCCTTTTTCAATCTTATCATTTTTGGTGTTTAATATCTATATATCTATCTATTTTACTATGCTAATTGATTAAATTTCAATTAATCTTTATCAGTGTAAATAAATAAATAAACAAGTAATTATAAAAATTAAACATATTATTTAACATATTTGCAAATAAAATTAAGATTTGCTGTAATTTAATATACTATCAATAACACTTATTAAAGCTAGACAATACTAATATAATCAATTTTTTATGCATATTTAAGTAATAAAACAATTTAATATTAATTAATAAATATTTATTTTTTCAAAAAATCACAAAATAAATGATATAATCTTTAAATCAACTTGAGAGTTACTTTTCTTTAAATAATACTTAGTAACAGCTAATATGAATAAAATTAAATTTTTAATGAAGATATTGGCATTCAAAAAATTTTATATTAGAATATTATTAACTACTTTAAAAAAAGACCGAAATTGAGGATAAATTATGAAATTAACAAATTCATTGCTGTAAAACATAAATTATATATTTCAAAAAAATAAGAAGCTATTATTAAATAAATTTTTTAATAAAAATGCAAATAAATTTAAGGTTTTGACTATCAAAAATACTTAAAAACAGCTAGACAGACAGACAATCATAGTTTTATTAAATTTATGAAAGATATTAAAAAAACAATTTTATAATAAAAAATGATTATCTACTTGCTGAAGATCAATCAATAATAAAAACAGAGTTTTTTTATACAGGAATATCTTAATTTTTAAGTATAAATGTGTTTGAATTAAATTTGAATTGCTATTACTTTTTTACAAAGAATCCATTATTATTATTTATGTTTGTTTTTCTAAAGATTTTTTATCAATTTCAATAATTTAATATCTAATATTAATAGTTAACTTTTAATATTAAAAATAACTGTTTTCTAATTAAAAAATTAAAAGAATTTTAAAAAAATAAAATATAAATACTTTTTTTTAAAAATCAAAGAAAATAGATTGTATACTTAATATCTAATCCTTTTTTAAAAATTAAAATTATTCTTTTAATTAAATTTATAAATCACATCAATCTATTTTTTTTAATTATGCTTAATTTTGCAAAAATGATATACTCTAATATTTGAAAAATATTTTTTAATAAAAAAATTAATTTCTAAATATTATTAATTAATTACCATATCTAAAATTTATATTTGAGAAGTTAAATAAAGGAACCATATATGAATAGATAGAATTCAAAAAAATATATTATGTATTTCTTATCTCTTTACTATGGTTAGTAGAACAAATGATAAAATCTTTTTATTTATTTAATTATAAATGAAAAATTAAGAAATTAAATTTTTAATAAAATATCTAATCAATACAATTATTCTAATTATTTTATCTTGTTGAATTTGAGCTCTTATATAATATAATAAATAATAAATTATTTATTTATTTATTTTAATAAAACCTAACCAATGCTTTTATTTTTTGAAATAAAATATTAAAAAATAAAATAACCTATTTAAAATAAAAATAAATTGATTGTTTTTTAAAATTTAGTATTGTACCAAATTTAAATTTTATATCGGTAATCTTTTAGAGAACCCTTGCTTAATTTTTAAAGTTTTTGTTAATAATTAAAATTATTTTTTTACATATAAGACAGATAGAAGTTTTTCTTTTTTGTAAAAAGAATTTAGAAAATACAAAAAAATTAATTTATTAAAACTTTAATTTTATTTCTAATTTTAAGTTAATTTAGTTTATAATTATTTTATTTATTTTAAATAACTTTCATTAACAGGTAACAATTGTTTTTAACCAATCCCATTTAAAGTATGTTCCGTGATCTACTGGATTAGCAGCTACTGTAACGCTATTAGCGCAAAAAGTGCTTTCTCCAGCATCGCATTGATTTTACTTAAATCCAAACAAAAGGAAAGAATTGTAAAACACCTCATGACTGTGATGCTCAAATTTAAAGGGAAAAACAGAAGGAGGTAAATGAGGAACTGGATCAGCACCATTAGTAATTCTTGCATGCTCCAAAGCAAAATTTTAGGTGTTAAACCAATTAGCGAATTTCGAACAGCCTACTCTAGGTGAACCGAAATTATAGAAAGCATCAATAGGTTTATTTCCATTTAATTCATAAATCAATGGTATGGAGAGAGTACTAATAGCAGCACCAAGAGAGTGTCCTGTAACAAAAAGCTTTATTTTTAAATAATATATAAGATTAAATATAAGAAGAATGAAAGTTAATATATTTAACTTACTTTTGCAGAAGAGTACTTTTAACGGAGAGTGAGGAAAGCATCTTTTAATTGACCTTTTAATAAATCAAATTGCTTGTAGAATCCTTAATGGACTTAGCAATTTTCACACAAAGGGTAAGATGTTTTTTAAGTATCTATGTCAGTTACCCAATTAGTCAAAGACCAAGGAATTGTTCCTCTGAAGGCGACAATAATAGCTCCATGTTATTTAGAGAATCCCAAATATCCAAATGCGTTTTTGGCTGAGTTAGATATGAGCTACATATCCGATAAACCTTCAGGAAATTGTTAACAAGAAGGACCACAGCTCCATTATCTAATTTTAGCTTCACCACAATAGGAAATAAGAGAAAAGTTAGCTAAATCTTATGAGAGGTCTTCACTGTAATTGAAACTTTAGCAAGCAGCTATAGCAACAAAAGCTAGCAATAAGGTGGCTTTTATTGACATAATTATTTATTTTTTTTACTACTTTTTAAATTTTTTCTATAAAATTAGAATTATATTTTTTAATTTGTTTGCCTTAAATTTAATTATTATAAAACAAGCAAAGAAACAATACGTACGATATTTATTTATTTATTTTTTACTTAACCTCTTTAAAAAATAATCTTGTTGATTACAGAAATAAAGAATTTAAATAAATAAATAAAAATTGTGGATGTGCTTTTACTCTTTTTTAATTTATTAAGTGATTAAATATACCTCGAAGATAAATAAATATTGATCAAAAGTTAGTTGAAGATGATCTAGCTATTATTAATATCCACAAAATCTTAAAACTCAAGTAGGATAACTTTGATGTCATTATTAAATTAAGAAATTCAAAAAAAATTAGCTCTAACATTTCTTTAATTTTTTCAGAAGCAACCTTCTAATAATTTTATATCTATCTTTATTTTTTTTTAGAAATCCATCAAATTTACAATAATAATTTTGAGTATCAATTATTCAAAATCATCTATTTCTTATAATTGGTTGCTTAGTATAGTTTCATTAAATAAATTGTAAACATAATTTTCAAAATGAAAAATATATTTTAAAAGAAGAAAGATAAAAGTTATTTTTAACTAAATTACTTATTAACAGAGTTAAAGAAACAAAGATTTTACAGTTAAGTCTGTTTAAAAAATTTATTTTTTATATTTATTTGATTTTAAAATTACTTTTACAAATTGTTTTGGAGAAGTGACTATCTTGGTAACTCACTCTCCTTTCGAAGGGGGACTTAAAAAGTATTTTCCAATTAATTATTTTAGTAGCTAATAAATAGGCTTTTTTAAAGAATTTTAATTTTCCTAACTTGAAAGATTACCATATAACGAAGTTAAGCAGCTTACCAAAATAATTTATTTGTTATCAATCACACCTTATTTTATTAACTATAAGAATTTGTAGATTCAAACACGAGTAAGATTAAAATAATTAACATATAGAGAGTAATATTCATTCTTTTATTTAATTAATAACTAAAAATAGTTGCGGTGCAAAATGATTCAACCTTGCTTAACCTTTTTTGGCTAAAAATTAATTCAGAGACAAAAAGTGCCTTCAAATAGTCATTTTTACTTCTAAGTTTATAGAAAGAAATAAAAAATTCATTTATATTTAAAAGAAAAAATGTTTTGAAAAACAAACAAAATATTTTTTATATTAAGTTATTTACAAATTGAGTTTCATAAAAATCATCATATAAATGCCAAATAAATAGACAATAAAATAATTATTTCACAAATGAAACTAAACATTAATGCATATATCAAATAAAATTTGATATAAAATTATTCAATTATTTACTTTCAAAATTAATAAATCTAAAATTTTGTGTTTGTTTGAAACAAAAATAAATAAATTTATTAAAAACCATTTAAGAAAAAAAAATAAAAATTCTTAGTCACATACATAATTTTAGATTTAATTCATATTTGACCTTTTTTAATAATAAATCTTAAAGTAAAATAATATCTTTTACAAAAATAATTAAGTAAATCAACAAATATAAAAGAAAATATTGAAATTTATTTAATAAAATATACAAATGTAGTAATATAATTTATATTTTTGTATTAATTTTGATGAATTTCATTTCTATTTATATAAATATGAATTAAAATATATAAATTGAACATAAACAATTAAAAAATTTTAGTTTCTCAAAAATAGAGTAATTATTTTCATTACTATTTAAGCTGTTTCTATTAAATTTAAATAAGAAAATAGTAATAATTCTAAACTATATTTTCACAATTATTATTTTATTAAATGTTTAGCTTAATATTTTTATATACTGTAATTCCAATTAAAATGATTTATATTAAGGTAAATTTTTTCTTTTCTAGCTTTAAGGTGACTAAATCATATGCTTGGTTTGGGAGAAATGCCTTGGTATGTGAGAATTTACTGCATATAAAATTAAATAATTTATTTTTTTATTTAATATTCTCTCCTATTTTCATTTCATAATGAAAAATTAATAAAAATTTGGATTATTTAGTTTATTATTTATTCTTAATTGAGCTTAACAATTCTTTTAATTAAGTATTTATATTTTTAGCTTATAAATTAAAAATTAGTCTTTTTGATAATAAATTTACTAAGTTAAATTTTTTTTTAAGAGCAAAAAAATATAACAAAAATGTTATTTTTTGATAGATTGGTATTATAAAAAATTGAATATAAATTTTACAAAATTATAAACTGATATGATATGGTTAAGTATTTAAATTAAAATTTTTGTCAATAAATGATAGTTTAAATTGAATTTAAGATTTGCATTAATTCTTCTTTATCTAACTTAGAGTCTATTTTTTATTTGTTTAAAATATTTTTTATTTATTCTAGCTTTTATTCAGTTTAGAACATAGCCAATCTACTACTAGTGTGACTTTTAGAGTCTGTTAAAGAAGAAGTAGAGCTAGATGAATTTAAAACAGAGTCGCTTTCTTTAAAAATTTTATCTGAATTAGTAGGTGTTTTATTTTTGGTAGACTCATCTTTAGATTCAAGCTATTTGAGTAGGGTAATATTACTTTAATTGGTTTAGAAATTCAAAGTAGGATATTTATTGAATTGATTATTGTTCATGAAAAAAGGACACTCTAAATTACTATTGTTATTTGATGATTGCTATGTAGAATCCTCTTGATTGAGTTTCTTTGGTTGATTTAGCAAGAATGATGATACCACTGGGTTAAATGGCGAGACTTATTATTAATTTAAATTATATTCTTATTTAGCTGAATTTTGTTAACTTAACAAAGGTTTCAAGTCACTATTACTTTTTTAAAACTTCTACAAAGCAGGCTCTAGCAGCTACTTTTTAGGAATTATATTTATGCTATTAATATTTTCTTTATCTAAATTTTATAAATTTTTGTTTTCTTATTTATGAGTTTGATTTTGCTAATTTCCTAAAGCATTTGGTTAGGAACTTTATTATTGCTATTATTCTTCATTTTCTTCATCTTCATTTTGCTTTGCTATTTCTCTCTCCATATCTTTAAAATTACCATAAATCATAGTATATTAGGGTAGAACTCCTCCTCCACAAAAGCTCAAGTCAGGTTCTTAAAATCCTCTTCTCTTTTTAGCTTCGTAGCCTTTTCCTTTATCTTTGCAGTTAAGTTCAAAAAACCTTTTCATCCATTGTGCAAATTCTAAGTTGTCTTGATATTTAACTTTTACTAGTTTCTCAATCTACAATAATAAATAAACGAAAGTGATTAAGTAAGTAAATTAATATGAAGTAAAAATAAAATGTATTCAAATCTATTTATAAGAATTACGGGTATGGCTTTTGCTACTTAGACAGAGTCAAACCCCTTTTATAACAACTTAAAATTATGCGTGAATTCATATTCGTGCTTTGCTTTCCACTTAAGTTTATTCAAAGGAATCTTACCAGGGTATATTACATCGAAAAGCTAACAATAAATATTACCACTACCTAATTGCTCCACCTTAGTAACTTGTACCTTTTTAAAAAAATATTAACTTGAGTTCTTTCTCAACAAAAAACAATAAAAATATCATTTTTTTGTAAGACAGTTAAATAAATTTGATTAATTTACAAAAAAACAAATAAATTACTTGCAATAAATTATTTATCCATTATAAGAGTTCTGAGCGAGAAATGAAGCATTTCTCATCCATAGGTCCAAAATTTAACTTCTTAGACATATTTTAATATGTTTTTGTTTTACTTTTTACTATTTTATCTTTTAAATTGTTTTTAAATGCTTATGTTAATGTTAAAATTTGCAATGAACGTTGAACGGCTAATCTTAATTTATAATACTTAAAGCAATATATCCTTTTTGATTTATTAATTATTTTACTCAATCCTACTCTATAAAATTATTAAATTAAATTTCAAATTTAAATCCTCAATCTTATCGGATCAGCAATAAATGAATCAATGAATGCTACACTTAACAAATACTTGTAATAATAAACAAACAAATTTTCATTATAAATATCTATTCAATTTAGGATGCTAATAATATTTAGAATCTTCTACTTTTTCATATTGTCAATAAAATTTAAACATCAAAATATATTTAAAAATTTTTCAAATTGAGATGAGCTTCATATTCTCAGTAATATTTATCCTAAAATATTTTTTATATAAATATTAAGTCGTTATCTGAATATGATATAAGCAAGTAAGTTAAAATTAAAATTTTTGTCTCAAAATTAAATTTTCAATTAAAAAAACATTCATTATTATATTTTTCTAAACATTAGTATTTTGTTTAGAAAACGAATTTATTAATTCTATAAAAAAAATAATTTTATTTCAATATAATTTATTTATTTTAATTAAAAATAATTATACAAAATATCAATTAACTTACTTTCTTATTACAAAATCAATAATGAATAATATTTATTTTGAATAAAATAATTATTTAAATTTGATAAAATTACAAATAAAATTATTGTTCAAATTGAGATTTTAAATGCAAATAATAAAATAATATTTTTTATTAATATAAATATTTAATCCAAATCTTCTTTCTAATCATCAGACTTAAGGAAAAAACAATATATTGAATTTAAATAGTTTAATATTTATTGATATTTAAAAAAAATAATTTTTTTTTAAAAATAATATGAAAGTTATTTCAAAAATATTTTTATGAATTTAATATAAAAAATGATTTATTAGAAAAATTATTTTGTTAAATTAATATTAAAATAAAATGAAATATGTGAGATTATACAAATTAATGCTTTAGTTAGTTAGTATGGTTGGTAATTACAAAAATATTTAAGATGGATGTGAATTAATTTTGGTAATAATTATTTCAATAATTTTAAACTTTATTTTTTGAGATCATATTTTGTTATAAATCATTTTCCATATCTGAATCGTTTTATTGGTCTATATCACTAATTTAATGAATTTCTACGAGCTCTATCATATCTTTTTGCTTTTTTACATGCATGTATTCTTATTCTATTTGCTAGTCCCAATTTAAATTATGAAGAACATGGACTTATGAGTAGAAAATAGAAGTTATAGCTATACAAAATCCTATCCAGAAACCAGCAAGCTCAAGATCAAAAGTAAAAGCTAATAAACAACTTATTGGTGTTCCAATAACATAATAACAGACTAGGAACATCTTCAAACACTTATCTCCTAATCCAACTCCTTTGAGAATACCCTACATGGAACATTAAAGGTTGTCTAAAATAACAAATAATCTATAAATGGATACTATATCTTAGAAATTAAGAACTGTATAGACCTCATTTGTGTAAAGATTAGCTAAACTCACATCGTATAAGGAAAAAACTAACAAGAAAAAGATACCGATTAATACACCAAAAAAGTATGACATTTTATAGAGGTTTTTTACTCTTTGTTTGTTATTCATTCCTACTGCATTTGATATTAAAGTACATAAAGCAGCTCCTAAACCAAGAGGGAAAGAGTAAAAAATAGAAACAATATTGCATAAAATAACATGGGCACTAAAATAGGCCTTATTTTGCATTGCTCCTATGAGAATTGAGTTAATTTCAAAACAGAAAATATCAACAACCATAGGTAAGGCTATTGGGTAAACATATTTGCAGTAACTGCTATAGCCTTTAAGTAGAGATTTCTTATCAAACTAAGTAAAGTCTGGTAAAACATTCATTCTTTTCATCATGTAAATTATACAAATAAGTGAGCAAAAATAAGTGAAGTTTGTAGCCATGCAAATTCCAGTCAACCCTAAATTAAAGCAGTCTACAAAAAGAAAACAGAAGGTTAACTAGAAGCCTACTGAAAGGAACTAAATGTACATAGGTTAGTTAAAGATACCAATTGCATTTAAATAATTACGAAAGCAGTCAAAAAAGAAGGCAAAAAACATTCCAATCAAGATTTAAATTCCGTATAAATAAGCAAAGTAGGCAACTTCAGGGTCTTAGTTCAATAATAGCAGAATTTCTTCTTAGAAAATTAAAAATGTACCAAAAAAGAATGTAACTTTGATAATTGTAAAGAATGCTTTGAATAAGTAATCATAGAGTAATTATTTTGACCCAGCTCCATAGGCTCTAGCTCCCAAAGAGCTGAATCCTTAATTTAAGCCCTAAAGCATGTAAGCACCAGAGCAGTTCATCATGACATTTGCTAATCCTATACCAGAAAGGATGTTTGTATCATTTAGCTTACCTGCGTAAACGAGATTGATAGAAAGGAGAAGATTTGTCAGTAAAATACCAAACGAAATTGAAACAGAAGAAATGGTGACTTGTATTATATTTTATTTTAATTCTTCTGAATTCATTTGGTTCAAAGGAATATCTTCATTCTAATGTTAAATATCTTTGGTATCATTTGATACTGAAATAGATTTGTTTTCTTTCATTTAATTATTATTTTGAGAGTCTTTCATTTATTATATTTATTTATTAATTCTTATTTAAATAGCTAGCTTTTCATGCAACAATTAAATTATCTTTAAAGTTAAGCTTTATATTTATCTAAATAGTATTTAAACAAAGTATTACTAAAGTTCTATGTAATTAATTTATCATAGATAAATATATTTAAATATATTTTCTATCTTCTATTTATAGCTATAATTTTAAAATAGAAATTACTTCTTTTGATACAATTTTTATGTCTATTTTTTTATCTAATTCCTGTTATATGCAATAAACTATAACTAAAAACTTTTTTAAAGTAATTTTTAAGCAAGCCCATATATATTTCTTTGAAAATACAAAGGTACTATAAACTTACTCAATTTATAAGTATAAAAATATATAGAATTTTCATAGAAAATTCAAGAAATAAAATTTTATTGCAAGTATTAATTTAGTATACTCCAAATTTTAATTAAGTAAATCAATTTTTTAGTAAATTGGAGTTTTAAGCCAGATTATGATTTCAAAACTAAATTATAATACATTAATTTAACATAAATACCAAAATTTAAAAAAAGTTTAAATTTACATACAAAACTAACTAACTAACTAACGAGAGTTTTATTTTAAATTTTTAGAATACGTTTTAAAAATTGATATAAAGGTAAAATTAAATATTAAAATCTTTCATATATTAGATAGGACATACAAAAAATTTATAAATTAAGCTTATTAATATTTAAAAAATATTCTTTAGATTTTGCTAAATACTTTCTATAAATGATTTTTATTAGTTTTTGTATAAATTAATTTAATTAATGGAATGAAATGCAAAAACCTATTAAAAATCAACCATACCAAATCAACATTTAATTTTAATAAAATTATTTTGAAACTAATTTTCTTAAAATTAATTAAATTAATCTTCTGATGGTTCCAAGGTAATCATGGTAGCATACATAGTCCTACTGTGTATATAAGAAAATAATTTTTTGAATAAGATTAGAATGAATATTAATTTATAAATTAAATATCAAAGCTTTTAATTAAATTAGATTTTTTTAAATAAAATTTTAATAAGCTAAAGATAGTGAATTTTTAAGTAATGTAAATTTATGATTTAAAGTAATGAGTGAATAAAAGTTAGGTTATAAAAGAAATAAATCCATTTATTAAAAATATTTAGTACTAGTTGATACCATCCTTCTTTTTAAGTTAATTTTTTTAATTATATTTAAATATAAATATACCATATTAGAAATAAAAGAAGCTTTCTATCAGGTTTATCGATTAGATATTATAGTATAATCAATTATATATTTAAGATTTCCATATACTTTAACTCATGAATCAACTTATTTTATTTTTCTTAAATGAAAAATATTAGAAAGTATCTATTTATTAAATGTGTATAATAATTTAATTTTAAAATTTCTAACAAAGGAAGTGCTTTTCTGTTGTGCAAATAATTAATAAATTTTATATGTTTAGTTTATGGTGATTTGATAATAAAATAAGAGTAACCAAATACCATTAATTAAATATTTAATCAAGCTTGTAATGATTTTTCATGCATTCAAATACTTTACTCGATGCAAATTATCTGAAATAGAAAGATAATTAAGATAAAGCCAGCTTTGAGCAAATATTTTTTTTTTAAAAATATAGATTACACTAATCTTAAAATTACTTGCAAAAAGAAAAATAAATAAGGCGAAAATAAAAAGAAAGGAAATAAATTGGATATATTTAAATGTTAATGTTGAGATTATTTAAATATATAATAATAATTTTAAGATATTTGTCATTTTTCTAGTATTTACAATTTTTCTTTACTTATTCGTGATTTAAAAGAGGAGGAAAATTCGAATAAGGATTTTGTTTTCAATTTTAGTTTTTTAGATAGGCACTTGACAAACGTAGAGGTCTACAAAAATTACTTGTAAATTAAAAAAAAATTAAATATTAATGTAAATTAATGAAACAGATAATCTAATTTGTTATAAAAAGTAAATAAAATAGATAGATAGAATTTGCTTCTAAAATTTATTCTAATGCAACAAATATGAAATTTTGATAATATTAGACAAATTAATAAAAATAATTAATTACTACATATTAGAAAATGATTCAAATATGATTAAAATTAAAGACAAATTCATTTTATTTATCATTTACATTTTATGAGATATAAAAAGCTTATTGTGATTAAATATGAGCTTACACTAGGCTAAAATATATTTTTAAGAGTACTTGATATGCTTTTGAATCATTTTACTCATTAATTATTTTGCTAATTTGTTTGATGCTTGAATTTAGTTGAATTTAGGGTATTAACTCAAAATTTTTATGGATTTATTTCAATTAATTGATTGATTTTAATGAACTTAAATCAAATAATTTATCAATAGGTAAGAGTATTAATTAATTTTTACAAGAAATCCTTACATACTCAAGACAGGTGTAGCTATTTAGAAAAACGAATAAAAACTAATATATACCATTTTTTAAAAGAAATATAATTAGCATTCGAAAAGAACCAATATATTTTTAAATACTTGATAGCAATATTAATTAATTACTTAACAAATTTAATTATGTAATAGAAATTGCAAAGATGTATTTTCCAACAAATCCTCAAATAAATAAAATGAGTTATATGTTACTTTGAATAGGCTTATTGAATGGATAAGAGGCTCACTGTTTTACCCTTAAATTTAAACAAACTAATCAAATTTATTTATTTAATAATCAAGTTGGGGAGGATTTACACGCTAATCATATTGTCATAAATGGAAATATTTACATTCATAAAGATCCTTGAATTTAAATTTGGAAAGGCGTAGTTAGCGTTTCTTCTATGTGAGTAAATCTTAAAAATTAACTAGTAAACCAAAAATCAAAATAGATAGATTTTCATTTGCATAGTATTGATTAAAAAAGATTTTGTTAAATTAATATTATTTACAGTTTATTAAAACTGATGCAATTAATTTCACAATCTAGTCACTCTTAATATTAATAAATAAATCATTTTGATTCCTTGAATAAGCAAGAGTATCAGTTCTTGGTTTTGCTTATCAATTTCTGAGATTCCGCATTAGAGAATACAATAATTAAATTATATTTTATTTTCCCAATAATATGAATGGATTATTGACTGATTGATTATAATTTTGATAAAAATTATTAATAAATGAATGAATGAGCCAATTAGAGGATCAAAAAAGCTAACAATATCAATCAATCAATCCACCAAAGAAATCTGCAAAATAATTAAATAAATAAACAAAAAGAAATATAAATAAGATTGATTGATTGAATTAGTTGATGATATTATTAATAAATTAATTAATAATAAATAGGACACGAAAGAATCCAATCAATAAATCAAGAGGTTAAAAATTAAAAGAAAGTAAAAAAACAAGAAAAGCTAGCAATAATAATTAATTATAATAAAGAAATTAATTAATCAATCAATCAGTCAATCAATCAATAAATAAATAAATAAATTAAGTTATAAGGAGACATTAAAAAGCGTGTATATAATAGAATTCTTTGATAGTTTAAAGTTAAACAAGATCATAATCATACATATTAAATAATTTATAGAGAGTACTCTTTCAATTGTTCTAAGTTTCAAAACCTTTAAAGTCTATCACGTAAGATTTTACTTTGCAATTTGTTGCATTTTTTTATTTTTTTTCATCTTATTTTGCTAGCATTTGTTCTTGTATTTTTTTTACTTTCTTCTTTTTTCAGATCCCCTTTATAGCTTCGCAAATAATCTTCTAAATAAACAAACAGAAGCAAGCGCTGCAAATAATAATAAGAATAATAAATCTGATTAGCGACTCAAAAAAAAAAATTAAATTACTGAAGAAACCATAACATTTTATTCTTATTTAAATCAATAGTAGCTTTGAAAATAATGGGAGACCAAATGAATAACTATGAAATAAATTATAATTAGCCCGTTCATCCTTTACCTCATATGTATCAAATGTATCCACCAAATATGAATCCTTTATATCAACCTCACAATAATATTGCCCCTCACCATTTTAGCTCTAATCCTAATATTTAATTCTCTCCTCCTCAAACACATCAATAACACCTCCCAAACACCTCTAAAGGAATGATGATTTATAACTAATAACCTTCGGGTTCAGCTCAGAACTCAAATTAGGTAAAAAATTAAGTATAAAAAAATAGATTTTAAAATTAAACAGACAATCCATAAAAGAACAAAGTAGAAAAATGAAATAAAATCTGAATAATCAATAGTAGCTCTTAAAGATTTTATATTGTTGCACAAAAGTGCTAGATTAAAAAGTTTAAATTGCAGAAAAATAATAACTTTTTATAAAATTATATCAAAAGTAAAATATAACGAGCGTGGGCTCAAAAGGACATATTGATGGCATGGCTTACAAAAATTAGCATGAAAGTTAGCCAAATGCCAAATAAAATGTTAGAATCCCTCAAGGAAATGGCTCGTACACGCATTTAAACCATACAAACCACTCTAACCCACCTTTTAATCCAAACAATAGTTCGCACTTGATAATGAACAACTCTCCTCCTCCTTTAACTTAAAACATGAAGGGTCGTAATATCAATACTAGAAGCATAAACACAAATGTAAACAATAAGCTTAAAAATATAACTAAACATATAAATTAACTTAATTTTAAACAATCTCTAAACAAACAATTTTAACTCTAAGTTAAATAAAGCATTTCCTTTGCTAAAAACAATTTAAATTGCTTTTACAAACTTATTTTTAATTTCTCTGTTTACTCTCTCTCATCACACTTTCAATTTTCTTCATAAAAAGTGTATTTTTTGAAATATGTAATGAGAAGCTATAAAATTATCTAAAAGCGAGTACATATTTTTTTGTGATGAAGTATTAACTTAAGTATTTCGAGCTTAAATTAAATATGAAATAAGCAAAACCGTCATAGATTTATATTTTTATCAAAAACAAGCTTGAAAAGTATTAATTTTTGCTAGTGAATCAATTCTCATAATCAATAAATAAACTTACTTAATTTTCAGTAAAAAGTATCAAAAATTAAAAGACTACTATTAATTTTCCTATTACTGATCTATTAAAATTTTATAAATGTGACACAAGCTATATTAAATCCGCTAATATACTCTAATTAAAAATTCACTTTCCAAATTCCATCAACTATTCATTAAAATTTTGAGCTAGTAAGATTTCAATGAAACACACTTTTTGCAAATTAATTTTTTATTATTTACATTTTTTTCTTTACTCAATTGATTTTTCAGTACAATACCAAGCAATCACTAATAATATAAGTTTAGAAATTTAAACACAATTCTAAAAGAATTCTTCTTTTTTTTGTATTTATTTGCACTTGGTTTAACTTATATTCAACTCTTTCAATTAATCCATAAATCAATCAATAATATCTTATTCAAGAAAATCAAATAAAAAGAAAATCCAAAACTAAAAAAATTTATTGATTGTTATTTGAACCAAAGTTACTCTTTGATGTCTTTTTAACTAAATAAAATTTAATTTTTATTTCAGATTCTCTATTTGCACTTCCAAAAAGCAATGCGTGGTAAAAAACATGCTCCTGAAGCCAATTTATTTTTTAATAATCAAAATTTTTTCATTAACATTGAAAAATTAACATTTTTACTTTTTATTTTTAATAAGCAAACATTTTTACTTGCAATATTTTCCAAATGTCAGAATTTGTTTCTATAATAAATATTTTCGATCATTTAAAGATAGATTCATTCATTCATTCTAGTGGTTTCTCCTGATACTCAGCAACGAAAAATTTAAATAATATTCATTTTATATAAATGCTGTAAATCAATCATACACAAGCTACTCAACATATCATAAAAACTAACCTATTTTTATAAGCATTTAATTAAGCTAAATAAATATTAAAAATTTTTACCACTTACTCAATTAATTTTTAAAAATGCATTTTATTAATTTATTAGGGCCTCATTTAAGATCAGTATAGTAACGAGGAAAATTAAGAAGGAAACCCAAATAACAATAGTAACAGCAATAATAATACTCTCTTAGCAGGTAACAGTTAGGTGATAAATACTAAACCTTTATAAGAACACTTAGAGCTTAGCAACTTCAAAGTAGAGCCTTGCTAAAACACAAATGCTCATAATCATAAACAATGTAAATATTACCATACTTAAAGAGATAAAAGAAGATAAGGAGTTAACTATACGAGTGATTAGTGCTAACATTAACTTGGAAATTGCCCTGATGGCGATTACTGTCTGAAAGCTCATAATAAAGTTGAAGAACTCTATTGCCCAGACAAATATAAAACTAAATTTTGTACCCACTACCCAAATATGTGCCACAACTGTGAATATGGTATTTATTGCTCATTTGCCCACGATGAGAGTGACATAAAAATAGATCTGATTGAAAATTATGAATTTGATGAAGACTTCTATGTCTTTTACTATAAAACTGTTTGGTGTCCATTCAATTTTATAAAGCACGATAAAGCTTAATGTGTTTATTCTCATAACTGGTAAGATTATCGTCGTCGTCCTTAAGATTATAATTATGAGCCTGTTTCTTGTCCTAACTGGAAACCTGCTAGCTACATCACAAAATACGAAGAAGGATGTCCTAACAAATTTGACTGTAACAAATGCCATGGCTGGAAGGAATCTGAATATCACCCTCGTAATTATAGAACTAAACAATGTACACAAACAACTAATAATGAAAAATGCAACAAAGGACCATAATGTCCCTACTATCACAACGCATAAGAAAAGAGGTAACATATCCTTTATTTATTTTTATTAATCTTAGTCGATAAATAAACATTTGTTTGTCTCTTCTCCAAAGAGAAATAATATAGGTTACACCCATGTAATTTTAAAAAAAAAAATAAAATCTAATTTGACATCAGTGAAACTAATCAATAAATTCTATAAAATTAAACATATCTTTTAAATTTAAATAAGTAAATAAGTAGGTATATAAAATTTCATATAAATAATATGAAAAAAATCAATTTAAATTCCAATAAATTAAAATTTTAATTAAAATGGCAATTTAAAAGAATAAATAAGATCAAAAATTTCCTTTATTTTTTTTGATTCTTATTATTTATCTTCCTCTTATTAAAGGATCGAATTTAATTCTTATCTGACAAATTAACAATAACCCTTTCTAATAAAGCTTATAATTATTAAGATACAAATTTACTTACAAAAAAAAAAAAAATTACACTAATTATATAATAATTTAAGGTAAAAAATATCAATTTAGAGATTGCAAAATACGATATTATTTTAATTAAACCAATTTCTAGGCAATTCACATTTATTTGAAAATTATAATAATAATAAAACAACTTATCGCTGAAAAAACAAAATTTTTTTCTTTCTGATTTTAATATACAATTAATTATATTCTCTAATAAATTTCTTTAATGAATGAACTTTTAAATAAAATTTTGATATATTTAAAATAGGAACATCCCATAAAATATTTAAGAGGGACTATTCAAATATCGTCCAAGAAATAGAAATATTAGAGGTACTTATAAAACTCAATAGGGTTAAACACCTAATGATAGCTAACCTTTTGCATCTGCTCGTCTCAACTAACTAAATAGTACTCAATCTCTTCCAGATCATCACAGTAATTTAAAGATATTTGGTACTGCTTCTAAGAAATAATCAACTTGCATGTCTCCTATTATTCAATGTGATTAACAATAAGCAAGTGATTAAGATAATACAAATGGAATACCACCTGTTGCTATTAAAAAGCCAATCAGACTTAACACAACCTCCTAACTAGAATCTATAAATAAAAAAAATTCAATTTAGAATACTCACGAGGACATGATTTATTGCGAGTAAAAAATTATTCAAATATTTATTGAAAAATTTTTCTTTATTTCTTTAATAAATAAATTTAAGCTAAATTTTTGATCAATAAATTAATTCAAGCTAATTTTTGATAAATAAATAAATTTATTTGAACAAATTTGGATATTATTTTGATTAAATTGAATAATTTTAAGAAGATTATTTAATTTTAATCAAAATAGTTTAATTGATTGAAAATATTTTAATGTAAATAATTTTGAAAAATCATGAATAAAAATAATCCAAAATAGATTGTTTGTTATTTTTTAATAACATTTCGATTTATTAGAATATTTTATTTAAAAATTAACTTTTATTTAAACAGCTAAAATTAGTTTGATGATGAATAAACAGAAAGTATTCATGGAATTATGTCTGAAAACAACAGATGGGCAAATATTAATGGAAACACTCATCCACCAACATAGCAACAATTTTTCTAAATATTTAGTTAAAAGTCTTATGAAAACTTTAGCACAAATTTGGAATATAACAACAACAATCAACACTACTAACCTAACCATACCAACTTCCATAATAACCCCAATATGATACATAATAATAGCAATAACGGATTAGCGAATCCTGAACTTAATGAAGTCAATTAATAACTTGGTCATTTTTCACTTTAAAACTATGACAACAGTTAAAGTGACCATATTTGAAAGACAAATTAAATAACGAAAAACAAGTTCATAAGTTATTTTGTTAGTTTGTTATTAAAAATTATCATAACTAGAATTTTGTGGTTCACAATCAATCAATCAATCAATCAATAATAATTATTCCATTCCTTATAATTAACAACTGATTCCTTATTATCAAATTAACTCAATCAATAACCTACAAACAAAAAAAATAATATACATTCCACTCAATAAATCAATAATAATAATATTATAGATATAGTAATATCTTTCATAAGCAATTCAGAGAAATAAGCAATTTTTCTACTTTTAATATTTATGACAAATTTAATAAATAAATAAATATATTATTAATACCTCAACAAAATAAAACAAACAAACAAACAACTCTTTAATATTAAAAATAATAATAATTTTATCTTTTATTCCTTTTTCTTTCTCAGCTTATTATATTATAAATAAAAAATGAATGAATAAACAAAAAAATTAAATTCATCTTCTACCAATCAATCAATCAATCAGTCTTCTTATTAAAATTAATTGTTCTCTATAAAGCAATCTAAAGTAAAAATCTGTTTAATAAAGAGAAAGCTTTCAAATTTGCGTTTATTTAATAATTTTAATCTATAAATTGTAATCAAAAATTATGGTTATGAACTAAATGAATAAATATATTGTTTAATTTATGTAATAAATATGCAAGCAAATAAAATATTCTATTTATCATTTTTCTTTCTATAAAGCAATTGATTATTCATCCTAATTTATTTTTAGATAAGAATAACTTACAATGTATGTGTATATTTATTATAAGACATTAATCAAATTTAAATATACAATCATATGTAATACTAAAATTAATTTTTTTGATGGATAGATGAATAAATTAACAAATTATCATTTATTTAAATGCATAAACTTTACATGTAAAACAAAGAATTGATTTGAATTAACTAAAGCCAAAAATTTTTAATTTTATTAAGCAAAATAAATAACATTTATAATCTTTGATTGTGATTGCATTTTTATATTTAAAAAAAAACATTTAAAGAACAAATAACTAAAAATATCTTTCATTATTTTTAAAATAAAGTTTTATTATACCAATATTTCCAAATAATTATCAAAAAAAATGAAATATAAAGTTGTAGATTAAGAATAATTTTATAATTAAATTTTGTAAATTTTAATAAATCTCAATAAATATTTATTTTGAAAAAGTAGTTTCTATTTATTTTCTTTTATGTTATTGAGAAAGGATATATTTAACGCAAAGTAAAAATGTGTACAATTAAAAGATATGGTAAAAACGAATTTTGTTAAGAAAGCTAATTTTAATATATTTCAAATTAATTGCAAATAAAATAATGAATATTTATTTTGTATTATAAGAATTGAGAATTGTTTTTCTTAAATTATTTTTCTTTGAGAAAATGATCATTAGTATTTTAATTAAATATTATGCTTTGAGAAAAAAAGTTTTACTTCTCAAATTCAAGCAAGTTTAAATATAAACTTTTTAGTAAAATACAAAAAAATGTTTTTATTATATCCAGAGTACGTTTAATGACTCTAAATAAAACTAATTTAGGTAATTATTCTGAAATTGAGCATTTATAAAATTCAAAAATCTTTTATTTTAATTTATATTTATCATTTTATTATATAGATCATATATAATTTTTTGTTTTGAGATTTAATGGTTAATTTAATGCTGTCATCAAATATATTTAATTAAATACACTAGGTATTAATTTTTTTGATAATAAATTAAAATTTTACACAAATATTAATTTTCTAAATTTAAAAATATAAAAAATATGAAATTCTCAGAATTAAAATAAGTAAATATTCAATTTTAGCATAATTTACATTGATTGTCTATTATAACAGTTTCTCTAATCTGATTTGGGATCAAACAAAGAAGTTGAATTAGCTCTAAGGTAATTAATAATAATATTTAATATTCTTAAATAGTTTATTTTTTGTTTTTTTAAAGCTCAAAAAATATTGGCAGTAGTGAAATTACAAAATTAAGTTCTTCTTTTTCTAATTTAGACCTAAAGGAATTAACCATAGATGTAAGGTAAGATTTATTATTTTTAACTTATTATTTAAAAAAAAAATCAAATTTTATAATAGCTCAAACTCAATTGATAACAATCGTCTGATTGAACTCTCTTAAGGCCTAGCTTAATGTTAGAGTTTAGTTAAATTGGTCATTGACATTGGGTAATTAATTAATAATTTATTTGATTACTCTCTCAATTTAAAACATTAATTTTAAAAGTGAAAATTGCTTTGGATAAAAAGGAGTATCTAGCTTGATTTAATCTATTTCTACATGTAAAAATATTACAAAATTAAGTTTGGATTTAGGGTAAATTTAATTATTTTATAACCATAATTTAATTTTTAATTTAAATATTAAATAAAGATTTAACAATTTAAAGGATAGCAGCATTACTGATTTAGGGAAACTTGGTTAGTGTACAAACATATAAGACTTGAGCTTATTTTTATAGTAGAATATTAAATCTCAATTAAATTATTGTATTAATTAAATTATTTTTTTAGTGAAAACAAGATTGGAAATAACGGGATAACATAGCTAATATCATAATTATCAAAAAATTAAAATTTAAAAGAGCTAGTACTACATTTAGAGTAAATTCAGATTAATTTTTTATTTTATAATTTAATTATTAAAATCAACCATTAAATAATAAGCTATAACTAAATAAGCGATTAAGGAGTTAAGGAATTAGGAAAGATCCTTAAATAAATGACAAATCTAAATAGTTTAAAACTTTATCTTTAGTAAAAAAAAGTATAAATAAATTAATATGAATTTAAAATAATTTTTAAAATTAAAAGATCAAATATGATAAGTGCTGATTCTTTAAGAGAATTAGAGTAAATGCTCAATTAGTGTGGAAATTTTACTACTTTAAAATTTTCTTCTTTCCAAAAAGTAACAAAAATAAATTTTAACTATTAGCCATTTAATTTAATTTAACTCTAATAGATAAATTATTTATAAAATTTAATAAAAAAATAAATTTTCATAATCATAATAATTTTTTTAAATTATAAACATAAATACATTTAATAGCAATAGACTCATTAAAGTTGAATGAATTATGCATAAATAAATATGTCTCTTTGAACCATCAGATTCACTTAATTTTATCAAAGCTAATATTTTATGATAAATTCTTTTATTTGTATTATTTAAAAACATTTTTATAGTACTTAATATATATATTAGGATTTCATATTGTGAGTTAATATATTTTATTACTAATTAGATATCTCCTCATTTTTATTTATTTATGAAATGTAGAAATACCACAAAATACCAATTTACAAACAATCTGCTCACTCACTTAAAAATTTAGAATATATTATCTAAGCACCAAAAATTTTAGAAGAAAAATTTGAAAAACACTTTCTCAAATTAAAAATTATTTACAGTAGTTTCTTAATTGATACTTTAACAAATGATTCAACTCCAAAATATTTAATTGTATTTACAAGTTATTTTTGATTGATGATAGAAAAATAATAAATTAATCACAAATAGTAATAAGAATAGAGTGAGGATATTTTTTCAGAATCTCCTTCTAACCAAAATATTTAGAGGGTTTTTTATAAAAGTTTAATGATTAAATAAACTATTTGAAAAATATTTATGAATTTTTATTGTTAGAAAAAAAATGATTGATTTACAGAAAGATATCTAAAAAAATTCTAATTTTTGATTACACCTGTTTCTATTTTCAAATGAATGGCTTATATAATTTTACAAAATATTTAATTCAGAAATATTAAAAATGGTATTTAGTGGCTATTATTGAAATGCGAATTTAATATTTATTTACATTATAGATTGTGAAAATAATTAAGATCAAATAACAAATTGATTAGATTAATAAATAAATAAATAAAAAGTACTTATTTGCTACCCTAGTAAAAACTATAAAAGAGTAAATAAAGATTTTTATTTATAATTTTTTAACACTCTTAATAATTTTAATTAAAAGGCAAACTAATAACTTAAATTTACATTTTAAGTAAATCAATGTTATCTGTAGCAAGTCCTAGTTTTAACAGGCACAAAGGTCAAGAAGAGGCAAAACATCCTTTTTCTTCTTAAAAATCAGAGTAAAGCTTATCAAAAGGATATTAGCAAAGCTCCTAAATAGTAAGCACATAGTTTTCGAACCAAAATTCTCAGTAAAAGGAGAATGAATTAGAGTAGAGGATAAAGAAATTTCAAAGTAGCTTATTGAAGATAAAAGGTTCAGATGTGCCTTAGTAAAACTAGGTTTTGCACTCTCCTCTGTTTAAAAAGAAAAGTGGTTCCAACATGAGTTAGATTTCACCCAATTCAACGAATACAGTTTCCCTGCTTAGTAGTTAAAGAGCAAAAAGTTAGTTTGAGAGTTAATAAGAGTAAAGTAACTCAATTAAACTAAGGAGAATTGTGAAGAATTTAAAAGGGGAGTTATTAGAATAAAAAGAAGTTACAGTCAAGAAAGATAACAATCACGTATATCAAAGCGTTTATAGTTAAAGCTAATTAGCTAGTACATAAAAAAATCTAATCAACGATTCCTATAACCCAAGAGGACTAAAATCTCTAGGTAACAAAGTAAACTCGTTTGCAACATTGTAGGAATACAATAATAGCTTAGATTTTACTAATCCAAATTATAGCCTTGTTAATGAAAAGTTGGTTTCGCCCTAAGTAAAATACAACTTAAAGTTGTTAAAAAATAGCTTAAATTCAAACACGTATGACCAAGTATTAAATGACTTGGTTTAAAACAAGATGAAAGTCAAAAGAAGCTTCTCCAATAATTTAATCAAAAAAAAATTTCTTAAACCAATTAAAAAAGAAGAAAATTCAATCACAGCAGCAGTAGCTGACTCAAAGGTAAATGTAAATAACTCCATAATTGTCTCAAAGGATACTAAAAGAAATGTGAACAGGAGCATAAGCCAAGAGGTAACAATTAATTTAATCTTATAAAATAAATTTCAGCATACAGCATAAAAACTTTTAGTTGGTTTTTTTTAATTAAAACGCTGGTACTTTTAACAAGTTATGTTCTGTAACTAAGTATAAAGATGACAAAATTCTTTAATTTTATTAATTACTTTGCACAAAAATTAATAAATTGATTAATTTATTTATTAATGTATGTCTTAGATTTATTTAATAATAATAATAATTTATTTATTTACATTTTGCATAAATAAGCTCAACCACAACATAATAACTTTAAATAAATTTTAAAAATAGCATATAATTAAAAATGAAAAGATGACAGAAAATGACTAGCATAAAGAGAACAACATTTTGCATAATTCGCATTTAGAACTTCAAGAATAAAATTAAGCAGAGGTTTCTGATTTCGAAAATTTACTCACTGAGGTTAAACAAGAGGAAAAAATATCTCAGATTAATGATGAAGAAGTAATCAGTGAATACCAAGTGAAATTAAGTAATAAAAATTTTACTGATAAGTAAAGCGAATAATAGTATTCGCCTTCACAAGTTAGATACTCCTAAGAAAACCTAACTGAAAGCACTCTTTCTCATGAATAAGAAATGATTTAATATCTAATGCAGACCTAACCAAACTATTTTGATCATAAGGCTGGTAATAATGTTTTCTTTATTTAAAATTTTAGTAGAATTATGATTATGCAAAAGAGCAGAGTTTATTTATATTGAAAATACAATGTTTATCGAATGATTTTAATTACTTAATTAAATATTTATTTATTAATTTTTAGGGAAGTGTCTTTGTTCTTTATGTAGTTGTGGGTCTTGCATTACTAAATGCAAGTAATTATCATAGTACCTTGATACCAATTTAAAGTAAAGCTGGACTTCCACTTATAGATAAGCTTTTAAATAAAGAGCAAATGACATAGATTCAAAATCTATTGACTCTTTGAATTAACTTAAAATGTAATATAAAAGCTAATTAGATGGATAGAAAGAGCTTTACTGTTCTACTACCAAGGTAAAAATAAGTTTCATTAAAATTGTAGTCTACTTACAAATTTTTCAATTAAAAATTAAAATAATTAAAATGAATTTAAATTTATTGTAATTAATTCATCTTGTTTAATTTTTTAAAAATTAGAATGATTATAAGATGAGATTATCATTAGAAGATCCTTTTAAAATAAAATAAAAAACTTATACTGAAAATAAAGCTCCTATCTCTTGTCTTTCGTCTTATAATGTAAAAATTATTTATGTTTAAGCAAGCTAATTCCTTTTTTTATTAGAGTTAGTTTGTTAATTGGGGTATTCCAAGTGTCAATCTGATTAAGCAATCTTAACAAAAGACTGTCTTAGATAAGCTACCATTCAACCATATCACTACTTATGAATAAAATTTTCAGAAAAAATTCGATGCCACTCCAAGCAAAAAGTGTGTCCCAAAAAATATGAACCCACTTCCTAACATAGGAATCTTTATCGGTGAATCAACTACACAAAGATACTTTGATGAGAAAAAAAATAACTTCTTTTAGCTTCCAACTAAACGTTAACATGTATTTAATTAAAAAAATAAGCCATTTTAAAATAATTAATAAATAAATAAAATGAATAAAAAAATATTTAATTTTAACTTTAAATAAAAGTTACTCAAAATTTTTATGAATAAATTAATATTTAAAAAAGAAGAATTAATTTTTAAATTAATTTTAATTAAATTATTTAGAGTCCTCCTGATTAAACTCCATCTTACTCAGGTTAATTTAAATCAGAAACGTAAAAAGCATTTGAAGGAGCAACAGAAAAATGCTTGGCTAAGGAGATCTTAAAGAAGAAGTTAATTGAAAAATTGTAAAATAAAATCTTAGACAAAAGCAGATATTACCAAGGAAAGAAAGAGATTTGATGGTTTTTAATTACAAATTATTTAAATTGTTTATCTTTTTTTGATAAACAAGGATAAAAAATCTATTTCAATTAATTATGTTATTTATTAATTTAATTCTTAATAATAATTTAAATTATTTCTAGTATGTTAAATATGTATTTTGATTCTCAGTATGTAAGTAAGTAAATAAATAATTAAATAAATAAATTCATATTAAAGTCAACTTAAATTAGAATATGTTTTTACTTTTTTATTAAAATCACTTGTTAAAATAAATTTCTCATTTTTAACTTAAAATTTAATTTGTGGAAATTTTTTGGGTCTTGCATAAACAAGAGAGCTCTTAATGCGAAAACTAAAAAGAAAGTTCTAAAGGCATTTAATTGTTTTATTAATTAATTTCATTAAATTATTTATATATTTACTTATGAATTGGATATGTGTATGATGAAACTATTTATATCTAAAAAAGATGAAGTTATTTAGAATTCATATATTTGTTTATGATTTGAATGACAGGCAGATAGATAGATAGATTGATAGATAGATATTATGAACCTTTAGATATTTTAGCTTATCTTTTTGCTGTGTAGAATATTAAAGAATAAAAAAGAAGAAATTAATTAATTAATAGCTTTAGTAAATAAAACAATTAAAACAAATTAGGAATGAAGCAAATTTTATCCAAGTTATGGGGCAATCTCTAATAACCCACTGATTTATTAATGAAAGCTATATATTGGGGTTACCTCCCTTTAATTATTTACTTAGGTAATTTAAGATACAATTCATTTTTCATTTGCTTATGTGTACATTGCCAAAAAACACAAATTTTAATATTAATTTCTATTTTTAAAAAGGTTTTAAGTCAAGAAACGAATTACCTTAAATTGGTATGTGATATAGTAAATTTTCAAATGTTATGCAATAAACTTTCTATATTATTCATGTTGTAAATCAGCTTATAAATAATAGCTTTAAGATTTTAAAAATCTATCTCCACATTTTGCAATTATTCTATTTATTTAATTATTGAACGAAATCTTATAAATAATGTGTTTAAACATAACGATAGGCAAGTTAAAAACTGAAAAAATGCCAAAATTATTTATCTCTTTTTAGCTTAACAAAATAAATTTTTCAAAATGAATTAATTAATACAGTAAATATTTTATGTTTAAGAGAAAAATTATAAAAATGTTTGAAAAGATAGATAAATTGCTAGAAAAAAAGCAAATTTATATTTATAAATGACAATACCAGTTAAAACAGAGAAAAATGAATTATTCAAATAATATAAATGATATCTTAAATACACAAAAAGTATTTAATAATAACTAATCAAAATTTAAGACATTATTTTTTTAAATAATATTTGTTAAATTAAATTATAATATCAATAAAAGTATAAAAAAGAGAAAATGAATAAATTATTAAATCATATTAATAGTAAATTTTTGAAATATTATAGTACCAAAAGTTTATTGTCAACATTTAAACACCAATAATAGTTATATATATCAATAAATATTATTTATCATTCAAAGTTTTAACATTTGTAAATATTTAAAATAATTATTTTTAATTCATAACAATCTTATTAGATAAATAAACTAACAAAATTAATAAGGTAAAATAAAATTATTTAGATGTATTCCTACATTTACTTATATATAAATGCTATGCGATGAGTAAAAAATAAATAAATGAAGTTTTTCTCATTAATTATTGGTATTAAAATATTATTGATTAATATATATTTATATAATTTATAAATTAAAAAAGTAATTAATTATTCACCAAATATAATTAAATCCAGTGATTTTACTGAATATATTCTAAGATATTCTATTTAAAAGTAGACAAAAAAAATTTAAAATATTCAGGATATTCAAATACACTATTTTTTCTAATTAAGATTATAAATCTATGATCACTGATTAAGTCTATTCTTAATGTTTTTATAAATGACTAAATTTTTTAATCAAATATTTATATATTAAAAAAATGAGGGTAAAGTCATTCTCAAGATTTTTGCAGCATTAATTATTATTTTTAATGTATTTATTTATTCATTTAAGATAGATTTGTTCAATACAACTCCTTATTCAAATACTTTTTTAACTTTCAATTATTTTTTAATATTTTTTTTTTCCTTTAGAATTTAAATTATAATAAATCTTATTAATTAATATTTAATTTTAATTTCTTTAAATATAAATTTTACGATTTAAAATGTATAAAGTATTTACATAATATTAAAAATAAAAAATAATAATTATTTTCTTTTTTATTTATTAATTGTTAAGATCAAATTATACTTGTTAGATTGATAAAAATTATATAATTGTATAAAGTAGATATTCATGATAATCTTGAGAAGTATTTTTTATTCAGGTCAGATATTTATTCTTAAAAATATTTACAATTATTAACAATTATTAAATTAAATAAATTCTATTTTTTCAAAGAAGAAAAGAAATAAAATTGTATTATTTATACATAAAAGACATAATATTTAAAAAAATACAAATTTTATTGAATTATGATAATTTAATTAATCATTGTAACTTGGGAAAATTTTTTTAAACAAATTTAAAAAATATAGAGAAAAGTAACTATAAAAAGAATCAAAATAATACAATGACAGCTTTAACTTATAGAAAGAAAAAAACATAAAAATATAATAATATATTGTCTTAAATTGCTAAAAACATTCTCTATTTTCAAAGATCATTGCTAGCCAAACAAAACTTATCAGTTTTTGTGTGAAATTTAAGCAATAATATAGGTAATTAAATGGATATAATTCAAGACATTTAAAAAATAAAAATAGTAAATTAAATAAATAGAAAATCTTCTTACCTTTAATAATTTCAAACAAGATAGTTAGTAAAAGGAGACCAAAACAAATACACTTAATCCTAAATTGTAATAAAAACAGCTTTAAAATGAAATTAATAAAATATCCTTTGAAGATATTGCTACTAAATATTTTTGAGCTCTAGCTGAAAGGCTATTATTTATAAAGTATTTTAAAAAAACATTTGTAAATTTAAATTTGATAAAGAAAAAAATAAAATTTTATTTGTTTATTTGATTTTTGTGCGAAAATATTGCAAATTGCTCTTTTTTGTTTTCCTTCACTTTTTGCTTACTTCCTTACTTATTTTGAAACAAATTAGCCTCATTCCTTTCAGAAAAATTAAAAATAAGCAAATTTTATAATAAACATTCATTTCAAGAAAACAATCAAAAATGACACATTATTTCTTAAAGTCTATTCAAATAATTTATTTATTTATTTAGTTAGTTAGTTATTAAAAAACATAATCTACAACAAATAACTTTAGGGGATTAAAAAATGTTTGTTTATTTTATTGATTAAATAGAGTTATATATAAATTAATTATCTTTTGTTTGAGTTTTCTTGTATTAACTTAATTGATTAACTTTAAAACCTACTTCTATTCATTCAAATTTCTCTTCACACTCAACTTAATTAAGAAGTAAGTTCTCTTTCAATCGAATTAATTAACTGTCACAAACAAAAAAAACTAATCAGTAATTAATTTGCTTCACCAACCACCTGATCCTCCTCCGTTACCCCACTAGTTATTTTAATTTTCACCTGAAGATGCCTGATTGTTTGAACCCCAAGAACTCTCATTATTGGTTTAATTTGAATTGGATGATCCCCACCCGCCTCCTCCTGTATTTTCATTTTGCTATTATTGGTTATCATTAGATCCCCATCCTCCTCCAGTTTAATTACCAGATCCACTGCTACCCCATCCTCCAGATGATGTAGTTGTGCTTTCTTAGACATTACTTTAACAATTCCAATCACTGCCAGAGGAAGTTCCCCATGATTAGCCTCCATTAGAATTTCCACCTCCTCCAAATTGCTTATTTCCTCTAAAATTACCATTATTATTGTTGTTATTATTGCGTGGTGGACGCTCCTTCCTCTCTTTAGTGCATTCTCTAGATTAATGACCTTCTTCTCCACAATTGAAGCATCCTTTTTTCTTTTAAGATGGGTTAGGACAGTCTTTTGACATATGACCTTCTTAATTACAGTTAAAGCACTTATTTCCTCCTGAGTTTTATGAGTTTGGACAATCTTTGGAAATGTGGCCTTCTTGTTTACATTTAAAACATGTATTTTTTTACTACTGTTTTTAAGGGTTAGGACAATCTTTTGAAATGTGCCCTTCTTCTCCGCATTTAAAACATGCGCCCCCTCTAGGTTTTTATTGCTATTATTTTTGGGGATTGGGGCAATCTTTTGAAAAATGCCCTTCTTCACCGCATTTAAAACATCCACTTTTTTTTTATTATTGATTTGGACAATCTTTAGACATGTGGCCTTCTTGGTTGCATTTAAAGCAAGCGCCACTTTATTTTCTGCCTTGTTGCTATGGTTCTGTGCAGTCTTTTGCCATATGACCAACTTTGCCACATTTGAAACAGCCTTTTCCCTTGTTACCTCCATTTTAGTTTCTTTCTCTACCAGAATTCTAGCCAAAATTACTAGATGATGAAGTATTTGAAGTTCCCCATCCTGAGTTATCATTATTTTATGAAGAATTCCAGCCATTTCCACCACTTTCATTTGTAGAAGTTTGGTCTTTCGATGCTCCCCAATTATTTGAAGAAGAAGATGATGAGTTGTTTCCCCATCCACCTCCTTCGTTTGAGCTACTTTTTGCTAAATTATTAGTAGGAGCTTTGTTATTTTAAGCACCACCCCAGCTACTTGAATTATCCTATTTACTCCAATCATTATCAGAAGATTTATTCATGTTTTATCCCCATCCTCCTCCTTCATTAGAATTAGTTTTATTATTGGAAGAACCCCATCCATCTTCTTTGGAAGCATTTTAGCCTGAATCATTGCTACTATTACCCCATCCACTCGTATCACTATTATTATTGTTATTAGACTAATTCCATCCTGAGGACTATTCTTTATTCCCAAATGAATTGTTATCATTTTTAAAATTTGAGTTTTATTACTACTAATTTCTACTTCTCAAAGGCTAGTCGTTAAAGTTATTAGATTCACTTTATTTAGACTCCCAAGAGGGTTTCGTTTAACTGGTACCCCATGATGATGAAGAATTATCACCTGCTGAGAAATCATTCTAATTGTTGTTCTTATTAAAAGGTTTTTTAAATTCTGATTAAGAATTATCTTTTTATCTTAGCGACTGCTCATTTTAAGCTTAGTTGCTATTATTCCATCCCTGATTAGAATCGTTACTAGCCCAAGTTTAATTACTTTATACAGTAGAAGAGCCGGAAGAGTTAGCCCAAGAAGAAGAAGAAGATTCTTAAATTTGTTTACACTGCTATTGCATTTAGAAAGATGGAGTACTTTCAGTAAGATCAATCACATTATGAGGATTCTTTTCCATTTCTTTAGAGAATATATTAAACTAAGATTTTAAGTCTACTCTCGTGGAAGGTAAGTCTGTTTAATCTAACTGACCAAAATAAGGGTTTTTGTCTTTGAACTCTGTCACAATCTGCGTTGCTAGAGCTTTGTAATCCGGATAAGTGAATGTTACTTTGTTATCGAAGATCGCATCGATTTAATGAGTATTTTCATTTTGATTTTCAAACACTTTGGTAGAATCAAGAATCAGTTCAATCTCAGCATTCCTTTTTTTCTAATAGAATTTTTCTACTGCCAGCCCATTAGGAATGTCTGACCTTCATTAAGAAAAATGTGTTTAAATAAGGTTGGTATGTATGTATGTTAAAAATAAAAATATAAATTAATTACTTCATTAGTCTGCATCTAATTTTGAAATCCTTTGAAGTAAATTCAATGTATTTTTCAGTAATATCTCTAAATTTTAACATGAGCTAAGCACCTTTTCTAATGCAATTTGGATGAATGTTGTAGATTGACTCAAAAATTTATTTCAAGCTCAATTCAGGTGGGATCATTTTCATTTTTTCATTTAAATTTGATAACGCACACAATTTTTCTAATATTTTAGACAAAACAATTACCATATTTGGTCTCTGATAATTTTTTTCTAAGAGTTTGCTATAATCATTAATGTCAAAGTTGTTCATCCAAACTTCAGGTTTTGAAATCATTTTCTATAACTAACCTTAGAAATTTACCATATCACCTGATTAAACAGCAGTTTGTTGAGGTGTTTAATCAAGCAATTAGCATTTGTCAATGGTTTCAACAATATGATTCACAATGAAATACTCTTTATTAATTTTTATAAATTTTAACTCATAAAAATAATTTTAAAGAAAGAAAGAATGAAAGAAAGCAATTAACTTAAAATTAAAAATTACTGCTTAAGTATCTATCTATTCAAATTTATTAAGATAGAGTAAGTAGGAATTTGAAAAAATAACAAAGTAAAATTTAAAGTATTTTTTAAACATGAAGTAATAGATTGATTTAAGATTTACGATTGTAAGGTATTTTAGTTTGATCTAGGAGATTGTCAGATTTAGAGAACATCATAAAAGCCATACAGTTGACAATAAGATTCTCCCCCATCAAATTGAGCTAAATGCACTTTTTTCTAGAAGTAATTTCTTTGAAATCTTTGCCTTATTCAAACTAACTGATAAAGAAATGAGATTTTCTTGGACCAAAACCTGGTATAAATTGTAAGCAATCTTTAAACGATAGATTTTTATCAAATAGTGTTTTGAATTCTAAACCATCTTGGCATATTCTTTCTTAAATAACTTATTCAAATCTAATTTATAATTCCTTTTTGTCAACCTTTTTCTTAATATTTAAAATAGATTAGATGAAGATTAAAATAATCCCTTTATTATATATTTTGAAATAAATGACACAAGAAAAATGCTGCAATAAAAAGTAAAAAAAATTGGGAATTAGTAAATTCTAATTTATACCTAGAAAGGATGAAGCTTAATCTCAAGCAATGGATTGCTTTCATAGTTCCAAAGTGAGCATACTTCCAATAGTCTAAACTAAAATGCCTTTGCTTATTTTCTTGCTAAGAATATGTATTTATCCTTAGGAGACTGGATAAAAGAAGACTAGTTTAAGTAGCAAGTCATCAAAGTTTGTTCACACATAAGAATGTTCCTGCATAAGTTCTAATATTTTGATGAATAAAAATCATTTATTTATTTAATTATTTTTTAGCTTTTTATTTAGCTATTTGCTTTGTTATTAGAGTTAATTCAATAATTTTCTTAAAATTTACTAAAAAATATTAAACATTGCAATCAACTCTAAATTTACTAATTAATTCATTGATTAATTTTTACCTTAAATTGAATATAGAGGTTAGATTTCAGTACAAGAGCTCTAGAGCAGTTTGATGAAACAATAATGACATAAGGTTATCTGTTTCTAATAAATTCATATAAATTTTTGATTTCTTGTTCTCTCTTTTATGATACTAATTTATCAGCATTAAAATAATATTCCAAACAATTCTTGTGAATTTCTTTTCCGTCCTAGCTTATCATTGAAACTCCAACAATTCCAGAGCTTTCATGCACATAAAAAGACAATATTGTTTCAGGCTTTACAAGTTAATCCTGTCTATCTCTAATAAGATATGGACCCTATTAAATAATTCAAAATCAGAGTTGTCTTGTGTATAAATATATAGGATTTTTAAGAGAAACTTAAAAGAAAAAAATTATTGTTTTTTTTAATTGATGTTACGTCATCATAATTTGACAAAAAAAAAAAGCATCTATCTTACATTTTTAAAAAAATTAATTTATTTTATTGTTGAGTGATTGAGTGAAAAATACAATCAAATTAACATTCAAGAAACTTACTTTTTTAAATATTAACAATTTATTTAATTTTCAAATAGAATCTCTTACCACTAAAATAAATTACAGGGGCAAAGAAATTTATCTTCTATTTATTTGTAAAAATATGTAATAATTTGGGATAATAAAAAATTTCATGCAATAATTTTTCAAAACGTGAAGCTGCTTTAAATTTAATAAAATCTTTGGGGTAGGACTTAAGCAATTAATTAAACTACCAGAAATATTACAAATTAAAGTAATTCAAAAACTGATAAAGTTGATTTAATAATTAATTGTATAGGGAAATAAGTAAGTTTTCATCTATATCATTAATTCAAATTTTATTTTTTTAATCACTCAAGATAAATTTTTTATTTAAGCAAAAAAAATATTTTATTCATATTTTTTTACTCAGTTGGAAATTATTTTATTTAAAATATTGAATGGATTGTTTAATAAATAAATATTTTATTACATAGCTTATATATTCTTTGAATTTAGAAACACAGATATCTCTTACTTCAGTTAAGGATTTATTTTCAAGATGTTTATATACTTATTGTTGAGCGTATGGATATCTAATAGTTATTTTTTTATAAACCATTAAAAATATTATTTTTATCTAAAATATTTCAATTAAATTAATTACAAATAGTTTTTTAAGAGCCTTTGAAGAAGATTTTAGGTATAAGAATTAAGTGATTCAGACTTGCTAGCTAAATGAGGTTAAAAATGTTAGCTAATCTCTCTATAAATCAAGTCTTCGCCTTGATCTATTTACCAAGGCAATAGAATTTTGCATTCAATTAAGTTCTATTAGCTAGCCTAAAGGATAGTCAGAAATTCATTGCTCGTAATCTCACTTAGAGGCTCTTTTTTTAAAAAAAAAATTAATGATAAAGTCATGATGAATTATTATAATTTTCTATATAGTATAAATATATAAAATAACTATTTTTTATCAACAATAATATATTATGATCATAAGAAGATGGCTATTAGTTAACAAAAGTCTTAGTTTTTTTTGTTTTCTAATTATTTCATATTAAATTGACTGTTTTTCATTCAGATATTATTGAAGTAGAAGTTTAACTTGATAGTATTAAAATTCTATTCAATTAATTAATGGAAAATTTTTAAAAATTGGTTTGCTTATTTTAGCAAAAAAGAAAAATATATCTTAGTCTATTGCTTTAAATATTATTTAATAAGTAAATAAAAGATAATAAATAATACTTTTTATGATTTTTTTGGCAGCAAAAAACTCATGATAAATGTTGAATCCTATTACATGAGCCTAAGGAGAAGTTGATAAAACTGCATACTTCATATAATTGTCAATAATAAACTTCTTTATTATAGGATTGTAAAGAAAGTCAATGCAGATGTAGTCTTAAATTAATTCTGATAGATTAAGTCTTTCTTACTAGGAAAGCTGAGTATAGTTCTAATAGATATGACTCAATAGATTTTCTTCATTGTATATCTCCATTTGGTTGATCAATTTTTAAGATGCTTGCTATCTGATAGGATTGAACTTAGCTTCATACTCTTCTTTATAAGGAGCTAGGTCTGTGATTTTTGGGAAAAGCATCTCAGCACAGCAAGAAGAATCATCAAAATATTAATATATAATTTAAGGAATATTGTACTCTCTGGCTTAATTAATCTTGGTCAGATGGCTTTAGAGTAAATCAGAAACTTTTCTAGCCTAAATCTCAAAACAGCACTTTAGGTAATTTAGGTGTTGCTATTTTATAATAAATTTATAAATTATGGTCTAATTGATAAATTAATAAAATTATTTTTTACCTAAATGTCATTGAATTCTTTGCTATTCTAGGCCACATTCATGAAAAACTAAATAATATCACTTATCTATCTGATAGAGTACATTTCAATTACAACTTCTTCATTTCTGCTTCTAATTTTAAAAAAATGAATTATTCATTAATATTTAAAATTATTTTCATGAAAAAGAAGCTTTTGAGAAATAATAAATTATTCAGAAATAAATACCTTGGGAAATAAATTTCATCTTTGTAGTTAATCATCAAGTTAAAGATATCCCAGAGTGTTTAGATGCTTATATTAGGAATGAAGTTACTTTCGTTATTCCAAATTGTCATAACTTCCATTTTTTGTTAAACAACTAATCTAACCACGTTTTCAACAGTCTCGAGTTTAATTTTATTAGTTCCATCTTTTTAAGAAAGATTACTGTATATCCATCTTACTAAATGCTTCATAACATCTTCGTTGATCTACTTTCCTGCAACGAAATTACTATTTGATAATAATTTATTAATTTTATTTTTTTTATATTTAAAAGTAGAACTTAAAAAATAAAATAGGCTCAATTTCCAAAATTACTTAAGGAGTAGCTGAAATCTCTCTGGGACATCTGTTTATACAAGATTTATATCCTTTGAAGAGCTGAATATTTTGCTCATTTTTTCGCTATTGAAGTTTTTGTTGAAATTTGTAGCAAAGCTCTTTTTTTACTATTTTAGAAAAAAATTATGAATCTCTTGCATCAAAAACCAATAAATGAATAAATGAATTAATTATATAAGGTACCTCTTCAGCTTCTGGAGTTGATTATGCAATTGGAGCGTAGGATGTTGTCTGATCACAGTAAATATCTAAAATATTAAGATTTCGAAATTAAAATGAGATTTTAAAGTCATTTTTAATGTTAATACTTTTATCAAGGTAAGCATTAAATTGAGAAGACACTTTGATCATTTTTCTCTAAAACTCATAGGACTGCTGAACATCAGAATCTGAGATCACAGATGAACTCACATCTTCCATTTCAGTTATTTGGTCCAGCTAAACGTGTCTCCTTTTTTACTAAATTAAAAAGGAGTGTTTATATTTGCATAATAAACTAACAAAGATGTAATAATAGCAAAAGCTATCCCATAAAAAAGAAATTATTTACCAGCATAATGTAAGCGGTCTTGCTTTAAGGATCTTTTAGCTTTTCTTGAGACTCGGACTTAATTTTTAAAAACTCTTCGCTCCCAATTGGTGATATGCATTAGCTTATCCCACAGTCACTTTCAATATCATTGGTTTCAGTAGAACTAATCTTTGTAGTGCAATATTAATCTGACATTTCTTACTTTGTCCTTTAATAAACCTCTCTATCACCAGCAATCTAGTTAGAAATTTGTAAATTTACTTCGATCTCCATAGGGAAACACTAAATTATAAGGATGTTTTTTGTTTAGTTATTTTTTGTCTGTTTTTATGATGCTTGGTTTGATTTTATTATTTATATGATTTATCTTTTTTGATAGTTTTTGATTACTATTTATATCAGGAATTAATTAATTAGTGTGCCTCAAATATCAGAAATACTCTATGATTTGAATTATATATTTGTTGTTGCTAAATAATAAATCAAATTCTAAATATTTGATTATCTTAATTATATCTATCTATATAGCCAGCTAACTATTTTTAAAAATTAAACTGATTTTAAGTAGATACCGTCAAGCTAAAAACAAAGTTAAAAAAACATTATTAAATTTGATTTCAATTCATATTTTTTACCGACAAGCATTAAATAAAATATTTAGTGAAAATGAGCAAGATTATTTTATTTAGTTTTAAATATAATTTCATAAAAATTCTAAAACTTCGACATTCATTCATTCATTCATTCATTTATTCATTGATTGATCTTTAAGAAAATGTTAAATAAAATCTAAAATTAGTTTCAATTTTAAAAAATAATATTTACGAAGATTACAGCCAAAAAGAGAAAAAAACATACTAAAACATATTCAATAAAACGTTTTTCTAATGAAACTAAATAAATAATCATGGTATTTTATTTATAATTAATTAAATAAATTTTTTGGCGCACCGCTATTTAGAGTATTTTTTAGCTAAATAAATTTATTTATCAACAAAATAAAATAATCTGAAAATTTTCTAAAATTTAAGCAAAAAGAAATTTGACAGTTAGTAAAACAATTAGATCATTTTTTGTTGACAAATAAATTTTAATTTGAATTCATTTGATTTTTTATTTATCATCAATTATTATCATTAAAAGGATCAATTATTGGTTTATTTTCAAAAAATTATTTCTAAAATTCAAGAAAAAAACCTATAATTTAGATGTGAAACATATTTTTTCTGTATTAAAATGATTTATAAACGAATTTTGTAATCAGTGAGAAGTTTTTTTTATTGAACTTTAAAATATTTTTGACTTTTTTATAATCAAAAACTGATTTATTTGTTTGTAATTTTTGTAAAGCAAGATAAAAAAAGTCACATAAACTGCTAAAATTGTAAACAGATTTTTATATATGACTCAACAAAAAGGAATATACTTTAAGAAATAATTATATAATCTTAATTATAAAGAGAAAAATATCCTTCAACTTCATTTTACTAAGCTTTTTGTTGATGGTATCCAATTTAACGAAACTAATTTAGTGAATAGTAAATAGCATTGATAATTAGATAAAAAAATGCTAAAAAGAACATTTTTTACAATTGATTCTACTCAAAAACAATTATTTTAAATGAATTATGCTAGTTATCAGCAATATTTGAACGAAAAGTATCTATAAACACTACTATCAATAGAGTATATTATGTTTTCTTAACTGAATGTTTGACAAAATTTCTTGCTATTTAAACTAAATGCGTTTTATTTAAATAATATAAATGAATAGGGTAGGCTTCTTTAAAAACAATACAGTATTTAAATTATTTCTTTATTGATTTCAAGTGGGGAAGCTATCTAGAATTAAAGAAAATTTAAAGAAAATGACAAATTAAATAAAAAAAGTTAATTTTTTTCCCATTATTAAAAGAAATTATTGATAGTTAAAAGTTCTTTAGAAAATATGCATTTATAAATCAAATATTAATATTAATAAAATTAGTAATAAGATATTTCAAGCGAGAATGCTCATTTTTATTAGAAGAATTATTTAAATTATTTATTGATTTTTATCATAATCTAATTAATAACTTTTTTGGGTTAAATCAAATAATGAATATTAAAAAAAAAAAATCAATCAAGATTTTCTTTTTCATGTTAGTATGTAAACAGACTATATAATTCAAAATAATTGAATTCATGGTTGTAAAATTACACTTTTTGGTCTATAATCAATTCAATTCTAGCCAGTGCTTTGCTAAATTTATTTGGATTAAGTTTTTATTAGTTTGAAAGTGACGGCCAGCTGTAGCTATTTTTAATAGCAGCTATTAGATTTCTATATAAGAAAATAGATTTTTTTTATTAGAAAGGAATTTACTTTGAAAAAATTTGGAAATTACTGAAATAAATAAATAAATAATACATTTTGTCAAAGTAATTTTTAAGATGTTTTGAGTGGGATAATTTGTGTTTTTTGATTATGTAAATACTAATAATAATTTTCAGTAGTATTTTTATAATATTTTTAAATATTTTTTTTGAAATTAAATGATTCTGACATTTTCTAATTTCAAAGTGTAAATTTTTTTGACTTAAAACAGAAAGTAAAGTAATCAACAGTTTACTATGAAAAAGATAGATTACTTCTTTTTTGTTATAAAATCTGTTTTTTTTGTTATTAACTTTTGAATATTTTGTATGGTATTTCGAGATTTAAAATTTTTTTATTTAATAAAAAGATAATCAGAGACAAAAATAAATAGAAGCTATTACAAATAACTAAGCAGAATTAATTTTTTTGTAAAAGAAATAAGAAGTAAAACAAAACATTTTGGGTATCATAGATTTATTTTGAAACCCTACAGTCCTAGAAACATTTTAATAGCTAAAAATCCTTTAAATAGGCTTATAAAAGGTGTATGTTGCTCATCTATTAACAGTATATATTTAAAAAAATTTAGGCAAAAACTAAAGAATTTGTTGTCAGTGTAAAACTATATTAAATTTTTATGTAAACTGCCTAATTATCAAAATCAATACGGTAAAAAAGATAAAAAGATAGATCATTGAAGCGCGAAACGAGTTATTTGTGTATAAATTAAAACAAAAAATAATGAATTTTTGCATGAATTTGAGAAGATCAATAATAATCATGGTTATTTTTTATTTCTATATGTTGTGTAAGCATCTATAACTAATTATTAAAATTTTTATTTAGTAATTTCATTTCACAATTTAATTAAGATACTTTATAAACAAAAAATTACTTAATATTTAGGATAAATTTATTATTCTTAAGTAAATATTATATAATAGCGATTTCTAACGCATGGCGTGCAACATTTGCGTGAGATTAAAGACGTTAATTTGCGTTAAAATAATTTAGCAATTTAGCTGAACGATTTTGAGACATTGTTACTTGAAAAAGTTTTTAAATTTACTTTTTATAAATTTAATAAAGCCTCTCTCTATATTAATTGTAAAAGAAAATTAATTTACTCTTGAGAGAGCTGATTAGATTTTGAATGTGTTAGGTTGTAAATACGAAGAAATTCTGATGAAAAAAATTTAGTTATTCATAATTTACTTTAATAAATTTCAAAAATTATCTGATAAATTATTAATCATAATTAGTAACAAAAAAAAAAAATTTATTAGATCATGTAATCTCAAATTTTTGTAATCAAATTCATCAAGTGACTAAAAAATTAATTAAAGGCTATTATTATATACCAATTTTTACATGACCATTCTAATATATTTCATAATTTTAACTTACATATCATCTAATTATTCAAACACATGCATATAAAACCAATAAATAAAAACTCGATCAATTGATCAACTCAGTAAAAAGTTTAATCAATATATGTAAATTTGTTTTACTTTAGATATCGAGTTAGTATCATTTAGTAAATGCAAAAAAAATGAGATTTTAAATACCGCGAATATAGTATTTTAATGCTTATTGTGTATCATTTTTAGTATTCTGCTTCAATAATTTAAAGACTAGGAAGATTTCTTACAAAACTTAAAATGCTAAATCTCCAAAAATAGAAACAAGAACATTAAATTATAGCTTGATTAATAAAAAGAATTTAAATGCTTTCATGAACATACTTATGTGTCTTTCAATTATTTACAGAAAAGTTAGTTACAAAGCCTAAACAGGCTTGATTAATAAAAATATTTGTAACTAGAAAAAGTAAGAGTCACTCCTCACTCAGTTAGCCGATCGATCAATCAATCAAATAAACAAAAAAAGAAAAACAATCTATTAAGTCTAGAATGTTGTGCAAGCGAATATTACTTAGAAATAATTACTGATTGCTTTTTTAAATGATTTAGAATTATAATTGATTGTTTAAAAATTATATTTCACTTTACGATTTGTCATTTTTACTCATTCAAGCTCATGAAGATTCCATTTTTATTATCTCTACCAAAAATAAATATTATAAATACTAAGATTTGTTTAAGAAGCATTTTTAAATATAGAAAATTATCGTAATTTGATTACATTTTTCTTCTTTTAATAAAAATCCATATAATTTTTGGATTTTTTTGATTGTTTTGTTGTAATTTTAAGTTTGTGACAAGCATGACCTTGAATACAAACAAAATTATTTACCCATTCTAAAGAAAGTTACTTGATTCAAATTTTTCAAAGGAAGTAAAGAAGAAAGATAAATAGTAATGTTAATTCTTAAAGATAAGAAATAATCAATCAATAAAAAAACAAATAAACAAACAAACAAATTATTCTTCATTTTATCAAAAAATAATTATATATTTTAAGCTATTTGGAATATTTTTGAATACAATTGTATTAAAAGTTTTGAGCTTTAATGAAGAATTTTTAGAATTTAAAAAAAAATATAAACACAATTTTAAAAAATTATTTCATAAAATTCCTATTAAATTGTAATTTCTTTTTATATTTGCATTTATTATTTTTCACATATTTTTAGGAGCCTTACAATTATTAAATTGTAAATAAAAAAGCAGTCTTTCGCTTTAATTCAAAAAAATAAATTAAATTAAAATCTAATCAATCAATCATATTCATTTTGGGTGATTTTATTTTTCTCTCTCTATCCAAAATAATACAAAATATTATATTAAATATTAGGGTAGAGGCAGACAGATAGATAGATATATATTCAAATCTATAGAAAAAAAATTAAATAAGAAAAATTATTTATTATCAAATTCTGAAAGATTTATTTAACCTTGCTATTTTTATTTAATTGCGTTAAATATATTTGAAAAAAATACTTGAACTTTTAACAAAATTTAATTTTAAAACAAATTCCTTAAATGTAAAATAATTAATTTCTAAATCTGCTTTATTAAACTAAATATTAAAGTTAGAGTGAGTAATAATACTGTTTATGCACATAAAAAAAAACTAATTGCAAAATAAATATCAACTAAATTTGATTAGTATTTTTTCAATTGTCATATAAAGATTTTATAAAAACAATTTAATGGCAAAATAATTTTGTCTATCAATTGGATGCAGATAAGCATGCGATTCCAAATTAGTTTTGCAGAAAAAAAATCTATTTGCAATTCTTTTTATACAATTTATTAGAATCATAAATCAGATTAGTCACCAGTGTTCTTACCACGAGATTCGTAGAAAGCAATGTATTGAGAAACCATTTGATTTACTTTTTGGCTAACATCTTGACTTACTTCTCTTCTAGCGATTCTCTTGAAGACATAAGCGGTGATGAAGAAAGCAATAGTGAAACCAATAGCGACCAAAACTAAAGTCCAGAAAAGACTTGATGATGATGAGGAAGATTCTTAGTTGGGTCCAACGTAGTTAGGATCAATAAGTTATGTACAAGCTTCATCAATTTGATAAAGAGAATTGCAAATGGCTTCACCAATATATTCACCTTCTAAGTTACCACGATAGAGCATATCATTGATAGTAACAGCAGGCCATTCAAAGATATTGTAATCTTGATTATTTTAGTTTTAAACATCAAGCAAGCTGAAGATTTTAGTTTCATCTTCAGTACATTTTTTGTATTAGTCGAGATCAAGATTGGAAACCTTCTTCACTGAACCTTCAGCGCATTTTTTATAGTCATAAGGAGCAAAATAGCAGTAAGTTCCGAATTCATTGTAGTAATTGAACCAGGCTTCTTCACTCTAATCACGGATACATAATTATCTAATGGCTTCTCCAACAACATCAGCACCGCTAGCAACATTATTCTTTTATGCAATGCCATCACCTTGGGGAAGATCAGGATCAGGAGCACAATATTAGACTCTTGAAAATGTCATACAGTTAGAGTCCTTCTTATTAATGTTCTCAACCTTCTTAGTGATATCAAATGAAGGATAGATTTTAACTATTTTTATAAATTAAAAAATTAAATATTTTGGTTATTTCATAACTGTTTTTGAATAATAAAAGAAAACATTTTAATCTACTTAGGATAATAATTTTAATAATTATGTCACACTAGATTTAATTATTTACTAACATTAATTTTCAAAAGAGCTAATTTAGTCTAATTTGTATTGCAATTCTTTTATCAAATGATTTAGAATTTTATTTTGGGGAATAAATAAAATGAATTTTGTGTGATTGGTTTATATTGTTTGAGTTGAAAAAGATGTTGGAAATTTTGTTGATTTTTTTGTTTATTTATGGATTGTTGTCTGATAAAAGAAAGATATGCATGCATTTATTTTGAAGGTAATTGTGTATATAATAAGTTATGATTGAAATTAATATAGATATAAATAAATTCTTTATTTGAAATGAGTACTAATGATTTCTGTTAAAATTGCTTTTAACTTTATCAATTAAAGCCTTTTTCTCTTTTAGATTTATTAAATTAATTAATTAATAACTCTAATTTAATATTAATTTTGCCTAAATATTTTTTTATCTTTTATGAATGAATGAATGATATTTTTAAAAGTGATAGATTGTTTCTTTCTAATTTGCATTTATTCTAATCAAAATTACCCTTTGTTGTTTTATGTAAAATAAAGGCACTAAAAAAAATTTGCTAATCTTTTAAATGTTAGTTGCGTGTGTTGTGACTTTAAATAGATTAAGAATGCTTTAAAATTATTGTTTTATTTAATTTTTACTATCGTTTTTAGCTATTCTTTATCTGACTGGTAAGAGAGTGTGAACCAATTTATTAGAGTAGGGGCTTGAGAGGTCTAACCATAAACGAACAGAAGAGTGGTTGAGTCTCTTTTAAACGAGTTCCAAAGAGAGCATAACGTTCTTTTAGTTTTTAATATACTCCTTGATGATGTCACCATATTCCTTAGTGATGAAAACTGAAGTAATATGGACGTTGCTACCATGACCGTTATCAATCATGATGACATTACCTCTTTATTGACCATTATCAACCTATTTTATACAATTTTATGGTTATTTTATTTGAGAGAATTGTTGGATAGGCTAATTTTCTTTCACTCATCAAAAATATATTTCATACTTTCTATATCAATCTGAGTAAATTGATTTTAAATTATTAAGAGGCTTGCATACCATCAAACTTATAATTATTTAACGAGGCTATCCGAAAATAATCACAAGGATGCTTTGCAGTTTCAATATGAACTGTAAAAATGGCTTTGGCAAAGCTAAGCAAAAGAAAATTTGCAAGAATAAATAAAATAATTAATGATTACAATGATGACAATTTGAGCACCAGCTTCTTAAGCATTATAAACCTTATCAGCAAAGGCGCAATTACCTCTTTCGACTAGTAAAAATGGGATTCTGGAAAACTCTTTTTCTCCTTATTGAACTGCAGCCTTATCACAAGCATCGTATGGTTCAGAAATGTGAGCTTCACCAACAATACGAGTACCGTATTAAACAGAACCAAAGTTAGCTAATTCGCAATCAATGACGGCGTCATCACTATCTTTATCTTTACGTTTATTTAATTTTTTAATTGCTTCTACTAATTCAGGTGGTTGAGAAATGCTCAATCTGGATTCATTTTTATTAGCAGAAACAACTACTAAAAGTAAGGCAGCAGCCAAACAAAAAATGATTGCTGTTTTTTTCATCTTTTGAATTATATTTAATATACTTGTTGATTTCCTTTTATTCTTATCTATAAATTTTGATAATTAATTATAAATTTTATTATTAACAAAAGCAATGCTTTCTCAATATTAATTTATCTGAATTATCTTTTTCTTTTCTTCCTTATCTTTTCCTTATCCCTAACCTTTCCTGCTACTGCTAAATAAAAGAGATCAAACAATGATTGATTTTTATATTCTTCTTTATTTATTTTACCTCATATTCTTTTATTATTATTTTATTTTTATAAAAGTATTTGTGCTAATAAAATGAATTCGCGCTTCGATTCAATTTATTTGCTTTATATTAGAATTTTTGATCGCTTCTCTTATATAAGAAATATCATGAGAGTATATCAATTTGATAAGTACTTTTTAGATTTATTAAACAACTAAATTGTTATTTAAGGGAAAAATAAACAAATAAATATCAACATATTGAAAAGGAATAAATTTAATCTGGGCAATTTATTAAAATTTCTTCTCAAATTTTAGACAACTATATGATAGTAATTGCATGTAGAGGTAATTTAATTTTAGATTAGAAACCTGATCCAAAATATTCTTTAATTTAAAACACATGTACACACAAAATTTATTTTGCTAATATCTAATCAAAATTTATATATAAATAAATCTTTTTGTATTTAATTTAATTAGTGGAGATAAAATTTTTTGAAAAAGATTTTTTATTAAATTTAATTTATTATAATCTTTCATTGTGTCTTTTATACAATCCTATTTAATTAAGTAAATTCTTCTAAATTTAGATTTCTAAAATGTATCTAGAATTAGAGTTTATTTAATTAAAAAGATGATTCGCTGTATTATTTTTGATATATTATTTCTTAATGTGTTTGTTTCATATAATTCATTAACTTTTCGTAACTAGCACAACATTTACTAGCATTAGTTAACTTACTTATTATTTTTGATGAAACTCAAGTAACAAAAAATAAATTAATAGCTTTCATTTTAAAATAGAAAAAAGAATGCTTATTATTAACAAAATATATATATCTGCTTAATTAAAAAATTGAATTAATTAATAAAAATATACTATACTTTATTTAGACGAGAAGTCAAATTAATAATTATTATTTTTAGATTCTAAAAAAAATTTAATTTTGGCAATATAAATTCATATTATAATTTATATCTAAAGCATTACAAATTCTATTTATTTATCGTATTTTTAGATGCCTTATTTAATTAGATTCCACAATTTTTTAATATGCAAAGAAAAATTCATACAATACTCACTGCTATATCATGTTTTTTTGAATACTTTTAATGAGAAAAAAAAGTAATCAAATTACATAAAAATATTAACTACAATTTAAAAATTTTATGATAGCATTTCTAAATAAAAAATGCTCAAGCATAATCGTAAAAATATTTTTTCTAACAATTATCTCAATGTTTATTTACATTCTCCCATTTATAAAGTAAAGTCTGAATTGATTCTTTTAGCATAAACTATCTTTTTATTAAAAAAATGTACTTGTATATTTTTCTTATTTGTTAAGAAAATTAAGTCTCTCAGAATAAAATTGTAATTTAATTTAATGAATGAGTGAGTTTTCATTCTAAAATTTTTCTGAATTCAAAAAAAGTGAAATACTTCAATGTTAAACAAATAAAATTATGGTATTTTCAACTTCACAGCCTCAAATCGATACTTTGATTAAATTGCATTTACTTTCGTTATTTTAGATTTTAACCATCCATCCATGCTTTTTACAATCAATCAATCAAATCGCAAATTTTTTTTTACAGAAAAAATTTTTGTTTATAGGCAGTTAGACTAGGTTTTATAGTTTGAAACATGTTCAAGTTTTATTCATCTGTGTAATGATGATAAGTTTATTAGTAAAATGAAATTTATAAAATTGTTTTTTTTTTGTTTTAATGGATTGTTTTGACAATTATAAAAAAAGTATTTCAAATGCTTTCAGTAAAAGCCTTGTGACTTATATATATATTTGGAATAATACAAAAATTAAGTAAGTGTTTTTTTTCTAGTTGCTAAGTTAATTAATAACTTCAATTCAAACGAATTTAGCTGCTTAGTTTTTTAAATGAATGAAATTGCCAAAATAGAAATTCTTCTATTTAAATGTAATAGCCAAAAACTAATTAGTTAAATTAAAAGTTGAATTTTATAAAAATATAAGATAATCAATGAGCAATGAAAATGTCATAATCTATAAGCAAAATAAAAAATTATTTTTATCTAAAGTTCTTTAGTTTTTAAGTTCAGTGATTAAAACATCAAAGAAATATTTAATTATTTCTAAAATTTGTGGATTTTTGATTATCGGCTAGAATTAATACAATATGAATTAATATTTAGATAGTTGTAAACGTTGTATTAAAAAATTAAAAAATTTCTTACAAAAACGAAAGATGACATTTCAAGATAAATCATAAGTTGTTGGCTCTAATTAAATAAGATTAAAATCTCTTATTTCCTCATGAGCATTTTTATAAGTACAAAAGGAATTTTATTTTGAAGGCCATTTAGTGTTAAAAATTAAAAGTGTAAATTTAAAAAGTGCTTCAAAATGCGGACAGCCGATTATTTTCAGTAACTCCAAAATAGAATAGACAGATAAAGTACTATTCATTCTAAGTAATGTAAGAAAGAATAGCCTTAAATAAATCAGAGTGAGTAAAATTGTAATATTAGCGCAATATCAATATCAGAAGCTGAATTTAAGCTGGAAGTAGATTGAATAGTTTTTTAGTAATTTACTAAGAGAAATCACTTATTTTATTAAACAACAAAGTCACTGTAAATTAATAAGAATATCTGATTTTTATTTCTCTTAAATATATTTTTTCAGTTATTTTATCGATTTCACAGTAGTTTTTAGAAATTGCAAAGAATGAGAATACTCAAATAAAAACATTATTGTTTGTTTTCAAAATATTGCAAAATTACAATTCTGCAAGTAATCAATCAATGCAAAATAGAATTTTAATATTTATTTGTAATTTTGAAAAATATTTATAAATAAGTTGCTTTTCCTCTCTGTTATGTCCCTCTGTGACAAAAATCATGAATTAATAATTGGATTTTTATAGCTAAAGAGCTTTATGATGCAGATTTATGTAAAAAGTAAAAAAAAAACAAATTGAATGAATGAATGAACAACAAACAATTAATCAATCGAAATGAACAAACTAAATTAAATCAAACGAAATAAACAAATCATAACAATTAAATAAAATTCTACTGTAATTTTTTTCTCTTAGGTGGAATCTGTAATCTATATTTATTTATTTCCTCTGATTGAAAAGGCGAAGATAATATCTGATAAAATAAATTAATCATACAAGAATAAGATATGCATTTATGAATTCATATTTAATTTAACCGAATAATTATTTTAAATTACTATAGAAAGAAAAAAAATAGCCTTAAAAAGTTAATAATAAAATCCTTCTCAGAGTAAACAACGCTTTTCCATTTGGTAAAAAACTAGCTAATCATTAAATCTATAAAATACTTAATATATTTAATAGAGTAAATGCGCTTGTGTGTGTGAAAGTGTGTGCATTTGATAAATAAATAATTTATTTGACTTAGTTATATTTTAAAAAAGAAAGTAAGACTTCTTATTCTTAAAAAGACAGTAGTATAAACCAAAATTAATTGTATTATAAAATTTAAATACAAAATAATTTAAATTTACATTTTTACATTTTCTCTAATCCATTTCCCTAATTTGTTTTTGTGAGAAAAAATCTAAAATAGCTAAGATTACAGAAGGAATTTTAATTTAATAGGATTTCAATTACCTTTTGGATTTTTAAATAATACTTTTCAATTTAAATTTGAAAAGACAATAAAAGTTAAATGCCTTAAATAATATATAATTTATAATCTATTTTATTTATATTAAATAGAGAGGAGCAAAATTTAAATTTTATGAGAAAGAAGATGTATTTATTTAGTAACTTATTCATTAATTCATTCATTTATTATTTTACTGTAAAGCGAAAGAAAAAAAGAAATAAGGATAATCTGTCTTTTGATTGATGAATGAAAGAAATTATCTGATTTCTATTTAAATGAATTAATTTATTTTTTCTTTATTACAGTCTTGCTTTTAAAACTTATTGATTCTGAATTTTTTAATTATTCTTTTTTTCTACTAATTTTCCTTATATGAAATTTTATTAGCTGAAATTTGTTTGATTCATGAATGAATAATTTAAAAATTATAAACTTTTAGATTACTAACTTGAGTATATAATGATCGGCTCAGATGCCTTTTACATTAAATTAAAATTTTTTTTATGAGCTAGAAATAGATAGATTATTATGAATTATTTCGATAAAGTAGTTTATTTGCTTTCTGATTTTTTGATAAGTAAAAATCAAAAAAAAAGAATGTAATAGATATAACACAAGTGTTTAGACATAATAAATGTGCAACTATAACATTTAGCTTACTAAAAAAAAATATAAACATATAAATGACATGATAAGCATATCTTTTATTTTGAAGAGTTCTAAATTGATTGCTTTATTAGCCAAATTTTAATAAATATTACACTTACTACACACAAATTAAATCAATGCATTTATTAATTTACTTAGAAATATATGTGTGTATTTAACATGCTTGCTTATTGAAAATAATTGATTGTAATTTTTAAATATAAAATTTGTATGTTTCATTATATAATAAATTCAAGATTTTTATTTATTTAATATATGGGATAAAACAAACAAAATCAATTTATAAATGAATGTGGGAAAGATTAAATATTTCAAGAATCTTCATTTTTTTATTGACTAAAAGAATTATTTATTTATTTGTCTTTTTATATTATATTTTTTAAAATGTGTAAATTGGTGTTAATATTGAATTGATTAAATTATTGATTGGAAGGAAAGATATTTTTTAATAGTTAATTGTTAATTAGTAAGTTTTTTGTTTAGTTATTTTATTAGCTTTTAGTTATTAAGTTAGTAAGTATAAATTTTTTTTTTGTTTATTTGATTAATTCTTTTCATTTCAAAAGTCTGATAAACCAGCCCATTTAGTATTTATTTGTGTATCTCTTTTGACTCAAAATCAGCCAGTCATATAAATAAAAAAATAAATCACTTTTCATATTCTTGGATTACATCGACTAGAGAGTCATTTTATGATAGTTTAATGAGAAGTTGAACCATCTATCTGCATGGACCTGGATTTAAAAGACTGGAGTTTGAAAACCAATAATCCTCGCTGTTTTCAAGGAAGTCCTTGAAAAGTGGACTGATTAGCTCACTTTTTAGTAGGAAGCGGATATTTTTATTGTGTCTGTGGTCATATTTAATTTCTTGGCAAATATTGGTTAGAATGTATCCGACTTCTAGATTGAATTATTCACATTTCTTTATTAATTATTTTCTGCTTGTCTTAAGCAAATATCTTATGAAGGCCTTCTTTATGTTTTTTAAAGTGTTATTTTTAGGGATCATCTTGTACTCCAAGCTTAATTGCTTAAACATCTCACTATTGTGAATGTTATTATTTTCATTTATACTGTTGCTATTACTGTTGTTATTAATATTATTCTACATCAACAGATGATTATTCTAAGCGTTCAATTAATGAACCAACATGCTAGGAGTGCTATTAACAATTTACAAATGGTTATTAATCATGCGGCTTTAACCGAGCTCATTTTCATTAAGGCCTCTATCTCTTTGAATTGGAATTTTAATGAATTAATTTTGAAATTGGCCTTATGAAAATGAACCTTGAAAGTCTCTATTAGTTAATTACTAGTTATTTAAAAATAATTTACGATCTTACTCGATTTACCAAAGTTACAAAGATTATAATTATTATGAGGGGAAATTAGAAGAATTTTAAATATTTTTTTGGCTTTAATGTTCTATTTTTACGTTATTATTTCTTTATAGTTAATTATTGCAAAGAGTTTCTATACTTATCTAATGGTCATCATTTTTTCCTTTGTTTAAGTTCATTGTTTCAGATTTGTTGCCATTAGCAATTTAACCATTTTCATCGTAATCTACTTCAATGCTTATTTCTTCTGATTCTTCTCCTTCTTCGCGCTTTGTAGCATTCAATTATTAGTTTCTTTCTATTCTTTAATTATGGCAATTAGTTTATGAACTTGTCGATATTGATAATTTTTTATATTATTCATAAGAAGCCTGATCATTCTCTTAAGACTAATTTTTCAATATCTACTTTGAGGGATCATAAATGCGCTGTTCTCCGTTATGAAAGATATGAGTTGTGGTGCCATTTGAAATGGAAGAATCAGCCAATGGAACATAGAATCCTTTAAAAGGAGTTAGCTAAGAATTATAGATTGCGAAATTTTAATATTGATTTGATTTAAGATGATTTTTTTATTTATTAACAAACTTTTGATTATTCATCTTAGATATCTTCTTATTAATACTAATGGCTAAATCTTCTGACTAGCTACTGGTTTCACCTTAAGAATCAATGTTTTTATGAAGATTTTAGTTTAATTTAGCATACTATATCAAATTTTTCTTCTTTTGATTCATTTTTTTCTATGCATTTGCTCCAGTTTTTATAAATTTACTTAAATTTTAATTAGGCTGACAATGCAATTAATCGCCAAAAGTATCAAAAAAATATTAAGAAGGATCAAAAAAATTTAAAAGACGGTACTCGCATCTATTAGAATTTTTTTCATCAGCAACCTAGTTCATTTGTTGAGACTCCAAAGGAGAGTCTGAAATACGTGAAACTATGTCCAAGTTGTAAATGCGATACATTGTACTTCCGCTCTTTAAAGCAATTGTTTAGTATTATTCAGTGAGTCTAGTTGACATTTATCTTTTTTTATAAGCAACAAAAACCAGTTTGTTTGTTTGTTTTTAGAAGATGAAAAGTGAGAATTTGATTTATTATTTTTACTAAATTTTGTTTTGTTATTATTTAATTAATTTCAAATTTTATTTGTTTCACACTTTTTCTTTTTACTGAAATTTAAATCAGATTAATTTTTAAGTTATTATTTTTTATTTAATATTTTAAATTGATCTTTAATTTTTAATAAACAATAAATTACACTTAATATGTCTTACCCTCTACTATAAAAAAATTTACTTAGAGGCTAGGGTACTTTTTTAAAAATTTTATTTGATAAAATTACTGTTTTTAAAATAAAATTCCTCATGAGACTAATAAATAACTTTGATCAAATCTAAACGCGGATTAATTAAAAAATTTATTTACTTTTTTTTTCGCTTGAACGTAAACACAATTTATTTATTATACTCCTTACAGTTCTTTGTTCTCTTTGCCAGCTTACAAATCGAAATGTAAATCTACTTTTGATTCAATAAAATCCTTTACCCAACTTGATCTCTCATCCTAATATTTAAAATACGTATTTTTTTTCTGCAAACAAATAAATACATTTCAGACATCAAAAATGAATTTTCAATTTTCCAATATAATTTTACAGTATTTATTTCTGAATAAAAGTAAAATTTCATGATTGTTAAAACTGCTCATTAATTTTTTTATCCAATATATAATAATTCATGTTTTTAATTATTATTTTCCTATTATTTCTTGACAAATTTCGAATTAATTATATATATAAATAAATAATTCAAACTCTTTTCAACATTTAAATTATTCTTAAATCAATATAAGGAATTAATTTTATAAAATTAGTGGGGTTGGGGTTGGGGTTGGGGTTGGGGTTGGGGTTGGGGTTGGGGTTGGGGTTGGGGTTGGGGTTGGGGTTGGGGTTGGGGTTGGGGTTGGGGTTGGGGTTGGGGTTGGGGTTGGGGTTGGGGTTGGGGTTGGGGTTGGGGTTGGGGTTGGGGTTGGGGTTGGGGTTGGGGTTGGGGTTGGGGTTGGGGTTGGGGTTGGGGTTGGGGTTGGGGTTGGGGTTGGGGTTGGGGTTGGGGTTGGGGTT